GAGAGATTATCTTCTTAAAGAAACCACCTACGACTTGTTACATCAATTTCACTATACTGTTAGGCATCCTGTTTTTGGAAAATTGAATTTTGGATTTTCAACTCACAGAATGATTGAAGTGGCAGAACATGAATTACTCAATGTACTTTACAATGAAATGGCTAAATATTTGACCAAGGATGATAGTCAACTATTGGAAAAGCTTTGTACTTTTGCACCAAGTCAATGCGCAACAGATGCATTTTTCTTTTGCTGTGACACTTTGGAAAATGCTCAATTGATTTATGACAAGCTTGTACAATTCGATACAGAGGAATGTCCTCATGTTCTAGACATGATTCACTTGTCTATTTTCAAGAATCACTACTATTACCTTGACGAAAGCAGTAATGATGGTAAATTTTTCGTAGTGAAAGAAACTTTACAAAGTCAAGAACCAATGGAAAGGTTTACTATTTGTGCAGTTCAATTGGAGGATAGAACCCTCAGCGCAGATCATTTTGAGAAGGCCTTAAATAGGTTCTCCTCATCTAATGAATAAATACTGAATTTATTTTGTAACATTTTTAAATATTTGTTTCTTTTCTTTCCATTTATGGAACAAACTTTATTTAAGGAAAGTTGCAAGAGTGATATTTAAATCTCAAACCAATTCCCATTATGAAGAAACAATAAGAAAAAAAATGAATAGTTTCAAATCTGTTCTAATTGCAAGCGCATTGCTCTTCATGCTCATTGCAGCAGTCACTGCAGGTGAATCCAAACCTCAACAAGTTGACAGTTATGCTGATCATCAAAAGTATTGCTTCCAAAAGTGTACTCACTACAAGACTGTCAAGGGAAAGTGTTCTGATTATGAATGGGTTGGTACCAAGAAGGAATGTTGTGATTGGAAGTTGGTTGGTAAAGGAAAATGTTTGAAATATAAGAAATTCAGCAAGTGTGATAAATATTCCAAGGATAGAAAGTTGTGTTTGGGTCATGGTAAGTTAGAGTTTGAAATTTTACAAAATTTTTGTAACATTTTTCAAAGGTTATAAGCAAGTTTGTGCTAAACATAAAACTGAAAAGTATTGTGTTAAGAGTGCTTGGAAAGATGCTTGTATTCATAAGGGAAAGAATAATTCCTGTAAACAATATGCCTATAACTTTGTCTGTACCAAATATGACAAGTCACATGTCTGTGCCAAGTATATCAAGGTTCCAAAGGTTGGCTATCATTACAAGAAGAGATGTGCTGAATATAAACTCGATGCTTACTGTGCCGCTTACAAGCAAGTCTGTAAATGTCAAAAGGGATGGAAGAAAGTTGCAGGAAAACATTACAAGGGATGGACTGATACTTATTATCATGCTTTCTGTAAACAAAAATGTCACAAGATTTGTGCCAAATATACCAAGACCAAGAAGTGTATCAGATACAATAAGGTCAAATTCAGTCTCAAGAAGGGTTACACTAAAAAGTGTGTTAAATTCATTGATAGAAAGTTCTGTGCTGCTCAAAAGAAGGCTCGTTTCTGTACTCAATGGGTTCCAAATCAATTCTGTGATGCTAGAAAGAAGGTCAGAGTTTGTGAAAAGTATAAGGAACGTAAATTCTGTGCTGAATATAAGGCAGTCAACTATTGTACTCAATATAAGCACGTAAAGAGTAGATGTATTAAGAAGAAGCACTGGAAGAAGTGTGTTAAAAAGTCACCAGGTTATAAGGTCTGTGCCAAGTATCAATTTGTTGGTGGTACCAAGAAATGTGTCAAGTATGGTGAAAGAACTGTTTGTGATAAGAAGACAACCGTTTGTTCTCCAATTAAGATTGACAAGTATGTTCCAGAAAAGAAGAAGGAACATAAGAAGAAGGAATAATTTTGATGATGTGAATCTCTTGATGAGAATTGGCTCAATTTTGTAACAATTTTGTAAATAAAGAGTCGTGAAATGGCCAATTTTCTAAAAATATATTCCAATAATACTATTCTAAGAAATTAATGTTCAAAAATGATATTCAAATCTCATAGTTGAATTCTAATCTTGTTCAATTTCCAATATTCCAGAAGAAGGATTATTATTAACATCTTCCAAGTGATTTGTTTCATCCGCTGGGGTGTCTTCTGGAATTAACAAGCTTTCAATAAATGTTGTGTTAAATCTCTTGGATTGAGAGGTACTCGTAGAAGCTCTGAAACACAATTGACATAACACAATTGATTTGACCTTCTTTCTAATGGCAGTCGAGCTCAATAATAAGATGAGTGCAATGAAAAATCCCTTCAACGGCACTATTACATTAAAGAAGAAATTGTAAAATATTACAGTGTAATAGTATGCTTCCTCTTCTTCAGTTGCAATTTGAATTGCATTATAATACCAGAAAGACAACTCAAATAATCCACAAAATGCATAAGGAAGCATTAAGAGTGATAGGTTGACCAACATGGAACGTTGCTGTTTCTTGGTTTCCTTCTTTGGTAATGTCATAATGTGCTCAGTTCTGTAAAATCTTCTCAAATAATTCCAAATCAAGAATAATATCAAAATATTGACAAAAACCATTGCAGAAAAGTAAAGAGCCCATGAAATATAAACCGAGAACAAGAACCAATTTTCAAACTTGTCACTAACCAAATCTTTGGCATGAATATTAATAGTCCTGAAAATAAACACAAAAAGGAATGTAAATATCGAAAATCCCCAAGCAATCAAATGAAACATTAATTCATAAACATTTCTCCTCGAAAGAATTCTTCTCTTGGCAGAAAAGTACAAAATTTCATCAGCACTTTTCGAGCTCTTGATTGGAATTTCATAAATTAACGATTGATTTTCAATATTTCCATCATGATTTGGCATTGTATTAAACGAAAATGAATCAATTTCTGAATTTCCACTACTTTCCATCAAATCTCCAATTGGCTTAAATTTTGGAACAATTTCTTCATCACTGTCAGCACTCGCATTATTTCCATAAAATAATTGAGCTGTATTTCGTGTAATGGTATGAGAATCTGTTTGTAACTGTTCACGAATCAAATTAAAATCTTCCTCAATCCATTTCGAATGACTTGTAATCGAATAGACAACGTAGGCAATGATTACACACCAGGCAGCTGTTGAAATTGAGAAGGAATAGTAGAGATCTGCAAGGAATTTTTGGATGGTGAGTGGAACTGGTTTCAGATTGTAATTGGCCTTATATTTGAGAGTTGTGGAATTTTGTAGATTCGAATAGATATTGGAAAGGTCAAACGAATCATGGAATATTGAAGTTGTTTGATTTGCATTGATTGGGATTAGTGATTTCAAATACATTGTTTCTGGAGTAATTAATGTACACAACCACCAAAACAAAATATACGAAATTCTACTAAAGGAACAAACTATATCCGAAACTAAGAGAGAAAGTAAGACTCTTCTCATGAGATGTCTCTTTTCCTTGGCAATTACTTGTCTTTCTCTTTCTTTCTTATCTAATTTCTCACTTTCGGCTCGTTTCCAATAACCAAAGATCGAGGAATGTTTTTTTAAAATCATGACAAAGACTAGAATGGACATGGCAGCTGACAGTATTGCACATATAAACGAAATTATATCACTAGATAAATCCACAGGTGGATACAAACTTGTATATCCATCATCAATAATTTCAATGTTATCCGAAACCTTGCCGAATACAAAAGAAACACTTTCGAATAATTGTATTATGAAAATCAATGAAAAAATCAAGATTTTTCCTTGCAGTAATGACGATGAGAAAATCATGCTGATTCTTCCCACAATACGAAAATAGTTTCTTCTTATTTTTTTTAAAGTTCCGAAGAAATACTTTTCTCATTTCAAAAATTGATCTGATTCTTGACACCACAGGAGTTTGCGGATGATTATCTCCTCAAAACTTCCCAAATAATCCACTCCATTCCTTTGCATGCAACCCAAATTAAAACTGCTAATTCACTCTTTCCTCCACAGTTTCACTTTTTAAAATATTCCTCTAAGCACCTGGTTCCAAACAGTTGTTCATGAGTTAATTTTTTTTAGTATTTTGTGTTCGAAAATAAGGTTGAAGTATATGGAAGAGTGATGGTTGTTGCTTCTCCTCAATTTAGCTGGAGGAAAGCAGTAAGATTCGACTTGGCTTCCAATTTGCAATAATAAAATTAAAAAATTAATTTTAAAAAAAATTGCAACAACAAAAATGGCAGAAAATAGTCAAAGAAACTCTGTCGACTTGGAAAATTTCAACTCTCTGTCGACTACCAATAATACAATGAACAAAAAGTCGAGCATCTTTAAAAAGTTGTGGTTGGAAACACCACAAAGTGGAGGATCAAATTATTACATACTCCGATTTGTTTTGGATTCAGTGATGGTTTTTATTTGGTGCTTGTGGACCGGTTCTCATATGAAGTCAATGACAGAGTTGTTGTGTTCGCCATTGTATACAGAGACTTATTGTGCATCGCAGAGTAGTGATGCCTTTGTTACACAATTATTATATTTGTTGATTTTAATACCTCTTGCTATTGTATGTACTACAACAACAATTATTTATTTATATTAAACAATAATAATTACATTCCATGAATTGATCATCACTGCAATATGATGGATTTTATTTTGATCAACACAAACAACAATAATTAATGGAAAAATTCGGAATATAATCATCATCATCAGGTTTATTTATTCTTCATATTTATGATCAGAAGAAAGGCAAAGAAGAATCAGAAATTCTCACACTATCTTACTTGGAGTTTCTTTGCTTTAATTGTACATATTTATTTGTGTATTTTATTTGGATTGCATGGATCTAATGTTGGTTTGAGTTTTGCTTACTTTGGATTGGTTGGAGTGTTTGTTGGAATCATTCCAGATGCATTCATTATTTGGCGACTTTCAAAGGTACGTCGTGAACAAAAACTCAAAGAGGATTCAGAATATCATTTATTATTCTCTACTAGACATCAAGATTTGATTGCTACCAATGTTTAAAATATAGCCCACTCTTCAATATTTACAGTTTGTTAATTTCTTCTAAATGAAGATGTTTGAAAGTTATCAAATGCTAAACCATATCTTTCAGTAATAGTCTTTGAGAGTTCTTCTTGAGAGTCGAGATAACAACAGAGTTTGACTGACATTTTCATCCAATCTTGAGATTTATCATTTTTCAATAACCTTTGTTTTTCATATTAATATTTAATATAATTCAGAAACCAAGTAGTACTTACTTGTAATAATAGACACCATTATTCCACGACTCGGTACACAGCCAAACAAAGTGCTTTTGTTCGCTTTTCAAAAAGTGATCATTTGGCTTGATTTGATTCAATAGCTTGAACAATTCTTCGAAAAAGGACATACTCTCCTCTCTTGTTCTGCATATTTGGATTAGACTAGTGAATAAGTGGACTAGAGCAGAAATAAGTTTGAATTCATTTTTCTATAATATTGCTACTTACCAACTTTGTTATAATTAGGTGAGGAGTTGTGCATTGCCTTTCTCAAGGCAGTTTGCAAACTATGCTTGGCAGATTGATAATAGACTTGCTTTTCATTGCTTAGACAAATTGAGGACATAGCTTCGAAAATATTTGGACCGATAATACCATCCAATTTTGAAGTTGACTATTTTCAATCAGAATAATCACACAAAAGGAGATGGTACTTACACTAACAACATCCATAATCAAAACTTCGTCACACTTTAACATGACCAGAATTTGAAGCTCAGCCAAATATAGCAAGGTGTAGACCTTGTCAGGTTTCTTTTCCAATCCACCAGATTCCTTCTCACTAATCTTACTTAACAACTTTTTGCAATTCTGGATTTCATCAAGCATCAATTGCAACTTTTCCCTATTCTTCAAACTAAGCTCCTCACCATTGACATATTCTTCAGAGCTCTTTACCTCCTCAATGACACAGTGAATTTTCATGAGGTAGCAATACTTTTGAGTGGAGAAGGTTTCCAAGTTGGCTGTTCTGTAATTGTAGAATACTGAGGCAAGTGAGTAGAACTGGAAGGATGATTCATAGTCTGCCTCATTGACACTTTCACCACCATGATTCCATGCTACTCTGTGGAACCATTCAATCTCTGCTTCCATATCTTCCTCACGAAAGAAACTCACATTCTCCTTGTTGAGAAAGTCCTTGGTCAATTGGAGATACTTTAACACTTTTTGTTTGTCTTTGATCAAGGTACTCAAATAGGTCAATGTTCTTAATATCTGACTAATCTCAAGGGACATTGTATTTGAAGATTGCTCCTCTTCCATCAAGGCCTCGAGGGCTACTATTGCAACATCATAGATATTTTCCTTATAGGCATCATGAGCAGAGATGGCAAGGAAGGAGTTTTTGAACTCTTCATCGTGCATCATCTTCTTCAGATAGTTTTTGGCATGGGAAATATTATTCTCCTTGATACTAATTTGATACATGAGATAGTGACTGTGAAGAGATTTTGGATCCAATTGTTCTGCATTCTCTGCAGCTTTACAGGCTTCTGTTAGCTGTTTATCGTCCAGGTAGCACCTGGCAATGGACCGCAGTACCTTAGCCCTGTCAATCATCTCATCCATAGGAAGTATTTTCAAAGAATGGTTATAGAATACAATGGCTTGAGGATACTCCTTCTTTTGGTAGTGCTTCCATGCAATATTCCACAATATACATTCTAACTCTTTCAAACTTTCCTTAATAATTGTAATATTGGAAGATGAAGATTGTGATAAATGTATCATACGGTCTATAATTTTCAACATGTCATCTTGATTCAAATCTCCAGAACAGTGGTTGGCAAGAAAGTCAAAATAACGGACCAATACTCTTGGTTCCTGTTCAGAGCCATTGGCAGCTTCCAGTAACTTTTTGTAACATTTGAAAGCCACCTTGTTACTGTTGGCAATTAGAGAAATGTGAAAATGTAGATACTTACAATCCTTGTTCTACAATATCCTTTAAAGCTGAAACAGATAGATTAAGAGGAGTCTCTGGATTTCTTAGCAATTCTTGAATAGTTCTCTCAACCTCCTCTTCTCTATTCAACTTGGCAAACAATCTCACCTCTAGAAATATTCCCTGTGGTGTCTTGAACATGTTATTTGCAATTTGAACACAGTTCAATCCCTGGTCAAACATTTTAGATTCCAAGTAGGCATTGGAGAGTAATCGAAGGGTTCTTGATTGTTTTTGCAAGTTCTTATTTTCATCCAACTCATAGAGCTCGAAAGAATCCTTAAGCCATCTGATAGCATCTTCATACCTCTCCTTAGAGTTGAGATCTACAGCATAATTGTACTCAATCATTGAAATTCTTTGAATTTCATGAGGAAGCTTCTCTACCAAACGCTTGGCTGCTTGAATATTAGAATAGGCAGCAGCACTATCTCCAATTTGAAAGTGACTTTCAGCACGATCTACGTACAGAGTGAGAATATTACTGAGGGCAGTCTCGGTCGACTTGTCAAGATCATTCGAATCTCCTTCCTGACCTAACAACTTGAGGAATAATTCTGCTTGATTAGCTGCTCTATTGAAACAATCAAGGGAAAACTGATCATCTACATGCTCATTCTGTTGAGTATTTCCCACTTGTTGTTGACTATTAGCATCTACGAATTGAACATCTCCTTCCTCATCCACTTGACTATTCTTAATATTTACATCATTGGATTTACTCAATACAATATAATCCCTAGCAGTCTTTGTGTAGAGTCTAATCATATCATGAGTAGTTTTCAATGTTTGAAGTGAAGGCTTGATTGATTTTTCAATCACATAGCAAGCAACTCTTCTCACTTTTCATCATCATCCGAATAATACACATATTCAATATTCGAATAGCATTATCATAACATATTATTGAATAAGCCCATTAATAATCAAAAGTAACAAACCTCTCACAAGTTGAAATTTCATACTACTCTCATATTTTGAATTTCCCAACTTTTTCTTACTCTGCTCAACACACAAATTCCACAATTCATATCCTACAGTTTTGAGTAATTCACTTGGAGAAGCCTTTTGAAACTCTGGAGCGTGATCGATCATCTCTTCCAAGCCTTTAACATGTTGCTCTGCTTGGTTGATAGCCAGCATGGTTGGATTCTTCCAAACATTCTTCAACTCGAAACAAGTTTCTAATAGGAATCGTTAAAACAAAGCAGCCTTGTTATGAAAATAATCAAGCAAAATTACGTACTCTTTAATTGGTCAATTAGGGATGAAGACATTTTTTTTAAGGGTGTTTTTAGAGTTTCAACATTTTGGCGCCAAATTTTAAAGCCTTGGATGAATTTATAAACACATGCTTCTTAATAGTATATTGTAAACATAATATTAATTTTAAATTTTAAATTCTTAAAAAATGCAAATAAATACAACCACGAATGTATCACCCAACAATAATAATGATAAACGACAACAACAATTAATCGGAACCACCACAAATAAGCAAATTCGTTTGAATAGTTTTGGTAGAGAGGAAGCTGATCATCACCATCAGCAGCACAATAATTCGGAAGGAATTTCAATGGGAACCTTTTCATTAATTACATCCAATAGAAGATCAAATAGTAATTTATTGCAAAATAATAATAATAATAATCGTGATGATCAAAACAAATTGTTGCAAAATAATAATAATAATACAACAGCACCATCAATGATGGCAATGATAGAGGGAAATAATATATTCAAAATAACAAATCATTTTGTGGATAATGGATTGGAAAAACAATTTAAATTCAGTAGAAGTAAAATTAATTATTTGGAAAATAGTTTATTTGTTAGGGAGGAGGGAACAACCATTCCGATGGGAGAGGAAAATGTGACTCTCTATTTTTCTAATGTAAATACTAAGGAGCAAGTGCATGTTTCTGGAATTCGTCCTGAATATTTGAATGGATTGCATTGCATTCATAGATTTTACAAGAGTACGAATACTAATTTTTACTATGCTACTTGTAGGAGTGTATTGCTGATCATTGAAGCAGGTAGAGTGGTCTATTCCATTGATTTGAAGCCAGCAGATAATACAGATGGAAAGAATGCACACAAGTACGCTATCAATGATGTTAAAGTTCGAGAGGGAAATACTGAGAGTAATATCAATTTCTACTATTTTATTATTAGTACCAATTCTGGATTCAAGATTATCAAATGGGAGAGAATTCACAAGGATACTCATAAGGTAGTACTTGAATGTTCAAGAGATGGAAGAAAAGTAATGCAAACGAGTTTAATTAGAGAGCTATTATGTGTGTATGTATTTTAATTTGAAAACATTTTAAAATTATTGGATAATATTAAGAGCGTGGGAAGATGGGGTTTTGGTGTATAAAATTGCCTTTTCCAAAGGGAAAATCACACCAATTTCAAATTTATTACTTTGTGGAGGTTCTGTGACGTCTCTATTTTCCATTGAGAATACCATAGAAGCTGAAGGATGGATAATTGTGCAGGATGCTAGCTCTTTAATTTCGAACATGATTCCAAAGCAATCAAGGGAGATGGAAGAGGATTTGAAAACAGAACAAAAAGAGGATGATATAATTCTCATCAAACCAAAAACAACATCTTCCAATCCTTTGGTATTTTCAGAACTCCAACAAAAATTAGAACAAGAACATAATCTCTTCCAAGTTAGTCCCACCACTAATAATAATGGAACAATCTCGAGTCCAAGAATTGCATACCTCAAGATTGAGGAAAATTCTGTAACAATTCATTCTGAAAATATCATATTGAAAACTCATGCAGCAGACTTGTGTTACTGTGTACATGACAGGCTTCAGAGTCCTACTATTCATATTGTGGCTGCCAATAGATCGAATCCTCACATTGAATATGTACAATACAATTACAAGACTCAAACAAGCAAATATCAAATCATTGACTTACCCAAAGAACAACGAATTATTGGATTGGACATTGGACATGGAAATCCTTCTGTAGATAGTATTTTAATGCTGAGAGTCCTTTCAGGTGAGAAGGAAATTCCAAACGGGTTCTTTTTCAGCGCCTTACAAGCCAACCAACACTACAAGAATATGGTGTTCAGTAAATTCCTTAGAGAATTGGAAATGCCACCTGAAGATCCAAATCTCCAAACTCCAATCACTCCAAATATTGGACATTCACCAAGCGATTTATTCCCCACTTCAAACATGCAACAACAAATCGTGTTGAATACCATTCTTAGAGAATTAAAAGAAATGAAGAGCTCTATTGATTTCAAGCTTGACAAGATTACCCATGAATTATCTGGACTTGACAAGAGGGTTCATAATATTGAGAATATTCTTAGTCACTCAAACGTGAAGCATTAGATTTTGGAAAACCCATTTTGGCCTACCAATTACCATAACGCTCAACTTTCATACCAGCAAATGGCGATTCTGGAATAATCTCTAAAAAAATCAATTTGTTTTAAATGTTTGGATTTATTTTTGTAATTTACAAGTTGTTTGCTTTAGTGTATTGTTCCTCCAAGTAACTAATTCTAGAATTAAAATTCTCAACAAAATCATTGAATTTCTTCTTATCAGAGAAGCTTTCTTCCATCAAATAGGTGAGGAAATGTTTAGCTCTCACATAAAGCCCAATACATTCCATGGAACCAAGATATTCCTTGTGGGCTGCTTCCTTGGCAAGCTCGATAGCCATTTGATAAATTATATTATTTACATCAACTTCCTTTGTAATAATCTTATTTTGAACTGCTTCACCATGTGTGAAGAAATCAGTTAACCAATCACGAAGTAAGATGGTAAATGTTTGAGATCTGTCATTATTTTCAACATTTTCCTTCAATATTGTCAAACAATCTCTAATGAGAATGCAAGCTCTAACATACAATGCATAGGCTTCACTATACTTCAAGTTCTTTTCCATGACCAACCCTGTTTCTGAAATGAACCAAGCGAGCTTGGCCTTCTTTTCAATTTGGCCCAATAATGCACGACATTCCTCACCACAGGAAAGATTTGAAAAGTCAAAGATTACAGTTGGGTTTGTTCCAATAACTGAATCCAAACTATATTCCTTGGTCTTTTTAAAAGCCTCATCAGAAGGAATACGTTGATCCATGATAATGACAACATTTCCTCCGCCCAATGGTTGTGATGGCTTTGAGGTACCATCTTCACTTGGATTGGAAATGAAGAGCTTGTCAGCAACAATCTTTTCCAATGGTACTTCTTCAAGAATGTCCTCAGGTTTGACTTGCGCTGTAATTGGGAATTCTTTAACAGCCTCTACAACTGGTACAATTGGTTGTACAATCGGTGGCGGTGTTTGTTCTTGAACTACTACTGGTACAATATCAACCACTGGTGGTTCCACTACATTTGGATTAATTACAGGTTCTTGTGGTGTTGGCTCAACAACTGTTGGTGGCAAGATGTTGGTGTTCAATTCTTCACAGTCTCCAAATTCCTCTCTAAGAGCTATGAGATAGTAATGATTGTAGAATTGTACAAAGTTCATACGATATTCAGGTTCACATTGCAAGAGTCCCTTCAATAAATCAATAACTCCTTGAGAGAAGGATGAATTGGTAGCTGGATAACTTGGTGGACCCTTCTTGATTTGATTCAACAAGTCAAATTGATTGGAGGCCATGTAAGGTGGTCTAGCAAACAGCATTTCATAAATAATAGCACCCAGAGACCACAAATCAGCCTTGATATTATACTTTTGACCTGATAAGATTTCTGGACTGTTATTTCAAACGGCCGTAATAAATTTGATTTTTTCGAAATAAATTGTAAAAAATTGTTGTAAAGAAGCAATATTTCATCATCAAACTTACGCCATATAAAGAGGAGTACCACAGAGAGTTTGTGCCAAATCATTTGGACCAATTTCACGAGCAAAACCAAAATCAGCAATTTTCAAAAAGCCAAAATCTACATCCTTATAGGTCAAATCTTGCTTGTCCTTATTAATAATTTGGAAAGGTCTACTAAATAATAAATTGGCTGGTTTCAAATCTCTGTGAATCAAATTTTGCTCATGCATATGTTTCAAACCCTTTGACAAGTGTAGAATAAACTTCTTTACAATAGATTCCTTGATACCACCAAAAGGATTCATAACTTCCTTTGGAAGTTTACCCTTCTTTAAAAACTTGGCCAATTCACCTCCACTACACAATTCTAAAATCAAATAATAATTTCTCTTACTTCTATGTACTTCGTAGAGTTTGATCACATAGTCAGACTTGATACGTTTCATAACCGTAATTTCAGATTCTAAATTTTGAATTAAACGATCATGAAGTTTGTTTCTCTGTATAACTTTGATAGCAACCTTTTCCTTTGTATCTTGATTATAACCCTCGTAAACATCAGCATAGGCTCCCGAACCAATATGTTTTTCTTTTAATTGAATAAATCTACCCAACGACTTGACCATCACTCTTCTTGATGATGATGAAGAGGATGATCCAGTTGATGTTGCCTGTGCCAGATTTGTTGTTGTTGTACCCGCCGATGTAGGCGTTGTGGTTGTACCACCACTGGGTTTCTGTTGTTGTTGTTGCTGTGTCGTTGGTTGTTGTTGCATTTTATTAAAACGTGAAGGTTTCTAATTTTAGCTTCTAATTTGACAAAAAGAATTCTTTTTAGTAAATATTGGTTTGATTATTTTATTATTCATTGTCGTGATCGTCACCTTCAGCAATTGCAATATCACTTTCTTGTGGATCTTTGTGTGGATAGAGTGACGATTCATTGTCAGAGAAGATTTCAGAATGAGGATCTCTAAAGAATTCCTCAAATTGAATATTATTGTAATGACTGCTTCTGAATGTTTGAGCACCTCCTGCTGAGGAAAGATAGCAAGTATCCTCTGGATTACTGAGTGTCTGTACAGATTTTGGAAGGCATGTATGAATGATTTGTTGAACGAGAGGAATTCTACAACATCCACCAGACAGCACCAAATAATTGACACGATCTTTCAAAGTCTCATTGGTATTATTGAAAGGCCTAGAAAGGAAAGCATTCAATTGTTGTTGGAATGAATTGAAAATAGGTGAGCACACCTGTTCGAAAGTTTGTCTTGTTATCACCTCAATAGACTTTCCATTAATCAAGATGTCAACCTTGTCTTCAGTTGAGAGAACCTTTTTGGCTCTCTCACATTCCATCATTAAAAAGTGAGAATTTTCCTCTGCAATTTCAGGGTGTTGATCATAAAAATAGGTGTACAGCATGTCAGTAAAACTGAAACCGCCACCAAGTCCCTGAGTTTCCTTCTTGCCTTCAACACTTGATGCAAAAAGATCGAACTCATTCCAATGCTCCTTCTTGGACATGGCAAAGAATGGTTCTCCAGTTGGCCAATCAATAGTCAGTACACATTCGTTAGTTTTCACCAAATGGGAAAATGCTTGAGGAATATTATGACATGGATCTTCCACCCAACATATTGGTTTCAAACCAGCAGATTTGGCGCATTGAAGAAGCAGCTCTTGGTTGACTTCAGCAGGAGACATCAAGAGAACATGCTCTCCTTCCAAGAATTTCAAATTATCGTTTGATCCCAAATTAACTTCCTCCTCAATGAATTGCCTCACAAGTGATTCTTTCAAAGCGGTGAATATCTCAATCATTCTTTCCTTACTTTCAAAAACATTCTCCTGCTCTCCATCACTGGTAAATCCAATATTGATTGAGCCTATTGGCTTAGTTTGTGTAGATGAGAGAGATATGGAAGCTCTCCAACTAGTATAACCACAGTCTATTGCCCACATTGCATGTTTGAATTGGCCCTTCATTAGATTTTCTCTAACAGCCTCACTTCTCTTCTCTGCTATAGCCCAAGATATAACAGGTTTTAAACCTCCAATTTCATGATCAAAATCAATTCCCATAAATCCGGAAACATAGTACAACTCTTTTAAGGATGGATGATTTTCAACATTGACCTTTGCAATTGCTAGAGGGCAAGGAAAGCAATCCTCATTAAAAGATGGTTTCCATCTGAATGTTTTCTGCATCTTTAAAGCGGCTAGTTCTATTGAAGATTGAGGAGAATTCTCGCCTTCTTCTTCTTCAAATTCACAATCCTCAAAACCATGATCCTCAAAATCGTCCACATATTTATCAACATTAGGGAATCTCTCTTCCATCTCCATAAATGATTGCATTTGGTTTGAAATATTTCCATCCTTATCGTATGGGAAAAAATAGTTGATCCAACCAGTAATAAAATTCTCTCCACTACTACTGTCAAACCTTGCCACTCCATTCCAGAACAATTTCAATTCGTCTGTCAGTGTATCCTTTTGGGCTGTTTCAATTATTCTATCAATTATGAGAGCCAATACCTTTCTCCACCATCCCATACCAAAATCATCCAATCTATTGACTTTCTGTCTCATCAATGTCCAGTCTTGCAGAGTTCCCAATATTGTCACACAAGGAATTCCACACATAAAATCATTGGTATATGTAAAGTAATCCTTAAAGGCCTCCATGAGTAAAATCTTTGATGCAACCTTTTCCACTGAAGTTGATGTGGAAAAGTTATGATCCAAAAATCCATCCAAATCCAACTTTTCGCTTGTTGTACATGTTTGAACAATTTGTTGATGAATATCTTCAATTACTGCACTCCAATTTGTTGATTGTGTTTCTTCGTTGTAATGTGTAGGCATTTCCACTCTCATTTCCTTCTTTTTAATATCAACTTGCTGCAAAATTTCAGGATGAAGATGCAAATGTCTAACCAAGGATTGAGAAATCATCATCCAAATATGATCTGGAATTATTATCAGTGGATAATGTTCGCTATATGCCGTACAATAGCATGACACTACAGGATGAGGTTTTGATACTATATTCTTCAATACCTTAACATGAGAAGGTGTATGCAAAACATTGTACTGAATCTGAATAGGATCCTTCTCAAAATCATACCTCTTTACTCCTCTTTTAATGGTATTCATAAAATAGTCATTTAAGAATACTCTTTCCGACTCCTTATTATGAACCATTCCGAGAGTGTATTCCTCTGTTTCGTGATGATTACTCTCCATACTGTGATGACTACAAAAACCATCCAGAGAGCAACTACCTGCATTAATGTTTGCTTGAGCCTGTTCTAGTAGGATTTGATAATTATCCACCAATTCTCTTCTGCATAACATTCCAACTCCTTCTTGGATACCATGATTTGATGAAGCCATATTTTGATAATGATGTTTGCTCGTTCTGTTACGATTCTATGACCGTGCGGAAGGTAATAATACAATATGAGCATTTTTCTTATGTTTGTTTTGGCGCCAGAACACCTCAACAACCAACACCAAACTCAAAATTGAATTTTTTAAGAAGTTCTCAACAGCCATGCGGAGAATTGTCGGAGAGAGCCAAGTATTACAATATATTAAGTAGACGCTATAATAACAAGAAAATGCTCAAACAAGGCCAGTTATTCGAGTCGCTTTCTCTCTTCTGATGGCTGCTACAAGAAAAAATACACATGCAAAGAGTAAGTTAAATCCAGCCAAAGCCGTCTGCACACAAAAGAAAGCCAATGTTGTTAGAGAATTAAGTAAATGTAAATAATGCATTCCTTTTTGAAAATCCAGACATTGATACTTACACAAAACAAAAGGCACACTGAAATTCATTCCTATTCATTCTTGATAGGAAAAAACAGACTCTCTCGGTCCAATATTTCGGATTCAATACATTGTCCACAGTTTCCTTCGTTTCCTTATTGAATTCACTAACAAAACACCAAACATAGCAGAGAAAGGAAAGGAAGAGACAATAAGCACCAGGAATCACTGTAGTCCAAATAGGTTCCTTCGCTGGCTTCATTATCACAGCTATGAATCCACACATGAATAGGGTATAGATGGATCCTATTTGTAAATTCTTTGCTACTGAAGCAAATTCCAAATGAATTAAAGTTGGATCCTCTTTTAATTGATTTATACTTGTTGGTTTTAGATTTCTGCTGTTGTTGCTGTGTAGATTTGGATGATGACGGTAGTAATTGTGAGGAAGTAACCTTAGAAGTATCAATGATGATTTGATCTGGTGTTGTGATCACTATATTGGATGAAATTTGATTCGATGTTATTGTTGCCGATGATGATGAACTATTATTGTTATCTTGACTTGTAGTAAGGCACTGTTGTTGAGACATTGTTTTTTGAAAGCCCCACATGATATCATTTACAGTATTCGATAATAAAGGGATGCTTCTACTTTTTCAATAAGAAGGTGAACAAGTTCTCAATGACAAAGAAAGTGGCCACAAGAAGTGATTGATGAAAATTTAATGTAGCTAAATTATAGAGTCTTGAATGTTTTCACATATAATGAAAGATCATCCTTCTCAAATTGACCATCTTTCAGTTCTTGAAGGGCTGTTCTTAATCTATTGGCGGCTAATTTACAGGCATTCTCAGAAACATTGGCATAACTAATTCTGAATCCTCCAACTCTTCCAAAACATGATCCTGGCAATACGGCAACCTTGTGCTTTCTTACCATCCACTCAATCACTTGGAATTCCTTTTCAATACTCAACTGATTATCCGAATGATTTGCAAAATTTGGTAGAGTTGCCCAAAAGTAAATAGCACCTTCTGGAATTTTCTCCAGATTGCACAAATCATGAATAGCATTCCAAATGACTCTTCTATTTTCCTTGAGAGTGTTAATTCTATCCATGGCCCAAATCTTTCCAAACTCTTCATCCATCTCAGTAACACTGAGAGCAAGTTGTTGGGATGGGAGTGGGGAGGAAATTACAATTGTGTCTTGGATCTTATTGAGATGGAGTCCAAGAGTGGTATTGGTGGCTGGATATGTCAAATAGCCAATTCTCCAACCTGGCATGGCAAAACATTTTGAAAAACTGTACAAGTGAATGATATGATCTCCTTGTGGACTAAAATGAATTGCATTCGATGATTGCATATCATTATAAATAAACCATTCATAAGTTTCATCCATTATCAACCAAATGCCATATTCTTTACATAATTGACTAATCACTTCCAATTGGTTTTTAGTATAGACAGCGCCAGTTGGATTGCATGGAGTATTGACAACAACCATTCTCAATTTGTTGGATGGATTCTGAACTGTTTTTTTAAAGAACTCTGTGAAACGTTCCATATCATCTCCACTTCCAGGTTGATAACCATCCTCCTCTCTACAATCAAAAACAATTGGTCTTACTCCAAACATTTGCAAGGCCATATAATGATTGAAATAGTATGGTCCAAATACCATACACTCATCTCCAACATCACACAACGATAGGACAACACTTGTGAAGGCCTGATTACATCCACTCGTTAAAACCACTTCCACTCCATCAATTCCATTCATCTTTTTCAACTTTTCTTTCAATTTATCTCTGACTAGTTTCCTTCCAAAATCATGCTCACAATAATTATGAATGAAAGAGAAGGGATCACTCGGATTATAACTCTTCTCCAATTGATTACTAATCAGAGATTCCATCACTTGTTGAGGAGGCTTATAATAGACCATTCCTTGGCACAAACTTGTAACCATTTGCTGCTGATCGGAAGAGGCAGTATTATTCACAACCACTGAATTTTCTTCATAAATAATTTGTCCAATTTTGTTGATCATTGGCATGTCGGTTTCAATCAATCGGTTAGAAACAATCAATCTTTCTCTTCTTCCATCCAAAATATTTGATTCTGTTGATGATGAGTTGTTGCTTGTTAGTTGTTGACTCATTTTTTTATATTTGGAATATTGAAATTAAACTTTGGGCAAAATTGTAAAACATTGAAAGAGGCTGGATTGGATAGGTTGACTCCTCAAACTCCTTATTTACTCCCATCTATCATTAAGTTGTTTATTAATGTTGGGTTGACTTGTTATAGAGCTGCCAACTGTGAATTAAAGACTACAGAGTTACAATTTCATATACACTAGATTTTCAAAGAACCTTCTTCTTATCATCTCTCTCATTACAATTAATATCCAAAAAAGTAGCCCAAAAATTATGAACAACATACTAAAATGTCTAAATTCAATGAATGCCCAATATAATCACTCATTATTTCACATTTTTTCACCATCTCCACATACTCCTTCCTAACCACTCTCCTCATCACACAATTATCAAATATTCACCAATTACTTTCCATTGCAATTTTCATAATTAAAATCAAATCGTTGAAGATATGATGACTCATCTCTATGTTGTTGAAAATTCAGAACTCCGCTCAATAAGTTCTGAATGTTTTTTCACCGCAAAAGGTTTTTATTTTTTTTTGAATTTAAAAAAAAAATGGCTAAATTGTTCGCCTTTGCCGCAGTCTTGATGATGCTCTTGGCTGCTTGCGTCGTCTCTGCCCAACAATCAACATCATTGAAGAATGGTGTCTACACAACTGTTCACTTGGTTGCTAATACTCCAGAATATCTTGATATTAACTTGAGAAATAATCACAAGGGTGTTACCACTTTTGTTACCACCTATGGTTGTGATGCTATTGTTACTTTGTATGCTTCTACCAAGCCTCAACCAAGCGCTTCTAACAACCAATGGGCTCTCAATGTTAACATTAGTAGCTCTGCTTTCTTGGATATTGAACAAAGACAATTGAATAATGTTGATCAACTCTACTATGCCTTGTCTACTGCTGTTACTAGTCCATGTTCTGCTTTCTTTGTCTCCCATGTCAAGCACTCTTTGAATTTGATCCAATTGGAAGATTCTATTCCACAATTCGGTGCTTTCCAACCAAACTCTCAAGTCCCAGCCTTGTATCACTTCCTTGAATATGATCTCGGTGAAGCTGATTCTCGTTTGGACTCATTGATGGTTTTGGTTACCAATCATCACACTAGAAAGACTGGTGATGAATCTACTTACAATGTCTTTGTTTCTAACACCAACTCTAGACCAATTGAAGGAAAGGCTCAATGGTCTGGTATTTCTACTTCTAATGGTGACTCTGCCCTCGTTATTAACAAGCAAGATCCAAAGTTTGTTAACGGTGGTAAATACTGGATTGGTAAGTTGTTTTGATCATTTATTTATTTAATAATAATTTCACATCTTTATTTCACATGACAATACAACAAATTTCACACACAAACGAATCATCAACACACTTCACATCACTCTTCGGCAATTCATGTTATTGATCATCATCAAATAATTTAAAAATTATTTTATTCACTTCCAACAAACAACAGGTATTGAATTCAAGCCAAGCGGTCCATTCGCCAAGAGAGAAGACTCCCATTACTCTGTTGTTGTTCATCCAAACTTTGCTGCTCAAAGATCTGGATTTGACAAGCCAGTTATTTTGCTCCAAAAGGAATCCCAATTCGGTTTTGTTCCACAAGGAAGCTTCATTTACTTTGCTCTCTATGTTGACAAGTCAGTTGCTGGTAAAGTCCTCAATGTTGATGCCAAGACTGAATATGGTGACATTTTGATGTATGCTTCTACCAAGACTACTAGACCAGACAGAAACAATTATGAATTCAGAGGTGGAAAGAGAGTTGAATTCAGATATGAACAACCAACCTTTGTTTACGTTGCTGTTGAAGCTTTGCCACATGCTAGTGGCTTTGCAGCATTTGAAGCTGTCTTCAATCGTCTTTAAATTGGTATTATTAAATATTTAATTTCTATTAATTTTTGTAAATTATTTTATAATTCAGCAATAATTTTTATTGTTTACAAAATGAATTTATTCATCTTTTAACTTTTTCCTTTCTCTTTCTTCTATGTCTTGAATATCATTCTCTTCTTCATTGTCTTCTTCCTCACAATCTCCATAAATTAGTCTTTTTCTCTTAGGTCTCTCTATATCGAATACTTCACTTCTCTTTCCCCAGTAATCAATCCAAGCCTCCCAATACGTGTCAGATTCATCCTTAGCTAATTTAGCAATTTTCCTTATTCTTTTTAAATGATTGGGCAGCTTGTTAAAAACTGTGGAATTGTTTTGTAAAGCTGTAATTGCTATTTCTTCATCGAGTGTAGTGGCATATTTGAGAGCTAATCCATTTTGCGACACAGCTTGCAAAACAATTTCTCTATCATTTTTCAGTTCATCTGAGGCATTCAAAAGGCAAAGACCACATATCTTTACACATTCCATAACGATATCTCTATTGTTTCTTGCTTGTTCTGAAGCAAGTTCCAGAGCATGATAATCCAAACTCACAACACGAAGAATAACCTCCATGTCAGAGCGAAGAGCTTCACTAGCATACTGCAAAGAGATTGGCATATTTGAAACAGCAACCATTACAACTTCCTTATCATTCTGTAGCCTATCCGAGGCGTATTCGAGAGCAAGACCATTATTAGAAACAGCAAGTAATACTATTGATTTGTCATCTTGTAAATCTTCATCCAGATAACCTAATGATAATCCATTATTTGAAAGGGCAGCAGTGATAATCTCCTTATTCCTTCTCAACTCTTGGGATGTAATTCCTATTGCATCTCCATAATTCTGTACAGCTTCAAGAATAATTTCATAATCCTCATCGAAATCCATATCTATATAATCCAAAACCTCACCACTTATTTTCACACACTCCAAAATAAAGTCTCTATTATAAATCAATGCCTCTGTTCCATATAATATCGAGTAGGCATCTTGTTGAACAGCAGCCAAAACTATTTCCTTGTCGTTAGCAAATTCAGGTAGTACACCTAAAACTTCTCCACAATTTGTGACAGCAACTAGTGCCATTTCCCTATCAGTCGTATAAAAGTAATCATAAATAATATAACCAGAATATTTCAACAATTCAGTGAATTGTTCTTTTGTGAAAAATCCTTGTCCAATGTCCTCATCAAGCACATCGTTATAGCTCTTCAATCCTTCCCTTACAATCTCAAATATTTCATCCATACTCCTTCTCAGGTTCCAAAATAAATGTGGTAGAGCTTCTGGATATTGTGAAAATCCCTCTTTCAAAACATCCAATGATAAAGGTTCACAAAGTAACTCATCATCAATTTCTTCAAGGGCAGCTCCATAGCATTTAATCACATACTCAATAACTTCCTTATCTTCTGTCTGAAATTCTCTACAGAAATCATAAGGAGAGTCAATCAGACCAACTGTGGCAACTTGTTTTGGAGCAAGTATTCCATAAAGTTGGTCAGAAACCAATATATTTCCATTAGTGGAAGCAGCCAAGATTTTTTCTTCATCTGAAAGAGAAGACCAAACATTACCAAACGAAGCTATCAAACCATCCTCCTCTATGGCCTTTCTCAAAATTTCTTTTGAAATTAAACGTTGTGGGTCATCTGCCAACATAAACCGAATCGACATTCCATTGGATTTTACAGCTTCTGCCACCAATTCATCATCCACAACACTCTCACAACTATTGCACTGAAATGTTCCAGTGTAGTATTGAAGAGCAAGTCCGTCTGCTTTCACTGCTCGCATCATCAATTCTCTATCGCTAGTAATTCTCCTATCCTCGATTTCCTCTAGAATGGCACACGGTTGAAATTCTACCGAGTAGTAAACATCAAGATAACTATTCAGAAATTTTGTTCGTTTTTCTTGTTTGTTGTGCATTCGTTTTTGAAGGAGTAAGAAGAGGCTGGATGATCTTTCTAAATTTTCCTCAACATGTTGATGATAATTTCCGACCATCTGATGATGATCGTGCTCGATATTTAGCGGAGGAATATAAAGGTCAATCAAGTGAAGAATAACTGGTTGGTTGTACAGCATTTTTTTTAAATGAAATTTTTACAAGATTTCACATCCTTCTTTGAAATTTTCTGGATATCCATAAGGGCGACTCCGTGATGAGTTAACGTTTTTAAGATTGAAAAAAGGAGGGAAACTGGTGAAACGATTCTGAGAGAATAGTGGAGAGTTTCAGACAATAAATTATAGAGCAATGCTGAAAAATCGGAGATTTTATATCTTAATGCTCACATATTTCATCATGTTCAGGGACTGGTAACAGTTTCCTTCGAGGAGAGAAGTGAGAGTGATGTGAGTGGATTGAGTGATGACTTGCAGTTTCCAACTGGTCGTGATGTTGCACCGCTGGATCGAGAGCTGCCTGGTTACTGAAGAAACTAGTGATCGAAGCACTGACACTGTATCTATTAGGATTGTTTTTGAAACGTAAAACATCTATTCTTGGTGAGGACATTAACGTAGATTGAGGAGAAGCTTGGTTTGGTGAACCAGTAAGCAAAGTTGGTGGTCTGAGACTGTCATTGTTTTGTTCACTAACACTGTTATAACTAAAATTACTGTAATTGCTGTTAACACTTTGGGATCTTACTCTTCTTGAGCCTGCAATTGGTGCAACAGCTAAACGCCCATCTTCTATTGCCATTTCCTGTTGAGGGTGAGAGTCAGTCTCTGAATGAATATCTTGACTTGCGTTCGAAATCAAATCAGTGAACTTAGGACCTCCTTGATTTGCTTGATTTACAGCCATTTCAATATCTGATCTATCAATAGTAACTTCAAGAGAAAGCGGATCTTGGTGATAAATCTTGTTGAGAAGATATGTTGTCATCAATCCTTTACCTTTAGCAAAAACATCTCGCCTTTCCTCGAATTCATATTTATGATTGAGTCTTGAAAATGTCTCCTTGGTTACTTGAATTCTTCCTGGATGGCAAGTGGACTCCATTCTACTTGCAACATTGATAACATCTCCCCAAACCTTAATTTCATTAAGAACAATTACAGACACAATAACAACTTACATCATACGCGAATTTGAGTGTGCCAATTACACCTGCAACTAAACCTCCAGAATGAATACCAACTTTTACATTCAACTTTCTTCCAAATTCCATATTGTAGTGGTGCATAATGCTGAAAATGTCCATGGCAAAGCCAAGTACCTCTTCAACATGGTCAGTTGATGGTTGACCATGGGTTGGAAGGCCACCAACACAAAAATATTTTTCACCAATAGTTTTAATCTTTTCCAAATTATATCTTGGAATAAGGGAATCATAACCATTGATAATCATGTTCAACATTTGAACCACATCGGTGGCACTCATTTGAGCAGCTACGAGATTGAAATCAACAATGTCACTAAACAAGCAAGTGCAATCCTCAATCTTGTCTGCAATGAACGTTTCACCCGACTGTAAACGATGAGCGACACTTTCTGGTAAAATATTTAGTAAAAGAGCTTCAGACTTTTTCTTTTCTTCAGCGAGTTCAATATCTCTCTTTTTTTCATTTGTTTGATCCTTAATAAAACAAGTGATGACCTTCTTGTCATCACCAAGAATGGCTACTGAAATATTAATCACTGCTGCGAATTGTGTCTTGTTTTTTCTAAGTCCAATAAGAGGAATGGTCTCACCCTTGGAAGAGGTTGATGAAATTGCATTAGAAACTACAGAGTCAACCTTTGATCTAGTTTCTGATGAGAAAAGATCAGAGAGCTGAGTACCAATGACCTCATCTGCTCTGTAGCCAAACATTCTTTGTGCAGACTCGTTGAAAATATTAATATTACCATAAGTTGAACAAATGACTGCTCCCTCTACAGCTGCCTCAAGAATAGCTTTTTCTTTTGAGGCATTATCATTAGATTTCTTTGAGTCTCTATCGTTTCCAACGGAGAGTGAATAATTAATGACATAGGCATGTAAAACAGAGTTGGAATCGAGAATTTCCCAGGGTAAGTGATTGAGCATTGTTCTGATTTGATGCACTTCGTTTGAAAATCCGTTCATCGCACTGTAAATGATGTAAACAAAGAATAGTAGCAGAATGGAGGATACGGGAGCGAAAACAGAAGTTAAAATATTCGTTTTGGTTGTGAAATAGCTGACATAGCTCGCAATAACACCGTCTGTCTTTGAATCTGTAGCTATTGCTGCATTGAAAATAACAGAATACTGATCCAAAAGAGATTGTATGGAGTAAATCTGTTGATAAATGTTGTCGTTAACTTTTTCTGCATTTTGGAATATTAAAACCAAATCATCAAGCGAATAACAAGCAAAATCGTTTGCTGTACAATTCTTTTGTTCTGAAACTGATTTATCCACTTCTGTTAAAAGACCAGTAATTGGATGAAACCCATTAGATTCATCACCATATCTGAAGGAATTCCATGAAACAAACAAATCAGATATATGTTGCTTAATTTCACCATGAAATTGATCCCTAGAGACTCCAAGTTCTGCGTAATCAGTCATCAGTAATTCCAAGATCTTGAACTTTGTTCTTTGTAGGGTTTGCAGGAAGGTATTTCCTGTCTTGACTTTCTGCATAACAAACATACCATCCTCAATAAAGGATACACTTTCATACACAATCAAAGCAGCTCCTAAACAGGTTAAAAATAAACTCAAAACTACCATTACTAACATGACCTTCTTTGGAGTGACAAAATGTTCTTTAGGGGTTATAATCTTATTGCTGTTGGTTTCAAGTTTATGGATTGCTTTCAAACTCTCTTCTTTTGGAATCTTTTTGAAAATATTCAATGTCTTGTCAAGAATAGTTGAATGCCTAACAATTACAATAATATACACAACTACATATAACGCAAAAACAAAAGCCAATGAAGATATAACAACAATGAAGACAATTCTGAAGGAATAAATTTGACTCTCAGAATCTGCTATCAATTTAGAGCAAAATTTCTCAAACGATTGAGTAAAATCAAGTCGGTTATTCCCTTGAGTTTGTTATAAACAATAGTTCAGTAAAACTTACAAATTAGAAGGAAATCAAAACTGTCACGGGTAACATTGTAATGATCTATTCCATGGTCGAAGTACTTTTGAGATGTTGACTGAAATACTGATACTAAATCAGCAACAGAAGCATTCTTGGAAGAGTACAGAAGGGGCTCGGAATAGTTAATTTGCATGATTGGTACTAAAATATTTGAGCTGAGCTTGACAAAGTGTTCCATCATTGTTTCAGTGAAAATGGAATCCTTAAGGAATGTTTCTACAACCTCAAGCTTATCAAGTGCTTCAGTTAATCTTTCTTTATGGTTGGTCATGAAGGAATCATATGTTTTGTTGGATGATGTTCTCATCATTGACTGAATTCTTCTAATATCGGACAACACAAGATAAGGTACTAATATCATTAGAATTTACAATAAAAACACAAACTTACACGAAGATATTGAGCAAGATTTCTCAACGAGAGTAATATTCTTGCTGCTGGTTTGAGAAATGACTAAACCCAATACTAACACCACTATTATAAAGGTGATTCCAACAAATCCAAGAGATGCAATGAAAATATAAAGAAATTGGTGCTCCTCCTTCTTATTGACAGCGCTCCTAAAAACATTTTGTTGTGCACCTTCTCTATCTTCATTACTAACAGATTCAAAATTCATAGCATTCAGATCTTCTTGTGATCCTCCTCTACTAAGGGAAATTTTCAGATCAGATTCATAAATTGACCTCTTAGGACCAATACTTCCAGTGATACTAGGTCTTTTACTAGCCAAATTTCGAGAAGCCTTTTTAAAGTTTTCCTCTTCTATAATACTAGCCTCCTCCAAAAGTTCAGCAGCTGCCATGTTATCAAAAAGGAAATCTTCAAGGAAGGCAGCATATGCTCGCAGTACAGTCTGAAGACACTTATAAAAATCACACAAAATAACAACATACCACATCAGTAGCATAATTTGATAGCAAATTGCTGAAAATAATGGAACATTCTTCACTCAATTCTTGTATTTCTTTGACAATGTTATAAAGCTTTTCGTCATTTGTTTGTTCCATGGTGACATTTTTCCAAAAGAGAACTTGTAGCTCCCTTGAAAGTTCCAACTTTTTTTTTACACTCGACATAATGTGATCCAATTGAAAATTGTTTCTCCCCATTGATGAAGCCTTTTCGACTTCTCTCACTCTGAGAAAGATTATGAATCTCAAAAAAAAGTTATCACCTTTCTTTTGAGATTTTTGTACCAATGTTAAGGCAAGAGTTACTGAACTAGTAGTGAGAATAAACTTGATGAATAATGCGCAAGTTATCATACTTGTGGCATTAATTTCTAATCTTTGTGACATGGCTAACTTGGTAAATGAATCTGCAAGGTCTATATCAGCTTCTTTTCCTTTCATTGCATATCTGACAAATATATTGACAAAATAATGGTCGGAATCTGTCAAGGTATTAAATGATCTCTTTTGGACACATTCTTGAAGAATTTTTCTTCCTTTATGCTGCATGTACCTTGTGTAAATGTCGGTCACCACTAAACCAATAGAAAAAAGAACAGCACTTCCTCCCACAAGAGCACCAACTAGTCCAAGACCGAGTCCCCATTCATTTGTTTGATTTACCAGAGCTGTGGCGATTGATACACCTCCAATAGCTAATCTTGCAAATCCCACTCCACCATAAACAACATTAGTTCCTCTTCGAATGAAAGGTTGCATCCAAAATAGCACGGCAAGAAACAATACTGCAAAGGCCAAATAAATAATAGGTCTAACGAAAATTATTGAAGCAGGAATGACTTGGGAAACAATTAGATAAATTTGATTAGATGCCATAATGATTATTATAATGTAAGGGTTGTCTAACACAAATAAATCCCTTGTCTTGATGTTAATGTTAATAAAGATTGCTATCGAACAGGCAACCAAGACAGTTTGAATAATGAGAAAGATTACTGACAAGACTGCAAATGCGCCATTCAATCCAGACCAACATCCTACTGTTGGAAAGTTGACAAGAACATAGGTGGGAGTTTCATTTAAGGGCACAGTTGCGGAATAGTCACACTCCCAAAACCCCAACATTAAACCATAGGTTGTTGGTATGGCCATGAAAAAGATTATTGCAAACATTACCCTTGCAGCTGTTTTGATCTTATCCCAGTATCTACTTCCGACTTGTTGGGCCTTAAATGTCATATAAATGACAATGCATACTGCTATTTGCGTGAGGAAGACAATAATTGCTAAGGCAATAAATGCTTCATAATTCATAAACTGAAATCCATAACTCCGACAAATGGCTATTATACTAACAATCCAAGTACCATACAATCCCCAATTTAAATCTATCGGTGATCCTATACTAAGAGATTGAAATATAATCAAAATATGAATGAAAAATGATAAGGCTCCATGCATTGGAACTTCGGGCCTTAGTGAGTAAATAAAAGTAAAGATGGCATGTTCAAATTTTTGCATTACTGATGAATTTGTTACTGGATCGGAAGGGTTTGACTTGGTGCTTTTCGACAAGGAGGATTGATTGTCATCCTTATCGAAGAGTGATGCTTCTGGGTCTTGAATACTGTTTCTTGAGGCAGATTTTGGAAGTCGTCCTGCTAGAGATGGATCCAGAGAACCTCTCCTTAATGCTCTGACAGAATTGGGAGAGGGTGGAGGCATCGTTGGTCCAGTACGAGGGCCAAGATTATAATTCATCATTTCAATGCTCCTTCTCTCTGAGTTGTTCATTGTGTTCTACTAGGCTCGGATGATGTTGAAATAAGTGGTAATAATAATTGTTTAAAATTACTATAAAAACAACAAGTCTATTTTGTAATATTCACAATGGAAGGCACCTAAGCTTTGAAAACAAAATGGTGGTTTTCCAATATTCTTGATGTTGAACTTCCTATCCGTGTTGTGTGATAAAAGTTGAAACTTTGCTTTAAGGCTTTCGTTGATGAAGGAACACCACCTGTCGAGTTACTTTTTTGAAGAAGAAAAACCAACAAGCGTAAGAAAAAAACCGCGCCAAAAACGTTCGAGAGAAACTCTGTTATGTAGCCTTATTGGTACTTGTTGTGGTTTTTTAAGGTCTTGTGAACCTTTTGGTATAAAATTTGAAAAAAAGTCCAAACTTTCACAATCCATTCAATAAACTGTAGACTTGATCTTTATACTAGATTTGCACAGAACATATCATGATAAAAATCAGAGCCATTCCAGCCACCATAAAGATAGAGTTTTTGGTTTAGGATGAAAAGGCATTGGTTCTCTCGTTTGTTTGGAGGGTTAGTTTGCTTTATCATTGACCATTCATACGTTGGGAGATTGAAACGAAAACATTCATTGGATCTCTCAGTTCCAGCTGCCAAGTTTAATACTATAATTTTGCAATAATAACAACTTACTAAATCCTCCCCACAAATAGACACAATTGTTGGAATCATCAAGAACACATGAGTGTCTACCTCTCTTTGTTGGAATAGTTCCTTTATAAGTTAAGGGCTTCCAAGTTCTTGATGGAATATCAAATAATAGAGTGTCATTGTATCTTCCACATCCTAAACCACATGAGGTCAATAGATTTTGATTCTTGTTAAATACTATTAAACCTCCATAGGAACTTCTTGGCAGTGGAGCATTCACTTGAATTACTTCTTCCCATTCTCTCTGGTTAAAACCACAATTCAAACATGTTATGATTATCGAATATTAATTAATCATACCTTTTCCAAATGAAATCTGTACATGTCACCGAACTTTTTAGCTCCAATTCCTGCATAAATAATCATATGTTTTCCAATGATTGCACAGTGATGAGCACTTCTTGCAGGAGGAACTGAATTATTTGCATATTTTACTTCTTTCCACTTGTCATCCTCAATACAATACTCATGCATATCATTTGTCTTTCCCTCACTCGTCCATCCTCCAAATATTATCAATTTATGCTTGTTTCCAGTTATGTAGCAACACATTGAACTTTTACACCTCTTTGATGGTGCATTTTCAAGAGAGGCTTTTTTCCATTCATTTGTATTGACATTGAAAATATATAATTCATTATATCGCCTCAATCCCAACCCTCCGAAAAAAGCCACTCTCTCATGATCGACACAACAATGAGCAATACCCCCTCCCGATGGTAAATTCTCTGTATCGGAGCAGGTATTTGTAATAGATTGCCAAACTAAATTTGAAGGAGAATTTGTGTTGTCCTCAATATTATGCTTATTACAACTCATTTTTTATTTATCTAATTGCAAAGATTGGATGATAAACTCATATTTGATGAAAGAGATAAAGATTTAAGGGTAGAACAGTTCTCTATATTAAATAACCGACCAACTGAATTCAATCAATACAATGAAATGCAAATAGTATTGCCTTCTTGCTTTTCATAATTAAATAATAGCCAAGACAGAGTTCATCTTTGCGAATTGTAATGTATTGACAAACGAATGTATACAACCATAAATCTCAATAATGCATTTCTCTTTCAACAACCTTTCGGATATGCCATTCCCAATCCAAGTCAACCTTTCCTCTTTCCATATAACAAAATTTTGATTTCCACTGATATCTTCAGTATTTACATTGCCAATCTCCGCCAAAATACTTCCATCTACAGTATTTTCAAATCAAAAAAAAAGGCGCAACGTTGTATTGAGGCATTGTCTGCTGCTACGTTCATCGCGATCGTGCTTTTATTCCCAATTACGACAGTCAGTATATTGAAGAGTTTTAAACTGGTTGTCAAGTCACGATATCGAATTCATTGTTTGGTAATAGAGTGTCTATTAGTGAAGATTATAACAAGTTTTTTGAAGCAATTGAATTTCCGTATTGGGAATATAAAAACTTTTGTGGATTGAATTGACTGCATACAACTTGAGGATTCTTTGAACTGTCAATATTGTGTTGAAATTTGTTCGAATCATCCTCAACCAATATAACATACTGAAAAAAAAGGTATGCCATTGTTCTATTCTGAATCGTCATCATACAACCTATTCGAAAGACCTCTTAACATGCCTCTGAGAAGCAATTTTTCAGAAGCAGACCAGTCTGTCGCTTCATCCATTGGAACATTCATCAAAAACAAAAGCAATACTAGTAATATTGTAAATAATCAGTACAGTGTCAATTCATTGAATTTCGACAATGCAACTCCAGGTCAAGATTCCACTAATGATAATACCTTTCTTCCTCAAGAGTCAACTCAAACAAGGGAACAAGATAGATCAAGACGATTTTCCAAACGATATTCCCAATCATTATCTGCAAGAGCTTCTATAAACTTGGATGCTTGGGAAAATTATTTAGATCAGGCAGCTCTCATTGTTGGAGATGCATTAAGATCAAATCCCTCATCGAAAGGAAGCACTCCTTGTGGCTCTCCAGCATCACCAGCTATCACAACCAATGTAAAGAAGAATACTGACACAAGCGAGGTCAATTATATTTTTGTAAAATCTTCCCCTAAGAAAGAGCAAGACAATGAGTCAGAATTTATGACTAACGTGTCTGGAATAAGTATTAGATCTGCTCCATCACCAACTGAAACGAATGATGGTACATTCTCGAGTGTATTCTCAACGCCAAAGAGTTTGAAACGATTGAGTAATGGAGCCACTGGACTTTTGAAAAACAAACTGGATTTGTTTGTTTCGAAAGGATCAACGTTTGCTGATGATGATTTCTACCTTGGTAGCAAGTACACAAGATCAAAATCGGTCAGTTCTCTCAAATCAAAGAGTCATTCTGCTCCAGAACTTGAAAGCCAAGCATTCGACGAGTTGATTGAGGAGCCGACAAAGAGTTCAACCTCAGACTTTGATGAAACCACTAAAATAATCAATAACTTTAACAATATCGAAACCCTCATTGATGATATGGATGGTAGAAAATTGGTCAGAGAATTCATGAAGAAGAGATGTAATGAAGAATTGCTTCTCTATCTGGAAGTAGTTAGGACCTTTAAGAAAATTAACGCAGCACAATGCAAACAGAGTTCCAATCCAACAGAGAGCAACACTGATGGAACACCTGTTGAATCACCTAGAGTTACTAATCTTATCTCTGCTACCAATGCAACAAGTCTATCTTGTGAATTTTTGAAAATGAAAGAATTCCAACTCGTTCACATTCAGTTCATCTCCATAGACAGCACTCATTGCATCAATGTTGATCACACAATAAGGGATAAATTTTCCCAGCTCTACAAGGAGCTCATTTCACAAGAATTTAATGAAAAGACAGCGCAATCAATGTATGAAAAATTTTCAGAGTGTCTTGATCAACTCTACATTACCATTTCTCTCCAATTTAAAAACGAAATTTTCCCTCAATTCAAACGCACAGATGATTACAGAGACTTGCTCCTACAGAAAGTGATTGAAAAGCATGATGCGGAAGCATTCTGCCCAGAAAATTCCTCAATAGAATCACTGCTTTCCAAGATTGACATGAAAGAATGTTGGAAGAAGTTTAAAAAGAAGAAACTTGAAACTCTAGGACAAATTCAAGACTTTACTACCGAAGATTACAAAAAGATTGGTATTTCCAAACTTGGCCACTTGAAAAGAATAAGCAAAGCGGTCAAGGATCATTTCAACAGATGCGAAGAAATGAAAAAGTCGATTTCCTGTTCAATATTCCAAACACCAGTCACACCTCGAGAATAAATGATGGTTAGACAACCCGCATTTTGCTGCATGTTTTTAATGGCCTAGAGTCCAATTAATTTTTTAGAAGAGCACTCCACAAGTCCTCAATAGAATAACGCTTATCATAATCAACTTGCAGCATTCCTCTTGCTAAATTTTCCAATACTTTCATCAATATTGATACTTGTGAATCTATAGATTGTTTAGAAGTATCAAAAACTTTTGTGATTATCGTATCTATTGATTGTTGATCTTTGGCATTTCCCAAAATGAGTATAGAATCATCATCTTCTACAAGTAAATCCTTTGAAGCAATAGATGCAACCTCAAATTTTTTCAAACCTTGAATTACTCTCATAACATTTAAAAGTACAACACCCAAACTCCAAATATCAGACTTGTCAATAGGTTTAGAGACTTCCTTAATATGGACCATCTCTGGTGACAGATAGAGTGGGGTGCCTCTCTTTGATGAAATTGGCACATTCTTGGCAATAGAAAAATCAAAATCAATAATCTTGACAATTTTTTCCCTATTCAACATGATATTTCCCTCTTTGATATCTAAATGACAATATCCAGAATTGTGAATCATGCGTATTCCATTCACTGTTTGATTCAAAATGTGAATTAGAGATTTCAGAGTTTCCACTGTAAGGCAAGACTTGAAATATCTTCTGCAATATCTTCCCAAATCATATTCACATTTTTCCATTAGAATTTCAGAAATATGAGTATTGGACTCTTCAACTGTAACACTTTGAATTTCATAAATTTGAATCACATTGGATTCTGTTTCACCTCTCGATAGATCCTTCATTGCTTTGTGCTGTTTTTCAATTATAGTAAAAAAGAAAATCAACATGTCGTTGATTCAATACTTCAACATACCACTGCAATATAATCCTGAACTCGAGTCGGATTCGACGAGAAGGATTGTTTCAATGCAAGTTTCTTTGAATTTTTCCATAAATCTGTTGTAGCAGATTTTCTCTTTTCCACAAGATAGACAAATCCATTTGATCCCTTTCCGAGCTCTTTAACTATTTTCAAATTACTCCTCATTGGTTCTGTTAGTGGACACTCATCCTCAGTGTGTAACATGGCTCCAAATTCATCTGTATACCTCTCCTTCACAGTCAATAACAAGTGTTTCAATCTCTTAGGTTCACTAAAACATTTCGAAACAAAATTTAACATGTCACTAGTCTCCAAACACACAATTGAGCAACAACTCTGGTGCATTAATATCATGATACAATCTCCACCATTTGGAACTGGACTCCTAGCTGAAATTGTTACAGCACAATGATGTAAAGTCATTGAGCCTTCCCAATTTTGAAAATATGGAAGAAAGACCTCTCTCTTAGGTACAGAAAACACAATGCAATCATTTCCCTCCAAAAAGCAAGGTAACTGAAAATTAAAAAGTCCCTCTTTCTGAAAGCAAACTGTCAAATTCTGTAAACTCACTTCATGTTGTTCAAACATTTGTCTGAACTGATCCATAATACCAGGAATTTCCCTTATCTTTACTCGAATGCATTCTCCCATAAATAATCTCGTAGGAATACTTTCCAATTCATAGGAGGATGAAGTTGTAATCATTGAAGTTGTGTTACTCGTTGTCGTACATGAAGAATTGGCTGATTCAATATCAGTCATTGATAATTTACGTTTCTTATTATTACTATTACTACTAACTGTATTATTATTGCTAGTTGAATTATTATTATTCATATGAGAGTGATGATGAAACGCCAAGTTTGAGCTTGTCGTTGTTGGACATGATGAACAATTAAAGGAAGGAATATTATTATTAACAATGTGAGGAGATGATTCATCTATTAGTATATTATTATTTAAATTATTTGTATTATTATTCAAATTCAAATTTAAATTGTTTGTTGTGTTGTTACTATTATTTGTATTGTGATGATTAATTAAATCGTGAGTCTGATGATGTGGATGATAGTGATAGATTGCCTCATTATTCATTGAATGACCATTATGAGAGCAATAGGTTGGGACGGAAACGAGAGGAATGTGGGAATGACTATGAGGTGGATGGCTGTGATAATTATCGACCACTACTACTGGTTGTTGTTGTTCTAGAATTGGATGAAGTTGTTGTTGGTTATTATTATTACTTTGTGGTGCAATGTTTTCTTGATTAGGAATTTGATGATACTGACTATGATACATAGATCCATCATGTCTTCCGTGATGATGATGATAATGGGACATGGTAATAATGATAATATTAGTCACGTTCCACCTGCCTGAATTATTATTGTTGTTGTTCTGTTTTATTGAGTTTGGAAACAGAGAATCTTCTTGTGGAAGGTTGAGAATTGACTTGGAAAGTTTTTCGCCCTTTTGTTGGTAGGAATTAAATAACTTTAGAGCTTCCTATTTACTGGGTCATTGTAGCTGTTCACGTACGGTATCACAGTGTTGATTGAAACTTCTCAAATCTTGCCTTAATTTTAAAATGCTTTGACTGTTGCAATAAATTGAATGTTTTCTGTTCGAGTATTGAAATTCATAGATTCGAGTCATCGACACAACTACTTGAGAACTGTAATTACTCTATCTTCCTCTTCTTCATCGTTTGGATGGGAATTCTTTTCGGAAGGTGGAATTAAATCTAAATGATCTAAAAGCTTTCTCAGAGCCTTCTTTGAAAGTTTCTTAATCTTTTGGGCAGGTGTAGATTGTTTCAACTTGGTAAATTGTTCCTTGACAATGTCTTTGCTCCTATGAAGGGCTTGTTTTGATTTGTTTTTCAATGTCTTGAGTAAATTCTTCGAATGTTCGGAAAGCTTTTTTGATTTTCCCTTGATCTTTTCTACTAGTGATGATGAGAGTACTTTTTGAAAGCCAGATTGGACAGTGTTGGCATACTTTAATAGTTTGTTCTTCAATGAAAGGCTCCAAAAATTGTCTTTGGTTGTTGGTTCTTCTTGTTGATTTGATGAAGTATTTTCTTGCTGATTCGGGATATGGTTCGGATTGTTAGAAGAACAGATCACTGAAACACTTGTCATTATTATCAATACAAGAACGATCCCAAGCAAAATGGCACAATTATTTAACAGTAACGAATGATGAGGTTTTATGGCTGATTTCAAAACAAACATTTTTTTATTATTTGTAACGGTAACTAATTTCAATTCAAAAGGTTATTTTCTTTTTCTTGGCTTTTTGTCACATTTTCTTTGGACACCTTATTATCTTCATATTTACAATTTGGAATATTATTTTTAATACAATTAAAATAATTATTATCATTAATATTAATATTTAATTTAGAGTCTTCTTTTTCATCTAATTTATTTAATTCTTCAAAATCATCCAATTCATCCGATTCTTCATTATTATTCTCTTCATTATTCTCTTCATCATCATTCTTTCCCATTATAATTTCATCATTAAAATTATTAAGACTACCAATTTTAAAATTAATATCCTTTTCTAATTTAATTTTATTATATTTCTTCCGCTTATTAGTTTTGTTATTTTGTTTAATGATTTTATTTATTTTTTCTTGTAAGATTTGTTTATGAATATTTATGCTTTGTTTAATATTACAAATACAAATACTATTATTACACATTTTTATTGAAAGAAAAAATGTTGTCAGACAATGTAATGCGAGAGCTGATAAAAAAAATGGCACCATCATCAACTACATCATCATCAACATCAAACATTGAAAATGTTCAATAATTTGAATTCTTGATTATCAGGCCTCCATTGTCTTCTAAAACCGAAGCCTCTAGGAGTAATGAATCTGGTCCCACCAAATACGGGCATATAGTTAGAAATGGCAACTATTCCACACTTTTTGCATGTGAATCGATAGTAAGATCCTAAATCATATGTAATTTTTTGTTTCTCCTCATCACTTATTGAATCTTCAATTTTGAATTCATCATGAAAACATTCGAATCGATTTGTTATCAAAGAGGACCACACACTTCTCAAATTTTGAAATTCAGCTTGGATTTCAGATCTGATGGCTTGATTGGAATTGTGAAGTGTCAACATTCGATTATTATGTTCCTCTCTCAATTTCAGATACAATCGTTTGAATATTTTCTTCCTTTCCAAATTAGTTTCATCATTATCTTCAATGGGTTGTTTCTTTCGTTTGGCTTTTTTTTCATATTTTCTCAAGTTACCAAAGTATTGTTTGTGATCAAGGGAGTTTAAAGTAGAATTCCAATCCTTTGATGAGAGTGTGTGAAATAGTTCCATACCTCTCGTGAGGAGAGTAGATTGGCACCATTGCGAATCTACAATATTCGAATCTCTTCTTGAAAGTACCACAATAGTGAGCATGATTTCATTCATACTCAAAAACTCAATAATGGTGAACCAAACTCCATCATTTTCGTGCAATTTCTTCAATTCATTTTCCGAGTTTGATGAATGATTTAATTGATTTCCTTTCCGTTGCAGTTTTTTCAAAGCCTTCTTTGATAGAACTTTCGTTTCAATTTCAGATTCATCTAAAAGCAGTAAATCAAATGAACTCATTTTTTTGAATGGTATTATTAGGACTTTTAGTAGTAAATTTTGAAAATGAACAATATTCAACTGAAATAATGTAACACTCAATCAAGCAAGAACTTTCCAACCAGAATAAATTGATATTCATTGAGCAAATTCATCTTGTACAACTCGAGAATATTTCCCAAACACCCATTAGATATCTGTTCTCAATGAATATTCTCTTCCAGAACCTTCGAAAATGATTCAAATTTCACAACAATTGTTACCGTTAAGAAAATCTTCATCACCCTTTAACTGGATTTATCACTTAAAAAATTATCCCATTCATCATTACCCACAAAGACTTGATTGTAAAATTGTTTTTAAATTAATATAATTATTAAAACAAAGCGAACAGGAAATTCGATATTTGTACAAGTTTCGGATCAGAGTGTTTTGATGATCTTTTGAAATGGAACAAAATCATCATACAACAACTAGTAATAATAGTGGTGGTAGTGGTGTTGGAGAGGATCAAATACTTACTCTCAATATTAAAAAGAAATATCCTCCTCATCTTCAATTATCTAACAATAACTTTACAGGGAATGGAAGTAGTACGAACAGTTTGAATAATTCTAGTGGTGCTTCTAGAGGAGTGAATGAACAAGTGGAGATTGGTTGGGTTGATACACCAATGGATGAGAAGGAATTGGTTGGTAATTATAATCCGTATGCTATTCCTTTCTCTTCACCAATTACTGCTCGATCAAGACCAACACTCATTTATCCTAATCAAACGAATGGAAGGATTAATCATCAGCAACAACAAATGCACTCGGAGGAAATTATTATTGAGGAGCACCCATCATCAATAGGAACCTCCTCTGTTTATGAATCTTCACACATTCAAATACCAATGATTGGAGTTAAAAAATTGAACAAAATTAGACAAGATAGTAGTAAGGATCTGTCAGAACACATGCCACATATCAATAATCTTAGTGTTAAATTATTGACACATATATTTTCATTCTTGTGTGACCAATTAAATGAAAAGGAGGAACAAGAGGATTCCGAATCGGATGATGAGGAGTTTGATGAGGATCCAGAGGTTGCACTCAATACTGCTAGGAATAAGTTACGAAATGCTCCACATTCATTGGAGGATTTAGTGATGGAAGGGTCTAAGAGTGGCAGCTTGACAACTCCGACAATACCTAAAAGAAAAAATTCAAGTGAAAATAGGAATAGTAAAAAGTATTATTCAGAATTTGAAATTGAAGAGGATGACGGATTAACCTCTGATTGGTTGAGTGCTGGATTAGGACATAAAAAGTTTGTGGACACTGATAGGATTGTAGGGAGTGCAACTGAGAGAATTAAAAATCTAAAGAGAAGTATTTCAGTTCCCTCAATTTCCTTGCTTCTCTCTAAAAATTTCTCAGATTCTGGTCAATCTAAGGATGACTCTTCTATTTTATTGGAGGATTCTACTGCCAATACAGTGAAACAAGGAGCCAAAAAAGTTCTCAACTATTCAAAGGAACAGAAAAAGAAGGAAAAGCAAAAGATTAAAGAGCAAATCAAGTTAAAGAATAGATGTGAGAGGTTTATGGTAAATCATGCCAAGAGAAGACACATTTGGATTCACCAAGGAAATGCAAACATCAGTCTAGTATGTAAAAAGTGGCACATTGCCTCTTGTAATAATGACATGTGGAGCTTGGCAACTATTATGCTCTTTCTCCATCTGAGTAGATTTTCAGTGAGCTTTAGAGCTTTTGATAAGAATGATCTGAACAAGTTGATATCCTCATACTACACTTCACCACAAAGACGTGAGGAAATTCGTAAGAAGCTTCAAGTATTATGTGACTATTTACTTCCAGATAAGGATACTTTTATGGACGCTGTCGTTCAGGCTAACAATAAGCAATTTTCTCTGGAGCATCTCAATCAATTCAGCTCCAAACTTACCTCTGCTATTTCTAAGAGGGCTGGTGCTGTAAGAAATACAGTAAAGGCCACTATGAATTCCATCGATAGAAAAATTACTGCTACCACAGACACGCTGACAGAAAAATTGGAACATCACATTTCACAAAACAAAATATCGAACACTCTCCTCGGTCACGATATTAAGGAAAGTACAGATTCTCCACCTGATGATTTCAATATTGCTGAAGAGGGAGAGAATCAATTATTGGAAGCACCTCAAAATACCGTTACACCACCTGGTGAGGCTGTACCCACCACTCCTTTGGCTGAAAATCAAGATGTAGAGGATGAATTTGAGGTTATTCCATCTCCTCACACTATCAATCAAGATATTATTGATAGTGCCAAGAAGAGAAGAAAGAAACAAAAGAGAATGTCAACCAAGGTTGATATTAGAAACATTTTCGATGATGATGGTTTGGAGGAAGAAGAGGATCCATCCAACCTCCTCTCTTCTAATAGAATTACCAATACACGTAAAAAGAAGAGAAATGGAAAATCATTACAAGATCCAGAATTGAAAGATTTGAACATTCACTCTAAAAAGTATCGCTTCTTCAAGGATACATTCATTGAAATGAAAAAGATTCAACAATTTGAATACGAAAGACTGGTGAATCTGAAAATAGTTGAGAATGACAAACCAGAAAAGAAGGAAAATATTAAATTCCTCCTAAGAAATACCTTTCCAGAAATGCTTAGCACCATTGTAGCCACCACCTTCTTATTCATGTACATATTTACTACCATTCCAGTTATTGCTTCTTCCTCAACAATGTACTATACACCATCTTTGATATTTTGGGTCTGGTCTCTAGTAATTTATTTACCAACTTGGACTGCTGTTTGGATTACCAGTTTTGTTCTGTACAGGAGAATTAACAAGTTGTTGAGTTCATCTCATTCCAACCCTGATAACATGACCTCACCAAGAAATACAGATACAGAAGCTCTACTCCCCTCCCGACAAAATGAGGATGAATTCCAACTTTGCCTCGCATGGATTAAGAGTTGGATCAATCCTCCCTCTCCTGCAAGAGAATTCTATGAGGAAAATTCAATCGGCCTCACGGGAGCTGACAAGACACTCTTTTACATGAAACGTTTGCAAATGAAATTGACCTCACATTCATTCTTTTACCATTTGATTGGAATAATGTTCATCGTGCCAGTCATGATTTTGACACTTTTAGATTTTTTAATGATTCAATTTGAAGTGAGTGGATGGTTTGGAGTTTTTGCAATTCCATGTTTTATTTATTTTGTTGCAGCAATAATTTCAGGATTATTATTCGTCATTGCAATTTGGGATAGTATTGTCTACTTGTTCAGAAAATACATTTCATACGATTTAACTGAAGCCATGAAGAGACAATTAAGGGTCATCTCTATACGAAACTTTCCCTTCTTGCTTGCATACGGAGCTGCAATGAGTTTCTTGCTTGTTTGGTTTTTGGTTGCATTCTCCGCCTTTTTGGATCATCAAGATACTGCGAATGAAGAAAATGTTGGAAAGGAGAATAACCATCCAGACACTAGATTTTCATTCGAGGGTATTGGCTACACTTTTGGACCACTCTATATTGGAGAAGTATTAACATTGTTTCTCTACTTGTTTGCGCTCATAATGCGAAGTAGTTATTACAAGAATTGGCTCATGAGAACGAGTATTTTGTGCGTTGCATGTGCTGCCTCTCAGATTTTCATTACATTGTTGGCCACTACTTCTCTTGAGGTGATGTGCTACTTGACCATTATCATTCCAGTGGTTGGAATTTTCTTAATGGTAGTAATTCCTCAATTGAGATATATTCATCAAGTTGGTTCTAGATTTTATTACATGCTTAAATAAAATCAATTTGTTCCATTTAAGGGTGTATTGCTTACTGATTGGTGCATGACCTCACAAAGAATCTATTGATGGTCCTACTTGAAGTTAGAATGGAAATCAAAGATTCATATTGTTCTCGGCCCAATTTGTGAGTTTGGTCTATGGAATTCATTGCCTTATTGGTCAGTTCTTAAAGGAAGGCCCTAATCTGGCTTCACTTATATGTGGGTCTTACAATATTGCAAAAAGTGGTTGGTATTCTCCTGGTAAGACTGTTCATACGTTTCATGTGAATTTATCAAGTGTTTTCTAGTGAGTGGTTTATGCATGTCGTCACATCCTTCATGATTGAGCATAAAGTAGAGGGACATTGGGTAGACTTTGGAAAATATTGCCAAGTGTCTTATTTCATGATAGAATTGGGGCCATTTTTCCATTTCTAAATGTGTATGTATGCGTGCGCATTGAATTTAAATGTTGTTGTATAATTGATGCATGAACATTAAGTATTCCATATAATTATTAAGGAATCAAGAATATCAAATAGATGTGTTGATCACATATAGCAATAAGCAAGAATATCAAATAGATGTGTTGATAATTAAGTAAATTGATCAAGATGTCCATGTCATGCATGCATTCATCATAATACAACAAATCGTATAAGATTACTTTCATTCAATCAAAACTTACCTAATTCTTCTTTCAGTTCATAAAATCTTCTTTTAAGTGTTGACAAACTACATCCAAGTATTGAACTAGCCTGTGTTTGAGGAAGATGTAACACTTTAATCATTTCTTGTTTGGAAATGACATTCTTTCTCTTTTGAGGTGTTGGTTGTGTTGTTGAATTTGAAGTTGCTATTATGGAAGGAGCATTCATAAATACATGTGTTTCATATGAAGATCGGTTTGGAATTTTCTTTCTATTGTTTGATACAAGTGGTTGTTGAGCTGTTGAGTGTACATCATGTGATTGACCATAACATGTATCATACTGTTCACTCGAAATTGGACTTTTCTTATTACTTGTTGGAGATGCTCGAAAATTCTGATTATTTACATGGTGATGATAATGTGAAGGAGGATTCGAATACACATGCATTGGTGCTGTACCACTACTAGTACCACCATTACTACTGCCACTAGCATCAGTATTACAATTATGGAGTTCCAATCCGCCTCTGTGTGCATTACGTGGTGGAGAAGGTGGACTAATGGGGTTTCGCTGCTGATAAGGATGATATCTGTGCTGATGCAAATTTACATGTTCCCTCTGATATTGTTGTTGCATGGTCATGTCATATGACTGTTGTTGTTGTGCAGCATGATGATAATTGTATTGTTGAGTGGTTCTGTCGAATGATGATGATGCTGGCACGGAAGATGTATCATAGCGAGAAAGAGAAGCAAGGTGCATCCCTGAAGCATGTATTGATGCTGATGATGGAGGTGGAGGTGATTGAGAAATATCATAACTGTGAGGAGTTACAGAGGGCAGATGATTGTGAAAAGAAGTCTTGATCATTTCTTGTTGGTTGTGTTGAGTAATAATAGGAGGGGAATGTGTGGCTGCTTGTTTTGTTTTTTGAACCACCTTGTTTGTGTTCATAATAGTGTGATGTTTTTTGAGTATGTTTTTCGAATCAATTGTTCAGATTTTTTGATTAATTTGTGTATTAACAAGATACTAGTTGACCACAGTTGAATGCCAATATAAATGCACAAGTTATGGATTCGTCGTTTGTTATGATAATTATACTTACTTATCTAGTGGATGACTGGTGCAAAATTTCAGATTCTCTCTCACCAATTCGCTTTGTTTGTTGGCACCCTTTTTCTTGTTGTTTCTGCTTTGGAAAAAAAGGATTTTAGGTAGTTGGATTAATGGGCAAATTGTCTTTGCTTTTGTTTTTTTGAAATGAATTAAAACGACAATTTTTCGAGACCATACAAGCTTGGCTTGGACTGGTGCCAATTTCAGCGATGCAAGTGAATCTTTGTGGCGGAGGGGAGGGCAAACTACAAATTAATTTGGAAGCCTCCACTTTTCTAATTGTTCTACTCGCTTGTTCATGTTACCAAGCGTTTTCAATAACTCTCTTTTCATGGTCTGACCTTGGGTTGAGCTTCTATTTGGAGAAGTCTAAAGATTGGTAAGAAAAACAACTGTAAGACCAAAATTTGTAAAATACTAGTAAGTTTGGGAGAATATTGCATTTCTTGACTTCATACAACGAACAGTTCATAACCAAGCGGTTCGAACATATCATACATCCTTGTCCTTATTGTAACAGCCTGCCATAGATGTGGAAATTGATAATGGGGGAATAATGGTCAAAATGGTGCCAATTAAGAAGAGACGCTTTTTAGAACCAACTTTAGATGACCAACCAAAAGCTGTAAAAATCGTTTGCATCCTAGGTCAATCCTTTTTTGTGTGCCTTATACCCGTTTACATACAAGATTAAAATTATCTCTTGCAACATTCATTATGGTTGTAATCTCCCTTATTATTTTCAGACTGGACACCAATATTAAGGTTGGACATTCTTGAAAGTCTCTCTACTGAACACAAAAGATTTTAGTGGTTGCTATGAGTTCTAATTATGGAAAGAGAATTACTGAATAATTTCTTAATCTCTCTGTTTACAACATTTCAGAATCAAACCAAATAAAGCGACTCATTAGTAAAGCTTAAGAGGTAACTCAAATAGTCTCTAAGAGACATCTCAATGCAACAAACTTTGTGACCTTGAAAAAATCATTTAGCTCTCTTGAAGTAATACTAGTGGAGGGAGAAGTATTTTACTTCCAAACAAACTTTGTTATCGGTTGTCTTTTACAAGATACCATATCTTGGAACATACTTAGAATGGATTCTATTATTTTCGAAACAAAAGCCGAAATTCCGCACCGCTACAAACGAATCGAGTACTAATGGGATTATCTTTTTTCTTGGTTTTAATCTCCCTGATGTACAGTATGTTTAATTGACCAGTGATATAACCAATAGTTGTTGAAGAATGAATAGAAGAATGAATTTTATTTGAGATGTTGTTGTTGTTCATCTCCTGCGTCTTCGGCAGGTAACACATATGAAAATAGTGAAGAGGTAACATCTGGTGTACCAGTTGTACTATCACTGTTTGATGGACTACTATTGTTAGATCTTTGGTTCAAATTGCTAAAGAATGAACTGTTAGTGTCAGTAGAGAATAGACTGTTAGGTCTAGAATCAAACAATGAAAAGTAATTAGTTGGACGATGTTGGAACGTAGCAGCCAATCTATTGACAACAGGTGGAGCATTAAATGCATTGAATTGTGGATTTGGAGCAAAAGGCAAACTATTAGAAGAAAAGTTATTTCCTTGTCCAAAGAATGAATTACTACTAGCTGCTGGAGTTGCCCCAAAGTACCAATAAGGTTGACTTGCTTGTCCAAAACCAAAATCTCTTCTAGTATTATTATTACCTCCAATAACACCTACTTGTTCCTTATGTTGATTTGTATTGTTAACTGGTGAAGAAGATGTTGCTGTTTGACCGATTGGAGGAGGAGAAACTGAGGCACTTCTCAACAAGGATAAAACATCATTTTCAATAAGAGAATTTGATGAAGGGGATGGTGCCATACTATCACTTAAAAGTCCACTCAAGTTTCCAGTACTTCCCAAATCTGTTGAACAGGAACTCTTTTCGTCCAATAACAATTGAGAACTATTTGGAGTAGTATTATCCAATAAATTCTTATAGGTTGCTGAATCGGATGAGGAACGTTCACGAGTCTTGACATTATCGTTCATGGATGGAGTTTCAATAACATTGTTCAAGAGTTCAGTGGTAGAAAGTGTTTGATGATTTTCTCTTCCGCCAAATCTAGCCATTTCGTTCGAGTTTGGAGTTCTACTTCTAGAGCTAGGGCTGAGGACAGATAAATCAATAATACCATTATTAGTTACATTGGCAGTCGTATTGTTTGCATCAGCAACAGCACCACCATTACCAGCCTTGACAGCATAAAACTTTGGCTTTTCATTACTATTGGTTATATTGGTAGGAATTGCTGAAAATGCCTTTGGTTTAATAACGATATTAGCCTCTGTTTCATTGAACTTTTTCTTATTAGATGAGGAATTAGTCTTCTTTTCAAAATGTGGCTTTTTCTCTGAGCCAATCTTTTTGTAAATTGACTTCTTTTCATTCTTTTCTAGTAGTGAATTGGAAGAATTGGCATCATTTTCAAATGTAACATTATTTGTGCTGACGATAGTATTGTTATGAGCAGGTTTTTCTTCCTTCTCCTCTTTTAAAACACTGGTTGGTGCTGAAATGGCACTGCCTTGTTTTGGAGTAGAAGGATGATCTACCACTATTGATTCTGCAACACTTGTCTTGTCACCTGTAGATTCAATCTCAACAATGGTCTTGTCAGCATTTTCTTCCTCTTCATTTGTATTATTCTGTAGATTGGATGCAGCCTTTGTTTGTTTTGGCTTGGTCTTTGACTTGTCAGATTTTGGAATACTTGGAGATTGATTAGTCTTTGGCTTCTTCTTCTTTTCAGCCTTTTCGGAGGCCTTCTTCTTCTTGTTTTCCTCTTCAGCATTTAAAACTTTTTCTTCATCATTCTTATTTTGATTATGCTTCTCTGCATCCATTGAAGGGAAGGTAATAAATGGGAATGAGCTAATGCTAAAGTTTGGTTTGAGGAAATCAGTAATTGAAGTTGGTAATTCATTATCTGCAGAATCGAGTGTCTTGAGTTCACGACATGCTCTGAAAATAATATAAAGAGCCAATGTAAGAACAATAAATGTAGCAGCAACTCTGAACAATCTATGGCCAGTACTGATAGGTTGAGTTTCATAAAAGTATGGCAATACATTATAAGGAAGTGTCAATCTAATTGGATAGGACAACTTTCCTTGATCTGTGTCAATTCTTATGAAAAGATCAACCACAGCAGTAGTAAAATCTGGTTTGTATGAAATCTTGTAACCAGTTGTTTGTCCAGGTTGTAACTCAAATTTGCCACATTTGTGTAATTTGACACCATAAGCATTACAACCCATATTGTCAATACTACTACCTAAAATAGTGACCGGCATATTACCCTTGTTTTGCAATATGAACTTTTTGTGGAAAATTAGTTCAGTCTTTTGGGTATCCTCACTTCCATTATTGCTACTATAATTATTTTGAACAAATCTATTTGTATAATTGTCCCATGTTCCCAATTGTGACTCCTTAATTTCAAATTTGAGAGAGGCAAGATCGTTTCCATTTTCACTGAAAATGAGTTTAGAAGAACCACCATTGCCTGTAAGTTTGACAATATCAAAAATGGTCAAGTTATTTCTAATGTATAAATAAGCGACTGAAGGAGCAGCATCAGATTTTGGAGTAAAAATAATTGGACCTAAATTGGCATGTCTATGAGGTGGAATATTGGCAGAATTCATACCATCTTTTGGAAGTCTAAATTCTGTATATGATTTGTCACCTTGACCATCAATTTTTGGTACATTTCCTTTTGCATTTCTTTGAAGAAACTTGGCAAGAGATCCATTTCCTAAAATTAATTGAAGAGAAATGAAATGATCAGATGGATTCTCAACAGTCAAGTATTGTGACGCACTTGTACCAATATGAGTAAGTTTAAAGTTGATTTGGCGTACTGGGGAAAGTTTTGGATATTCCAATGAAGTAGAAATATTAATATTATAATTAATTCCAATATCTGTTTGTAATGAAACTGTTCCAAGAATGTTAGTATCCCCAGCGTTCTTAATATCTTCAAATAGAGAATTTCTCCATCTATACTTGGTAAACTCTTCAGATGAAATGGTAGAGGACTTCTTATTGTAACTAGAGGTACTAGTTGCAGATTTTCCATCATCCATCATGTAATTCTTCTCTTTTGGAACTTTGGAAGCATCCAAGGTTACATAACCAATGTTCATCTTTTGGTTTGCCTCAATTGTTTTATGAGTAATGACTGGAATGAATCTTTCATCAGATGACTTGATTTCAGAGATGGTAATAGTTCTTCCAAAAGTATTAGTTGCATAGATATTTTTCTTTTGAATTTTACCAGGGAAAGTAACATCAAAAGGTAATTGATTAGTAATGGATAAACTACCTTCCATACAAATAAACTTGAGAGGAATGGTCAAGGATTTGTATTGAGTCACAAACTCAATAAAACCATTTTGTTCTTCATCTGAAGTTGGAGTGTAAATATCCAATCTCATAATTATCTTTTGGTTTGGAAGAATGGCAAAAATGAAAGAATCCTTGTTTCCATCAGCATGCTTGCTATTAATACTTTCACTTAATTTTGTTGGTTTGATAAGAGTTAAAGAGCCCAAATCATCCTCAGGTTGGTAAATCTTGACATATGAAATGGAAATGCTTGATTTTTTGTTTGTCATACCAGTTACCTTCCAGTCAAATATTTTGATTGGTACAGGATTCATATTGGAAACAGTAAAGTAGTGAATCTTTCTACTGCTCAAACCAAGAATACCCATATTAATACCATCATTGGCAGCTTCAATGTTGAGAATATTCTTCTCAGCATTAATTGGAATATGATCTAAATTGCCATGATAGCTATAAAGTGGAATGTACAATCTGGTAATATTTGTATGGAGGATAAGATTAGTCTTGTGAATCAAAAAACTGTCACTTGGATTAAACCGAATAGAAAGTACTCTCTTCTTGCTATTCTTTTCTAAAATAGAACCAGTAGTAAAATCTTCAATAGTAAATCTCTTATCAAACACATCAGCAGAAGTGAACTTGATTGGAACATCAAATCCATTCATTAATACCATTTCATTAACCTTTTCTTTACCATCACCACAATAAAAAGCTGTACTATTCATTCTATAATCTAAAGTTCCATGAATAATACGAGAACGGTATGGAACTTCAATAATACCAGCATTTTCCTTTGATGTAGTATCATTGGTCTTGAAAATAATTTTTCCAGTAAATTCTCCTTGTATCTGAGATGTATAAGTAACCTTTGCAACACTTGAAATTGATCCTTCTTGAAGAAGGGTATTCTTTGTAAATTCTAACTTTAATTGAGCATCAGTTTGTGCAATAGATGCTTCAGATACTAAAACTGGATTTGGAGATGAGTTAAGGAGTACAATGTCACGAGTTCTCTTCTCATTGGCAGAGATGAAAGTTCCAAAATCAATTTCATCAACAATACGATGTACTCCACTCTTTGAAACAATAAATTCAACAGGAATAATAAATTGTCCACGATTAGTATTAACATGAACAAATCCTGTATGTTTTTTAGGTTGATTAGCATGGAAATTCAATAAAATAATAGACTTTGTTTGGTGAGGTTCAATTTTCCATAATGATAAAAGTGGATTCTTCTTATTATAAGTTTTGTCATTTGAATTTTGATCTGGTAAACTCAATAATAAAAAGTCTTCACTAGTGTAAATTTCCTTGATTAATAATGATTCATTTTGATGTGGATTATGCATAAAAATAGGTTTTCTATAATCAGCACCAACAGGTAATTTGTGTCCAAGAATTGGTTTGATGTTATAGGCATTTTCAATACCTCCACCAAATGCCTTAAAAGAAAAAACTCCAAAGTTCGTATTAATAGTAATAATTCCTTCAGATCTTTTCAAAATTCTAGGGAGAAAAATAACATTAATTGTTATCTTGTTATTTTCTTTCTTACTAATAGATGGATGGAATAAAAGAGACTCTGTAGATACTGATGTTATTTGAAGAGCTTCTTCTTCTTCTCCATCCTCTTTAGTGATTGTAAATGTTTTTGCAATAGGATTGCAAAGTGGTCTATAAATAAAGTTGAAATAAATTTTTCAATAATAACACATACCTTTCTTCAAAGTCTAATGATGGTGGATCAAATAGTAACTTGACTCTTGTATTTGTAATCTCAGCGTTATTAGTATTTGAAGTTGGCATCCCAGCATTGCCCTTTGATGATTGGTTTGATGTTGTGCTTGAGCCATCACCACTGGAACTTCCAGAAGTTCCATCAATATTATTTCTCCTTACCAGTGATACGGAATCAAGCTGTGTTGTATCATCTCCATTATCTTCATCAGTATGGGCATGTTTTTGTTGTTCGAGGTCAATTATATCTGCCTCATCAACATTATAGAGTTGATAGTTTAGACGATTGGAAGACTGACTAGCTCCACTTTCTTCTTCCTCTTCGTCATCTTCTTCCTCATCATCAAGTTTTATATCAAAATGGAGCTTTCCTTTGTGCGTATTTACAAGTTTGTCTCTAAATTGTTGAAGGTACGTCCTTCTTTGATTTCCAATAAAGTCCTGATCATTCTATTAAAAAGCAAGTGTGTTAGAACAAAATTTACTCTTTAGTATTTCTCATACTTACAATTAAAATATTAGAAAATTCATTTCTATCGGCTACTTTAAATTTCCAAATAAATGTTGTTTGTTAGAGAACGTGATTTGTTAACATTATATTGTGTGTATACATTTTAATGGTACGGTTAGATGAATTCTTCGTAATGCTTTACATACCTTGCGAATGTATCAGGTTCTTTATATATGTAAATTCTTGGGGAGACTTATCTTCATTATTGTTGTTTAGTTGTTGTTGTTGTTGGTTTTTCACTATTTGCTCTGCTACAGCTGGTGTAATAGCATAGCAAGCAGAAATTGCCAAAACTCCACACAATACAAACAATACAATAATTGAAAAGATGATATTTAAAACTCCTCCTTGCTTGTTATTTGACATCATGATACTAGTAATACTACTACTATTCAATAATTTATCCAGTTATTGTTGTCGAAAGTTTCCGGAAGTTTTTTTTCAATATTTTGCTTCAATTTAAAGATGAACAAAATACTTCTGAACTACCAGTAATAATAACCACAATAATATACTCTTGTATAGAATGCTTGGTTAGATAAAAATTACTACAAAGAATACCAAGAAGTCTGCTGAGAAAAAACAACTTTCCAAACGCGCAGACAACAAAAGTGAGAGCGATAAATTTTTTTTTGATGGTGACAAAAATAAATTCTGCTGACGACAACCTGCAAGAACCCTCACGAGAATTATTTTGGCGCCCAAATGATTGAATATGGCCAAAACTTGCATCTAACGCTTGTTATCTTCAATTTTCAAAAAATATTCCTCACAACAACACTTTAATTCAAACATTTTATTTACATTTATCACAATTTCTGAATGATGAAACTGATTTTTTTCATTGTCACAAAGCTATCCAATACATTTTGAAAGGTTGAAATTGAGAGCTCTAGATGGCATACTTGTCTCCTACATAAAAGGATAAGGCCTGAGTTACTTAAAGGATCAAGTTCTCATTTCTTCTCATACAACCATCACCTGTTGTCAACTATGAAATTGATTTGTGCTACTTGCAAAGATTGATAATTATTTCGAACAGTCAGTTTTATTTTCTCTTTGACTTGGTTTTTGTTGTTTCTTGCCCATAGAGAAGCAAATGATCATGTTCAACACTTTTTTCATATCTTTGGGTTTCTTCTTTCATTTCCAAACTCTTCAAAAACACTCCTGCTTTCTTGTGTCCTTTTTCACTTGCTTTTTGCAAGAATTCTTTTGCTTCATGTTTCTTTGATTTTGAATATCTTAGAATTAGTTCTGCATATTCGAACATGGCATCGACATTTCCAAATTCGGCCGAGGCTCTCATGTACCTTATTCCCTTTTGGAGAGAATCATGAATAATTTCTTGTGATTCCTTTGTGTCGAGATCTCGTGCCATCAATCCCTCACAAACCAATTCAGATGCCTTCATGTAGAACACAAATCCAACATCATCTAGTTTATGAATCATTGATTTGAACTTTTTCATTTCCTTATTCTCCTTGGAGAGATTGGCAATATATTCATCTCGTTGTAAAATTTGTGCATTTCTTTGCTCAATGACTTTTGTTAAAGTGGTTATTTTTTGATTGACTTCTTTGATATCTACATTGGATTGAGAGCTGTACAATTTGGCATCAAATGCTATTGAGTCAAGTGGAGAAATGCAATACTCTGAGTGCTCTCCACAAGTTGACTGAGAATTATAAGATAGTGAAGGAGAAATGGAAAGTGAGCTATCACATGATGGACTGTCTTCTTCCATTGCTGGTGTATCTGGTATTGAAATATCCATTACTTTTTTAATGACACTATCCAAGATGATTGAGTCTTCCTTCTTCTTTTTTGAAGAGGCTAGGGAATCTTCAAATTCTTCAAATGCCTTCCTCTTCTTAGAGCAAGGAGTACGAGGAGAGGTCATGGTATTGCAAGACTCTTCGTCTACATCATCTTCCTCTTCATCTTCATCCACCATTTCAGTTGAATGGAGTTCATGAGCACTGCTCAAATCATGCTCCAAATCATTCATATCCTCGTCATCATCATCCACAATTACAGCAATGACATCTTCATCCTTTACTTTTGGTGCATTATTTACAATTGAACTATTTCCACTTTTTGAGGAAGTTGTACTCTTCTCAGAGTTTTTCCTTTCTTTCCTATTGGGATTCACTTTTGGGGGTTCAGAAATGATTGGTTTAGATTTACTTTGGCTGGTTTTTTGCTGTTTTGGGGAATCTTTCTGTTTAATCTTGTTTCTGATGGTGGATGGTTTAAGGGAAAGTCTACTCTTACTCGTAGAAAGAGTTGTAAGAGCCTCTGTTGATTGATTTACAGCAGGTGTAATTGGTTTCGATTTTACAGAAGAAGAACTTGACTTTGTTGGAGTCTGAGAAATTGTTGGTTGAGTTGAACTCTTAATTGGTGATTTGAATGAGTTTGATGCAGGAGTTGATGGTGTGCTTGATGGTTGTGGTTTAGATTCGGCTTTCTTTTTTGAAGATGAGGCAGCCAATTGTTTCTTTTTCAATTTCTTCTCTTCTTCTTCCTTATTATAATATTCAAAGTCGTAACCATCCGATGACATTACATCTATATTCTCTGCAGTAATGTTATCATTTTGGTTTGACATCATGACTGTCCTTTGTTGAACTTGTTTCATGACTTCTTCGTATTCTATTTGAGGTAGGGCAAACGAAAGACTATTCAGAAAATCCTCACTTGCTTGACGTTGGTGATGAGGGTCACTTCTCTCTGGCGTATTTATGGAGGTTGATTGGTTCACAGTAGGTGGATGATTATCCTTTGGTTCCTTGTTGCTAGAATTGTTGGATTGTTTTTTAGGAGAGCTGAAAGAGCAAGATTGTGAAGGAGTTGGTGAAAGAGTGGTAGCTGTAATGTTGTTGCTTTGTGGTTGGGACTTATTGCTTGTCTTTCTGGCAGAGAGTGGAGGTGATTGGATTAAAATACTCGTATTGCAATATTCAGCCGATGATGATAATTGTTGTTCCTTCCTAGTCTTTGAAATGCTTGATGATGAAAGTGAGGCAACTGAAGAGAGCACACTGCAACTCGATGATGTATTGGAGGAAATAGATCCCGAAATGCAACTATAATTACTTCCACTCGATGAGCTTGATTGTGTATTTGAGTTAAGGCTACCTGTAACCGATGTATTATTTGATCTGCTATTGTGAGAAGAGTTATTTTTTGATAGGATCCCACTCAACAATTTCATTCGTTTTTTTTGTTTTATTAAGTTTATTACCGTTAAGGCCGGAAGTTGACGTATTACTTTATCCTTAATGACACTAAGAATCAGCAACGAATGTTTTATTTCAACGATTATTTAAAACTCGACCGGATGAGAACGATCTATTAAAAACGAATCTGAGACAGCATCTTTCAAATGACCATACAATGCATGTTAATGTACTCTCTGTACTTCAATTTTCAACATTAAGAAATTGTTCAAAATAAAACCTTATTGTAAAATTGACATAACAATGATTCATCGATGGACCAGTATAACACCTTAAAGTTGGTCATTTGTCTCTAATTAAGAGATAATTAACCTAGCCATCGTGTTGATGATTTTTTAAAAAATACAAAAGCGTCATCATGCTCTCACTCACCAAGAATAACAGCACCAACATGACCACTAACAAGGCAACAATTGCCGGATGGTCAAATTGTATTCTCAAGGTTGGACTCAATGATGGAAGATATTTTGTTGGAAGATTTATTTGTGTTGACTTTTCTTCGAATTTAATATTGAGAGATGTAAGTAGTGGTTTGTTATTCGGAAAGAAAATTAACAATTAATAATTCAGACAACAGAATATAGGAAAAGACCAGAAACCGATGAAGGTGAATATGATGAACGAAGAATTGGATTGGTAATGCTCCCAGGCAAGATGGTCACTTCTTGTGGTATTATGGATTAATAGAGAAATTAGAAAACTTTTTGAAACCATCTTTTTAATGTGAATAAGAACTTTGGAATAATGCAACACAAGCTGCTCACGCAGTAACAGCATTGAATTGCTGTCCGAGATTTCTGTGTAAATAAACGTACATAAAAATGTATTGAATTTAATTACACAATTTAACAATATTTATTCTTCACAACTTGGGTTATCAAACATTACGGAAATGTTAAAGAGCAAAAGTTTGTTGCCATTACACTTGAGTGATCAGTTTTAGCATGGGATAGATCTCGGTCCTCATTTAAGATCAGATGATTGAAGGTTGAGAGCTATTTTCGTCATCATGAAAAACAAGTGTTAATAGATAATGCAAGAACATTGTCTTCCATACTGCCTAACGCTCAACCACGTTTGCTTCTTCGCTTCTCTCGCCAACACTTCTTGTGGTTGCAAAATAATGAACCTTTTTTTTTCCAGCTCCAAATATTATTTTACATCTGTGCATTTAATTTAATGATATTTTTTGATTAAAACGTTTGCTCAATAACAAAGGTAAGGCAACAATTGTTTTCTTTGGTGGTGAGTCACTTCTGACAAGTGCTCCCAAATCTCTGCACTATTTTAGCATTGACTATCCAACAATAATAAGGAACTCAACAAATAGGAAAACATATTAATAACACTCAACCATTAAAAAAAAATGTTTCAACAGGTCAAATCAATTTTTGCTCCCAAAAGTCGATCCCGATCAGGTTCAGCTGGACCAGTATTTGGTTCTCCACCACCTACAGATTCCTATCTGGATTCAAATCATTCACCTCCATCTCTTTCTAATACTCATCACCATTTCGAAAAGAGAAGACTTTCGAATTATTCACCAGCTGCCAATAATTTATCACCATCATCCAATAATTCTCCATCCCCTTCGTCAGCAAATAACAATTCTTCTGTTGGGTCAGCAAATTCTGGCAGTAACTCGCCAATTTCTCCCAGAAGAAATGCTGTCATTCTTATAAATAATAGAAAGACCATCACTGGAAGTACAAGTTATTTGACAGGTGGCAGATTTAAAAAGGCACCACCATCTGGCCGTTTATCGAGTAGAGATGTTTATAGTAATCAAAATTTGGAAGGAAAATCTTCTTCACTATCAACATTATTGTCCAATAATGCAAATGTTCATCCATATATAATTGTTACGTTAAAATCTTGTGAAGATTTAATTCCCTGTGATAGGAATGGCAGATCCGATCCATTTTGTGTATTTCACCACCGATATTTGGAACAGGAAGATCATGATCATCAAGCAGCCCTCAAGGGATATTTGGAGGAAACAAAGAAATCGAAATGTCTCAAAAAAACACTCAATCCAATGTGGGATGAGAGTTTCTTTTTCAGTGTGAGGAATGTTGAACAGAACGGAAGTGATGAGCTATTTGTGGGAGCCATTAAGGATGAGCTGATTGTAAATGTTTGGGATTTTGACTTGTTTCAATCGAATGATTTTATGGGAAGTGTCTCGGTGCCACTCTCTCAATTGTTAAAAAATCAAACACAGAAATTCTATTTGAAATTGGAGGGTGTTCCTCATGGATTCATCTTTTTGGAAATTACAGCACAAAACTGTGGTTTGGATTTGGGTGATGAATTTTTTGCAAGTGGAGCTCCAACTTCAAATTCTACCACTCTAAGTAGTGGTAAGAGTATTCGATTTAATCAGGCTGTTGTTGATGGAACCAATGTGGAAGTTTGTGCAACAGATGTTAAAATAGGCGAGTGGAATGGATTTAAATTCGATCAATTCATGACGAATAGTAAATTATTACAAGAATTATTCCAAGAATTGGAACAGAATCCAAATAAGGACTATGAATTGATTCAACCACTGGGAGAGGGATCATATGGAATTGTATTTTCTGCACTCAAAAATCTTGGACCAGAACAGAATAGGAATGAAATGGTTGCACTCAAAAAAGTTAAAATTGATAATTTACAAAGTGCTCAAGAAATTCTCTATGAAATTGAACTTGTTCAATATTTGGACGAGGGTGAATTATCAGAGTGGCCATACATTGTACACCACAATAGCATTTTCCTTGAAAGTGTAAATAGATCGAGTAAGGAGAATGAAAATGATGAAATGACCATTTGTTTAGAGATGCCACTCTTTTCACAAGGTGATTTACAAAAATTTTTGGAATCCAAAGCAAGAAAGGGCAAGAAGATTCAAATTTCAACATTTGTATTGTACATGAAACAGTTGGCAGAGACGTTGGCACTCTTGCATCACCCAGAATTCAGATCGAGACACAATAGAAAATCACTCTCCTCTGAACCTATCGAAAATGAACAAAAAGAACCATCGAAAGAAGAAAATTCCTTCGTTTACTGTCATCGTGACATTAAACCTCAAAATATTTTCATTGCAGATGATTATCAAACATTGAAATTGGCTGATTTTTCCTTCCTGATACGTATCAATTCTGAGAAGGGTATGAGTAATGCAATAGATGGCATGAAGAATACCAAATTGTGTGGTTCTATTCCTCACATGGCTCCAGAGCTCTATCTCCAAATGAACAGCGATAGTGTGGACCCTATTTCTCCAAGTGAGGATAGAAGTGATAGTGAGAAAATTAGTGAGATGGAATTGTTACGAAAAACCGATGTCTTTTCATTAGGTGTAATTGCCTACCAGCTGTTAACTTTTGATACAAAGATTGACCACACATTCTACCAGAGAATCATGCCTGGAGGTGTCAATTTTGGAGGCAAGTTATCTAACAAGAAGAAACAAAAGGAGAAATTCAATGATTTTGTAGATGAATTGGAATTTGAAATTAGCAAAATGATTTCTGTAGCTGATAATGAGGAAGAGTATGCACTTATTGAGCCAATCAAGAATGCAATTCTTTCCTGTCTTAAATGGAATCCAAAAGAAAGAATTTCCTCATTGGAGTTGTGGGATAATTTGAGAAAGATTGAAGAATTAGTTGAAAATTTGGATACAGAACAGATTTAACAAATTCAATATCTTTCGTGGAATAAAATTACTAACCACCCTTGCATACTAAATCTTTCTCTTTTACATTTTTCGATAAATTCTTGTCAGAAAAACCTTTAAAGTGTAATTATTATCTATAATTGCAAATATGTTATCCTTGGTAATGGTTCCTCGAATTTAATCCATCAAATGTGTAATATTTGGATCTTTCATTGATTTTAACAAGGTGTAGGTGCTTCCATAACTGGTTGTTTTATCATGCAAGGCAACAAACTAGACTTAAATCTCAACTAAATAAATACATTCATTTTCAAGGGTATTTTATTGAAAGAGAATTATCTCACTATCCATGTTGATATTGATACTTTCAGTTCAAGTTTACTGCCTCACTCAATAATCATTTACTGTTGCTTACAAGCGAATCAGAAACAATTTGGTAAGGAATGTAAATTTCAGCTCCCTTGAACGTCATCCACACCAAAATAACAACACTCATAGTAATGATTAATTCCAATCAATATTCCAATTAAACATTCCTCTAATTGGATTCATCATCAGACTCTATGGCTTGCCTTTTTTCAGCAGTACTTGGCGATCTTACAATTTTACAAACGCCAGAACTACAATCATATTTATAAGAAGATGAAGATGATCCTTTTGATGATGAGGAACGAGTGAGAGCACATCCTTGTTTTTGACTATTATCAACTCCTCTAATCCAATCTATCAAAAATTCAACTCCACCAATTATCAATCAGAGAACCATTATAATTATTGTTATATTGAAGAAACGTTTTTTTTTTGTATTTTAAATTTTAATAAGTTCATATCAATTAAATATAATTTATTGTTGGTCAATAGAGGCGAAATTATTTTACCTCCATCCCACACAAGACAACATTTTGTAATGGTCCAAAGCAATCGCACGGCATCAAATTCATTGTTCCTCCAAATGAAAAATTTAATCATCATTCCTTCTGCTTCATCATGCTTGGAGGAAGAACAAGAACAAAAATAAAATCAAGCTAAAAAAAGATTCAAAGCCTTTTTGTCTTTTCTATTGGAACTTTGATCAAACTCAAAATTGCAATAGAGTTTGGAAATACTACACACAATTTATTTACACAATCAATAGAAAATTTCAAGACGGAAAAACATTAGAAGTGTTACCAATTATTCCTTTCTTAGCACGTCTATTTGATTGTATTTATTCAATTTGGATTTGTTTAATAACAAGCCTTCGAAAAGTTTCATCACCAATATCACCATCATTAAATCATCATCAGATCACTGATATGAGTGTGAAAATAAATCATCACTCTTCGGAAGAAACTAACATTGAAGAGGAGGATGAATTCTTTAATAATTTTATTGATTCATCCTTTGAGAGGAGTAAAATACTTGATCAACTCTCAAATCAAGACACAAGCGATCAATATATTCAATTGGGAAATGTTGTTGATGCTACAGATGAAGAGACAGATGTATTTGGAATGGGTCTATTATTTGTAAGTTCAATTTTATTCATTGGTCTATAATTTTCTAACTATTAAAAAGGCTGAAGAATCTGTAGTTGTAGACAAGACTGTCCTACAATCAGAAACAGGAACAGAGGTATGTTTTAAATATGAGATAAATTGTACGAAACAACAAAGTTTTTGAAAACTTTCGTTTTGCAAGTGGTTTCATCGGAAAGGTACCTTTCTGAAAGTAATGCCAATGATTTTCCATCAATCATGAAACTATTGTGCAAGTTTTTACAGAGAATGAAATGTTTTTCTTCAACCCAACATTTTGTAATGGTCCAAGTTTTGAACACATTCGTAAGACAACTCTATTCCAAAAAGTTTATTGAAAAGGGTAAGTTTGTGAGCTTTTTTCGAAACTAAACATGTTATTCCAGTTATTCAAAAAAATAGTGCTTGCTTTTTCAGCACTAAATACACACTTCTTGTATTGGCAAGATATTGTACATATGTTTTAAACGAATATGCTGACAAACCATTATCGGAAAATGTAATTCACACAATTCAATACGCTTGTAAAATTTTGAATGTAATATTGACTGGAAGAAAGACAACTGATGCAGAGAATAGATTGGAGAAAGTAATTCCAGAAAAGTTGGTTGCCTTTCCTTTTAATCTTAATGACAACAAACCTAAAGAGGAAAATTCTGAAACTATACCAAATACTGATATTATTCAACAATTATTAATCATCTCCAACGAGCAATCAGTGGATTCTAATTTTACAATCACACCAGTAATTGGAAAATTCTCAAATTCTACTCTTTCTTTTGATAAGATTGTTAAACAATCTAGGTCATACCTCATCAATAATTTACTTGTTGGAGAAAATTTATGCTACATACTGAACAAGATTTTGAGCTCTAATTATGAACAAAAGGGTGAAGTGAGTGGAGTCACATTCGAAATTATCAATCTTCTTTCAAAGCCAAATGTGAATGTCTGTAAAATAGAAACTGAATTTTTGATTGAAAAGGTAAAAGAAATCATTACAAAACAATCTGTTGGAAACTATAGTCCAGATATATTGAGATCTATTGCCACTCTCATTCTTAAAAAAACCAACACAAAAGATTCCAAACTTGCACTTGCCCACTTTTTAAACGGTATTTTCTGCATTTTTAATGAGGAGGATGGCGTTCAAAAGTCCATGGCAATCTACTCCAATTACTTGTACCTAATGGCTAATATCTATTCGTCACACTCCACTTTTAATGAAATCAAACCAGATTCTTACAATCTTCCACTAATAGTTAGCCCAATGATAGAAAAATATTTCCCTCTTAATAAGATTAAAGAAGTTGAGGAGGCTTTTACGTTTAAGAAATCATTATTGCAGGAAATTATAGTTTATGCTGAATTGTTCTCTCACGCCAATATTAACAAGGTGATTACCATTGTGGAGAAGGCTGTCGATCTCGAGTTGGGAACTCCATCCACTAATGATTTAATCACTAATTTCCTTGTTTTACTCAAAAATGGCCTCCAAGAAAACAATAAGGAGTTTAAGGATAGTTTTGTTTCCAGCTCCATTGAGAACTTGAGCAAACTTTTCAAAATTGGAGAAAATATTGGTGATCACGATACTCAAAGGGTGTTTAACAAGATTTTAGATATTTTGGCATCATCAAATTGTGATATCGCATCTTTAAACATGAGTATTATTGAGATGAAGCCACAAGTGTTAAGAATTTTTATGAAATTAGTATTGCACAACTCATCTGATAGAAAAATTTATGAATCAATATGGACAACATTTATCAAATCTTTGGAAACTGTTTCAATTTCACAAACTGGTGTTGAGGTTTGCCTATTCTTAGCTTTTAGTTTTGAGACCTTCTCTATTGAAACAAGAAAGATAATATTTTCTTCACTATTGACACAAGTGTTGAAGGAAGACTTTTTGAAAGATAGTAGGAAAACACTTCTTTCTAATATCTTGGTATTGTTTGAATACTTGTGCTTTAACTTTGAAAAGATTCCATCTTCGGCACTGCAACAACTCACATGTTTTATCAAGGGAGAGAACATTACAGTATCTAAAAATTTATTACTCCAACAATTAGACTCTAAGGATGTGGGTAATGGTATTTTTGAGTTGAACTACTCTAGTAATCAGCTTTCTTCACATGTTACGCAAATATTGTCAAAGGATAACATGGCTGAAAAGTTGATATGTGTCCTTTTTGAAGCCTTTACAAGTTATCAAGACAAAAATACTAACCACGAATGTGATTACTTTACAGATGTCTCACTCAGGTTAATTAAAACCTTGATGAAGATTGAAAATTTGAAATTTAACAAGAACAACTTTAGCAACATTTTAGCAGAGATTTTCTACCACGATAAGACTGCATCTAATGATTCTGTTGTTGAAAGAGTGTTAAAAGAGAAAAGCTTTGAAAATGTCAAGCCAATATTTTTGTCTCTCTATTCTGACAAAACATGTATGCTTCTTAAAAAGCAAATAGAGAAAAGTCCATCAAAAAAGCTTTTCGAAACAGCCTTAGATTTCTCCTTTTCATTGCTCAAGAATTTGTTGAATGATTTGTATTTGGTTTTCTCCAAGGAACTTCAAATCAATCAACTTTCTACTGAAGAAGTAGATGTATGCTTGGATATTTGCCAATCATCTCTTGCAAAGGAGGATATTGTATCATTGATCAGCTCTTTCACTTCACCTAATCTGGCCAAGATTTCAACTCTAAACGTTGGTGAGTGGTATGATGGAAAATTACAATCTCTCAAGAAAATTGTCTCCGAGTTGTCCTTGGCAGAAAGTTTCAATTCTATTCTGATACATAATGTAAAGAGTGTACATCTTTCAAGGGAGAACTCTACAGCATTTGCTTTGTATCATTCTATCAAATCAGTTATTGAATTAATTTCTTTCACAATCAATAAGGCAACTGAACAAAACATGCTCGACTTGTCTCAATTTAATTCAGAAAAAGTCGAAAGTTTATTCAATATTAGAGAACACTATACATTTAGATCAGCCTTATTGGTAGAATCAATTCTTTTCAATATTTTCAAAGATGGTTTTGTTCAGGAGTTACATATTTTCAAGAATTTTACTCTTCTTAGAATTGTTGAATCAGTCAAGAAAACCTTGTTGGTAGAAAAGAAAGTTGAAGTTGCAAAGAAGGTTTTAGCTGAAGTTTTCGAACATTTGGAAGATCAAATATTTTCTACTGATGAAAAGAAATTACAAAGCATTCAAGTATTACTTGTCGGTCAGTCAACAAGTCCAAAATATTGTGAGAACCTAAAGTTTAACTCTTCTATTTTGATGAGCTTACTAATGCAAACAGAAAATTCGGCTGAAATATTTAACCTATTGCTCTCTTTTATTGAATCAATTTTAACTAAGGTTGATCCCGAAAACAAGGAAATTTCTAAAGTATTATCTGAAACAGAAGGATTTAATACTTTTATAGAAAGTAAGGTTTTGGTTAAAGATACAAGGAAACAAATAGAGCAATTGATAAAATGCTTATCAGGAAAGGAAAATTCAAAACAACTTGTAGATGCCATTGTTTCTTCATTGATGAAAGTTTTACAGGAATGTGCATATTCTAATAGTAAGAACTTTGACGAGCTTTCCCAAGATTTATTCCCATTATTTAATTCTATCAGCAGAGGTGACAAGTTGCTTGATAGTTTTGTGGAGATTTTGGACTCACCAACTGCAAAGAAGGACGTTCATATCATTGAGTCTATTTGTACATTTTTATGCAAGTACTTGGAAAGAGATTTAGATTCTAAACGTGGTGAATCCAATCGTCAAATTTTGAAGTATCTCAAGGAAAGAACCAATAGTGAGAAGGTTTTCACCTTTGAGGGTCCAGTGATTCAATCAAATACAGAGATTGAGGAAAATATGGAGAATAATTCCTACAAAGCAAGTCATAGTTTGATTAAAACTTCTGGATTTAATGTAGACCTGGAGGATGTATCAGACAAACCAGATTCAGAAGCTACGCCTATTGAATCATCCAATGGCAATACTCTTTGTGTTAGTGACTCACTAATTGAAAAACTCATCTCCATTCTATCCGAATTGAAACAAGAGTATGAAAAGCAAACCACAGAATCAGAGAGCAAGAATTTTTCTTGGAGTCTACAAGAAGATTTTTCAGTTTCCGAGTCACAAAAAGTTTTGGCTGAAAGAGTTGCCTCTTTTGCAGCATCTTCCTTCACTGCTAATGTTACGTTCGAGAGAAGACAAGAGGTCAACATTTTTAGAAGTAAACCAATGCCAAGACATTTACTTGCTTCAAATTTGTCGAACACTATGGCCCTATCAGAACAAAGTGACATTTCCTTCATGAAAAATACGACAAATTTTGCAGATAATATGAAAAAGGACAATACCAGAAGTGATGCTGTTATTATGAATACTCATTCAGTTCCTTTCAAAGTTGTCCACATCAAGTTCAATCCAGAAAATGACAACTTTTTAGCAGTTGCAGGTATTTATGAATGTCACGTACTAGTTTTAGACTCTGAATGCAACGTTATCCAACAAATCCCTCTCTATTTGGCATGTGAAGATATGCCTACCGAGACTTATATTATTGATATTCAATGGTTGCCCGGAGAACAGTGCTTACTTTCTGTTACAACAAACCAATTTGTTAAGGTGTATGACCTGTCTTCAGACACTTTCTGTCCTACATTTAACTTTGCTGCTCAGGATGATTTGATTGCATCGAGTGTATTTGCCTCTGATCCAAATGGAATGAAGGATTTAAAGACATGTTTTGCTCTTACAAAGAAAGGTCAACTTTACTATCAAAGCTATTTCAATAGTGGTGGTGAAGCTACATTCACTGATAGTATCACAATTACAACACACAATGGCTCCTCAGAAGGAAAATATGTGTTCTATTCAGAACTTGCTCATATGTTATTTGTAAGTTATGCGGATGGTACATCTGTCGCCTTGCAACTTGATCATTTGTCTGGTAAAATTTTGTCTTGCTTGGAACTCTCCAAAGATTCTAGCTTTAAATCTCTTGGATTCTTTACTCATGTGGTGGAAGCTATTGATATGTGTGGTGTTGTTGCAGTAATGACCAGCAATTACAAATTGGTTCTATTTAACTTTTTGAAGGATAAGGTTGAATACCAAATTTTAGATACTCCAGATTCCCACACTATTCAAGGAATAACGAGTATACCACCATTCAGCAAAAACTCCTCAATTATTGGCTTATTTAGCAGTGGCGAGTTGATTAAGTATTCTGTTACCAAAGAGATCGTTCCTTGTCTTTCCCTACCACCAAAGAGTAGAATATTCAAAGAATTGAGAAAGAGACACGGTGCCAAGTCTGTAAAGAAGGTTAAACAAAAGCTTTCAAAGCCAGTGGTTACTGAAAAACCAAAAGACTTGGACAGTTTACCAATTGATACAGAAACAAGTGAGGATATTACCTCTAAATGCACTTTTGAAGGGGAAAAGGTCAATGATATTGGATTGGATTCTTTTAAAGATTCATTAGATGAAAATAACACTCTCTTCGTGCAAGGTAGCAATTTAAAATTCAAAGTTAAAAAGCCAGATGATTATGTCTTTACTCACATCCAAGTATTAGTAGGAAAATCTAACAAAAACTCTATTCCATATTCCATCCTTATGAATAGTCATACAATAGAGACTGAAGTTGATACTGAAAAGTGGTACACTATTATTCTCACAAACCAAGAGGCTTTAGATTTGTCAGAGTTGGAGATTGAATTTTCAACAGTACATGGTGGGTCAAACGAACCTGCAATAGATTCCATCAAAATATTTGGTACTTTTTCATCTACATTTAGATTTAATTATAGCAAAAAGAAGTTAGAGCCAAAGATTGTGGAGGAAACAAGCATGCACCATGAAGAAAAGCTATCCTTCTCTTCAGAAGAAATATCTATGATATACTTCTTGAACAGAACTATTTCTGACTACTTCCAAAAGAATGGTATTGAAACCAAATTATCCAAGACTAATATTTTCTCCATTATGGCAGAATGTCTAATGATACCAAAGTTTGAAGAGGTTAAAGACTATTTGATTTCTACTATGATTTCTCTTTGTGATGAACCAAAATCTTTCGTTACTTCCAAAACAGCAGTTGAGTTAAAATATATTTCAAAGAAGAAATTACAAGAGATGGACTCCTTCAAGATTGATATTGTAATTTCTAAATATTTGGAGGCAATAGAATTTGATTATGAGCAAGTTTTTGACCAAATCAAGTCCGAAGTTGACTTTAAGAAAACACTCTATTCACTGATAGAAAAAAACAAATTCGATGGAAACTTGAATCATGACAATTTAATCAAACTGTATAGCTCAATTCTCTTTATTGAATTTTACAAGGAATCAGGATCTTTAGATCAAATTTCTAAATTCCTATTGGACGATGATGAGGCAGTGCGTACAAGCTGCTCTACCTCTTTGGCAAGCATGATGACTTTCAGCAATGTTCCAAATGACAAAGTACAAATTTTCACTACCTATTTGGTGGACCTTACAGAAAAGACACACGACTCTCTTTCATTGCTAAATATTCTTCAACTTGTTTCTGTATCAATTCTTAAATACTGTTCGAATTTGAAAGAAGATGAGTATGAAACAAGTATTTCAACATTTATTCGCTCATTAGCATTTAATTTTACAGACTTGTTGAATAATCTCGCCATGAAAAGCCCAGCAAGCGAGAAGAGAACACTCATCATGGCCATGCTTGCCTCTCTTCTTTCTACCTCCTCTGATTCCAAGTTTGTTCCTTCACTTAGAAAAGAAATTTGTAATTTATTGACAGAGTCAATTCCTGAATTGCATACATCCATGGTGTCTGTTTGCGATGATATGTTAGCATTGTTTGTTCCAGGAAATCAAGCTGACTTTGAGGATATCATGGGAGGCTTACTGAGAAGCCAAAAAGAAATTCCTACCAGATTATTCTCTCCAATATTCTCATTGGCATACCTGGAAGAAAATAAGTCTGATGTATTTGCATCCTATCCCAAGATAGTTTTACAAGTTGTATTGAGACTATTCAAACATGTTATTAATGTAATACCAGTAATTGAAGCAGACAAACAAAAATGGAGTAACTTTTTCTCAAACATTGCTCTAGACGAAACTCCATTCATCAGATCAATTGGAAAATACAATCTTCTTTTGATTTGTGGAAGTGAGCAATTCTACAACAAACTCATGGATGAAAAATTATTCAAGTCCAAGCTGTCAGACTTTGTCAATGGTTCCGATCCTGTCTCTGTTTGGTCACCAGAAAAGGCAAGAAGATTAGTAGTTAAAGTCAACGATATTATGGATAGTGTCAAGGCAAGACCAGAAAATTGGATCAACTTCTGCATGGAACATGAAAATGTTTTGCCTGCCTTGTTCGAGTTTTCATTCTTATTGGATGAGAGCGTTACTATTCCTCTCCTTTTACTGAACATGTCTTTTGTATCAGACAATGACTCTACTCTACAAAAACTTTCTTCTCTGATCACTACTCACTCTGCAAAGACGTTAAATAAGTTTGTAGATTTTATTTTCAATGGAGAAACAAACACAATCAGAGCAGAAGCTGCCCACCTAATGTCAAAACTTGTACAATTCAGTGTCAAGTACAAGGAGATGCTTTTTAACATCATCGTAAAGAGAGTTCAATCCTTGCCATACTACGGTAAGAAGGGTAAAGAATTTTTGAACAACCTATTGATTCCAATCTATGACCACTATCCAGAAAAGAAGCAATTAATTGCTGATGAATTGGCCAAGTGTTTACAATCACAAAATGGATTGATTTGTAACCATCCTAATTCTTACATTTATGATACCATTCAACAATATATTTCTGTTGAACCTTCTGGTTATTACTTGGAAACAACTCCTTGTTTGGTCTGTAGTGATCCTGAACTTGACTTCAAGGAACTCAATTTACAAGATATTATCCAAGGTCAAAAACAATCCCATTCATCTCACTACTACAAGCTTTCTAATTCTTACACAATAGAATCAATGTCAATTGACATAAGTGATTTTAAGAGATCCAAAATGATTAGAACAGTGGAAATTTATTTCAACAATAACCAAGCACTGGACGCCAATGATTTACCTAAAAACTCAACAGTTTGGCAAAGGGCTGGTACAATGAATGTTGCAAAAGGAGAGCAATCTGCCACATTAACTTTTAGTGTTCCAGTTACATGTTGCAACCTATTGGTTGAATTTTCAAGCTTTTACTTTGATTTGGCTTCTATGGATGCACTCTTTTGTGATTCTTGTGGAATTGCTGTCTATGACAAGTATGGACTTTGTCTTTCATGTGGTGAAAATGTATTTTCATGCAGTAATTGTAGGGGAATTAATTATGATAACTTGGACGCATTCATTTGTTCCACTTGTGGTACTTGCAAGTTTGCCACTTTTGCCTTCTCTTTGAGTGCCAAACAAGTATTCATTGGAGACAAGATTAGAAATGAAGATGATTGCAAAAAGTCCTTACAGATCATTGACAACCAACTCAATTCAAGTGAAGCTAAACTTTCTGCTTTGAAGACCAAGAGTTCTGAGATTAAATCTCTGCTTGTAAAGTTAAAGACAGGAGATTATGGGGAACAAAAGCTCTCCGAAGTTATTTCCTCTCTCCAAGATGTTTATAACAATGAAACAAAGACTCTCCATGGTGGGCTGTCACATTGCCAAAAGCTAATGCTCACAACAAGAAAGCATTTGAGAGAATACATTTCTGCAAACAGACAATCAGACAAGAAGTATTACCATGAAAGCACAAGTTCACAATCTTCTAATCAGTTCGAAAATAAGTGTTATGGTTGTGCAAATAACTTTGTTTCCAATGTTATGGACTTTTTCTTAACAGTTAAAGACAATAACGACGTAAATTTCAATGACAATTTAGTTGAAGAACTATTCAAGAATATTAGTAGAGGAGGATTGAAAGAAAAATCATTTAAATTGCTAACTTGTCTATCCTTTGGAAATGAGCAAGTCAGCGAAAAAGTTAATTCCAAACTCAAAGAACAAATTGTCAAGTACTGCCGAAAGACTTTAAAGGGCTACGATGTAACCTCTCAATTGGTAGCACTTACTGAACTTTTGAAAAGAACTTTTGATGAAAAAGATCCATTCTTTAACAATAGAATCCAATTATTGTTTGAGGTTTTATTAGAGACCTCCAAGTTCAGCTCTTCCGTTATTATTTGTGAAGAAATGATCAAACCATGCTTGATTATTCTTCAAAAGTTTATTTCTTACGGAAATTCAAAACCATCCTCAGAACACAGCACTACCGATCAAACAGTAGTACCAATGAGAGGATTACACTTTGGATATCATCAAGTTAAGGAAGGAGAAATGACTTTCGAAATGTTCAAGAATAATCAAATTCCAAAGAAGTTGCCAAGAAATGACTTTGATATTCTAGGTAGAGAATTCCTTTCCAATACTCTCCTTAACCTTTCCTCAAATACTGTGAGAGAATTGACATTGCAAATATTACAATCCCTTTGTTTAGACAACTCACACAAACAAATTGGTATTCTCCAAGCTCTTACTGCTCTATTATCTGAAGCTATGAAACGAGGTGAGGTATCTTCATGCTTCTTTAAACTTTTCAATGAATTGGTCAAACAGGAAGAGAGAAAGACATTACTTTCAAGTAAGGGCTTCTTGAGCTTTGTTTGCAAGTTGCTCAAGAAGGAAGTGAGCTACATACACAAACTTGAAAATTCAAACACAAATCAAAGTCAAGATCTTTCTACTGGCTCCAGTCTATACTTTTTGGTTTCTCTCCTCTCTGAATTCTTAATAATTCCAGAAATATTGACAGAATTCAAGACAAACGAACAACATATTAGCACAGTTTTAGGAAGTTTCCTCTCACTCAAATCTCTTGTTGTTCAAAAAACAAAGGCAACAACTGACAGTTATGAAATGCTCAAGTCACTCACTGAAAAACTTCAAGATACAGAAGATGACAAGAAATTGTTTATTGCTGCTTGTGTTGATACTCTCAAACTTTACAGTGATAACAGAACAGCCTTATTTGTTTTTGAAAAATTGAATAATATTATTCAACCAATCAAGGAGGAACCTGTTTTCAAGTTGAAACTTGTTCGTGCAGCAAGCCAGGAATTCTACTTCCAAGGAAGACTGTCAAGACAAACATGGAATTCTGTAGACTTTAAGAATAGTTCTGGAGGACCAGCTTTAATGTCAGATGTAAAGGATAAGATTTGTGAGGAACTCTCCATTCATTCAGATATTCCATTCGAACTTTTGGTGAATAACAAGATTATTGCTCTCAACTTACCAGTTACAAGAGTTTACGAAAAGGTCTGGCTCACAAGAAATATGGAAGGTAGCACTCCAAATGCTCCTATGGAAGTTATTTACAGATTCCAAGGTATTGATGAAGCATCAGAAGATAATGTGGATACTCTCCCAAGTGAAGATGATTCTATCAATATTGCCCAAAGATGTAAGATTACAGGAATTATTTCCAAGTATGGAGGTATTGAAGTTATGGTTTCTTATTTAAGATCAATTACAGATTTTAGCTCTGATAAGAGCTTGGCCAAGAATCTTCTGCAATTCATGCAATACTGTACTAATGTCAAGTTGAATAGAAGAAGATTTTTAATGATAGATTCTGTTGAATGCCTACTTTCCAAGTGCAAATATGTTTTCCAACATGGTGATTTGGCAGAAATTGCAGAACTATTACTCCTCGTAATAAGACCTCTCATCAAGGAGGCTACCAAGATGAGTCATGAAACACCAGCAAGTCCTTTGAGTAGTCCTCTTAGCCCTATCTCTGCTGACATTTTCAACGTTGATTCATCAGACTTATCACCAATGTCACCAAATATTATTGGAAAATCAGACAAGTACAAGATTAGTAATGAGGAAATATTGGAACAATTGAAAATGTTCTTGGAACGATTGCCAGTTTGCAGCACCAAGATTGTTGGAGCAGTCCAATCCATATTACCTTTCTTAACCTATGGTTTGGAGGAGCCAATGAATTACCTAATTCAATATTTTGAGCCATATCTCAAGTTTGAAACATTTGAAAATACTACCAAGCAAAAGTTCTATCTCGACTCATTTGTGAATGTAGTTACCAGCATTCCAAACGATTTTGCAGGTAATAATCTTAAAACTCAAATACTTCAAAGGGGTATCACCAAGTTAGCTCTGGACTTTGTTTTGAATCACTTTGGAGAATCTCAAGATTGGAAATCATCACTGTCTTTACCAGCACTTCCTTATGCACTTAACTTGCTGCAAGGATTGGTTACGTTCCACTCTCCAACTCATAATCTGCTCAACAGTGAACCACTCTTTAGAATTCTACACAAGATTGAAGAAAATACCGAGGAAAAGATGATTGCAACATATGCTGAATCACTTCTCAATAGTATTGCAGAAGGATCCTCTCAATCCAAGTCTATCATCAGTAACATTAGAAAGAGTACTAAAGAGGAAAAGAAGAAGAAAGCCATGTCTAAACGTGAAAAGACTCTCAAGCAATTGAAACAACCAAAGATTACATTTAATTTTGATGAGGCAGAAGAGGAAGACAAGGGTATTTTGTGTTCTGTTTGTGGTGATGGTAATAGCTTCAAGCCAGAAGAAGTTTTGGGAACCTACATGTTCTGCAAGCACTGTTATCTTTCAGATAACTCTAGTGCCATCTCCTCAGTTACACAATTTAATACTATTCACTCATCTTGTCACACTCTTGCTGTTACCGCTGACCAGAATAGAAATCCACCAAAGACAGAATGGGAAGGTGCTCAAATCAGAAATTCTTTCACCAAATGTAACGCCCTTTTCCCATTCAAGGGTCCAAAGACTTCAGCAAGCAATTATTCCAATGCTGTTCAAAAGTACGTATCAGATTTGTCACTCGTAAAGAATACTGGAAGAGAGTCTTTTGATCTCCTCTCTCACGACTTGATGTTATTGTTAAACAAGTTTGCTAAAGAAGAATCATTCTCAAAGGATTCTGGAGGTGGTAGTGCTATTCACCAAGTTAAATTGATTCCTTTCATGATTCAAATGGGTATCTACATTTTGGATACTCTCAACAAGAACAGAGAAACACAAGAAACATTATTGACAAGCTTTTTGAGCACGGACATGGAGACAACACTTGAATTGGAAAATATTAGCTACAATGCCATATTATCTCTCTATTTGATGACTCTAGAAGAATGGAACCATTATAAGAAAATTGTTATTGAAAGAGTTGTATCAACCATTAAGAATACCACAAGTGGTTCTGAAGAAGAAAAGTTCAATGCACAAAGACCTGCCCTGATATTTGTTGCTCTAATTGATGCATTCCAAAACCATTTAAAGTCTCCATCAGGCTTGCCAATTAAGGAATCAATCAAACATGCCAGCACTGAAGAATGGATTGTCAAATTGTCCAAGAAATTGGAATCTATTGATCAGGAAGCATTATCCAAGCTTGAAGGCATTGCAACTCTCTACACTACCCAATTATTGAAATTCACCAGTGTTGAACAATTTGAACAAATCGTTTTCAAATAAACATCTTTTAACAGTTTATTAAGAGACCAATAAAAAAAGTTGGTAAATTCAATGAAATTGAATTTGGAATTTATTATTTTACAAAATGGTAAAGTTTCAAATATTTACATCATTAAACATCCACCTTTCTTATCATCATCCTTCTTTTGATTGGATTTCTGATTATTCGATGAAGCATTCTTTGGTTTAATGCCCACAGATTCAGGATCCAATTTAATTTGAGCACACAATTGGAAAATTTCCTCAATACCCTTATGTTGTTTGGCAGATGATTCTCTATAACAGACAGCTCCAATCTTTTCCTTGAAAGCTTCTCCTTGTTCGGATGTAATACATTCTTTACCCTTGACTGGATCCTCTCTCAAGTCACATTTGAGTGCAACAAGTACAATTGGTGTATCAGGACAATAGTGACGAACTATTATAATGTAATGAGTTTGTTGAATCGAATTTGATTCATGTTTTTGAATATTTTGTTGGTTGGTTCGATGAAATTATTAATAGAAACTAACCTTCTTTTATCCACTTGACAGGAATATTTTCCAAACTTGTCGTACTACTAACATCAAAACCAATAAGAAACACACTTGTATCTAATCAGAAACAACAATGAAAAACAACAAATATTAATTAAAAAAACGGAAATTTTCGAAAATTAGATGAAAAAAGGTCAAAAATTAAAATATTTCCGTGAGTACAAACCTGAGTATGAAAGATGTCGGAGTTCATCAAAGTCTTCTTGACCAGCTGTTATTGTAATAATTAAATAGTTTAAATGTTGAGTTGTTACAATAAATAATATTACTAACCTGTATCCCAAAGTGTCAATCCGACTGTACGACCATTATAAGTTGTTTCCGTTACAAAGTTATCAACAACTGTTGGGTTATAATCTTCAGGAAAGATATGGTTTACTCCACTTTATTCGAAACTATAAGAAACTAGTCTAAAGTTATACATACGACAAGAGAAAGTTTGTTTTTCCAATAGCACCGTCTCCAACTATCACTACTTTAGTATCACTAGACATTTTTTTTAATTATTGTTTGACAGGAAACATTTGTGAAAGCTAGACTTGTTGCTGCCGAAAATATCACAACTCTATTTGAAATGAAAATTTGACAATTGGAAGTTGTTACTTGTGCTCTTACTTCAATTTGATGTTGTTTCATCATCTGTGATGGATATTGAATCATCAGCTAATTTTTCCAAATCAGCAATATTTAATAATTATTTAATAATATACAATTTAAAAAACAAAATGCCTCCAAAAGCAAACTCGGATCATGCAGATGCAGAGGCAGTATTGAAAAAATATGTTGATGAATTGAATGAACAATCGGAACAAGTTGCAATACAAACCGGAACCTCTTCATCCTCCTCAACACTTGCCAAATATTTGAGTGCAGCACCAAAGTTTAAAAAGAGTGGTGTACAGATGGGAAGCATAACAATAGCAGCAGCATCAAATGATGGTGAGAAGGTACTAGTATCATCGGCGCTGATGAATGAAAAGAATTCAAGTTCGGAACAATCATTGATTTATCAACCAAAATTAATGATGGGCAATTTGAATACTAATAATTTAAATAATTTAAATAATAATGTAAATAATAATTCTACAGAAAGGAATAATACACCAATGGAAAAGAAGAGGAAAATGAATGATTTTCTTGATGAAATTTCCAATAAGAATATGCCTAAAAAGACCAAAAAGAATGGTTATTTGAAAATATCAAATGTTAGAATTTCATTAGAGGAAATAGAGGATGAATTTTCGAGGTTTGGAAGTGTTGATCAATGTTTTGGATCTCATGATAGTGAAAATATTTTCTATTTGGAAATGAAAAGGTATGATGCAGAGTGTGCCATGCATGCAATGCAAAAGAGAAGATTTGGAGGAGAACCAATTAATATTCAATGGTGTACAAATAGTGAAATTGAAAAGAATTGTAAGTTTTTCAAAGTGTTAGAAATATGTAACTTTATCTCGAAATGAATACAGTCAATACAGAATTTACCGAGGAAATGTCCAATAATTTAATCAAACTGTTACAAAATATTGATACAAAACGAAATTCAATAATGAACTTGATGGGATTTTGTTTGGATTATTCAAATCATGCAGAGACAATTATAGACATGGTCATAAAACAAGTATTCTCTGCAGCTAAAAAAACCAGTAATCCAATTCAGAAACTTGCATGCATTTATGTGTTCAATGATTTACTCCACAATCCTTCACATTCAGCCAACTATTTAAATTTACTTCAAGATCGAATGATTGGAATTTTGCAAGCAACTTTAGCTATCAATAATAAGGAAATCAAAGAAAAGGTTGGAATTGTACTGAAATTATGGAAGGATAAGACCTTCTTTTCAGAGACAAAAATTCAAGGATGGATTGACATATTATCGTAATTTTTGAACTATTTATGTAATGCATGGCCTTCATCTTTGATATGTTGGAATAAAGAATTTCTGGTGGTAAATTCTTCACCACAAACATTACACTTGAGTGAAGTGTCCTTCTTTTCCTTTTTATCCTTGGCTCTACGCTTCTTCTTATCCTTCTTTCCACCCGTTTCAACTTCATCAGCAACATTTTCTGTTGTATCTTGTTCAGTGGTTTCTTCAGTTGGTTGTTGCTCCTCTTGTTGAACTGTTTCAGAATTGCTACTGCTTGCTTTTGGTTCCGTTGACTTGCTTGAAGTTGGCTTAGTGGAAGGAGTGTTTGCCTTGTTTGTCTTTGCTGGTTCAGCATTCTTCTTAGTGGTTGACTTTGGAACAAAATCATCATCGCTATCGTCTCCCTTCTTTTTCTTTCCTGACTTTTTCTTTGAGGATGATTTAGTCTTTTCCTGTTGTTTTGATTGTTCGATAGATTCTTTGAGAATTTCAATTTGTTCACGATCCAAATAGACAATACCCTTCTTGAGCTTCTTTTGCTTCTTTTTGTCCTTCTTTGATTTCTTATCACCGAAAAAGTTGTCATCGTCATCATTTTGTGCTTCCTCTGCATTTTCTGCTGGTTTTTGTTCTGAACTTGTTGGTTTCTTGTTATCCTCTTCCTCAATAACTAATTCTTCCTCTTCAGCAGTTGCTGCTGCAGGTTTTTCTTCATTTTCCTGCTCTCCACTTGGTTGTTCTTCCTCTTCGTTATCCTCCTCTTCAACAACTTGTTTCTTTCCATTCTTATTATTCTTCTTCTTGGTGTCACTAACATAGAAATTATCATATAAATTCTCAACCTCATCAAGAGCATCCTGAGCTCGATTATATTCTTCCTCATCTGAAAAATCATCATGAACATCAGCATCATCATCTGAAAATTCATCATTCAACAATTGTTGTCTGAGTCTTTCCTTTTCAGCCAAATATTCCTTCTTTAACTTTTCTTGTAAAAGTCTATCTTCTTCCTTCTTTTTTTCAATTTCATCTTGCATCTTTTTTCTTCTCTTCATTTCGGCTTTAACTCTTGGATCGTCTGCCTTAACCTTCTTCAGTAAATGCTTAACCAAATCATTATATTCCTTTCTAGCTTTGTTTCTTTCCATTTCATTTTCCTTCTCAATTTGTCTTCTAATATATCTATTCTCTGCATCCGATAATCTATACTTATCCTTCCAAGCAAAAGATCTCTTTGTACTATAAGTTGACCAATAGGTATAGAATTTGTTAACCTGTTCGAATGATGAATTTTCATCTCCAAATGAAGGACTTTGAATATTAGCATTATTACTTGAACTTCCACCAACTTTTTTCGATGATTTATATTCTTCATCTTCCTTGAGAATGGTATCAAAAACTGTTTGATAAATCTTGAAGAAATTGTCCTTATCATTGCTATTAAATGTTGTGTAACATGATGATGATAAATAACTCCACAAATTCAATTGATCAGGTTCTCTGTCCACATCATCATCACAAGCTCCGGATTTAGCTGCTGCCATACCTCCCTTCATGATGATGTGTTTATTCTCATCATACCATGCTCTTTCGTTATCATCAAAGAGTGTTTCGTAGGCATCTTGAATTTCTTTAAATTTATGTGTGGCTTCTTCTTGATTATCCAAGTTACGATCCGGATGCCACACTAAAGCTTGCTTCTTGTAGGCTTTTCTAATTTCTTCCTTCGTAGCTTCCTTCGTCACTCCGAGAACTTCATAGTAATCACGAAATTGTGTCTTGCTCATTTTTTTATGGTGTTCAATCTTTGGTTTGAATTGTAATGAATTAAACATTTTAGAATATATTAATTTAATAATATTATTAAATTGAAATGTATTGTTAATAAATAGTTGGGTAGTTGGTTAATAATGAATGTTAAATAATCTTAGAGGTGTTGTCTAGATGGTACAGAGGGAAATATTTACAGGAGTTGTTGTTTGAGAATGTGAAGAGATGGTTTCTTCAGTGAGCTCATAATTTCTTCATATTCAGAGGCAGAGACAAACGTTAATGGAACTGAAAAGTCCATATCTGATGAGGTGTCAATATCTTTTTGCTTTTTGATAATTTCTTCCTCACCCTTCCTCTTTTCCTTGTCAATGAAATCTGAAATGGCTCGTTTCAGTTGCTCAATCTTTTGAATTAACAATCTAATTTCAGTATCCTTCGTTTCTTTTAGGTTTCTGATCTCATCTTCCAATTCTCTTATTCTTAATTCTCTTTGTTTCTTATCAGAATCCATTGATTTGGCCATATCGTTCAAATCAGAATTCATCTCAGTAATTTCCTCATCCTTTCTTTCGTTTTCGTCTTTCAACTCTTTGAGCAACTCTTCCAACTCTGCTATTTTCTTGTCCTTCTCCTTTTCTCTCTTTTGGAATTCTTGAGCCATCTCCACAGTTTTTTTCTTCAATGTACACACAGATGCAACTAGACGCTTATTTTCGTCTTGGGTTAGTGTTAGAGATGCTTTCTGCTCCTTGATCAATTGATCTTTTCTCAAAGAGCATTTCTGGAACTTTTTCAATTTTTCTTCATATTCATTAGTGTCCTTCACTTTGGAGCTCAATTCAGTTGCTTTCTTTTGTTCATTTTCCTTTTCTTTCTTTAAACTATCAATAGTGTTGTTTTTTCCTGCAACTTCATCCTCTTTCTGTTTGAGAGCTCTCTTCAAATTGGCAACAGAAATGTTCCTATAAAAACAGTAAACAATCAATTTGAGTTCATGCATTAAAACTTACAATTTCTTAGACTCTTCATTGAGTTGGTCAATCTTTTCAACATAATCTTTAACCATATCCTTGTCCATCTTATTTAACTTTTGAGTTTCGGCCAATTGTTTGTTCACATTTTTGATTTTATCCTTCAAATCATCAATAGTATCCTCTGCATGGGATAGCTTTAGCAGGAGCTCTTTTATCTTATCGTTGGCTTCCCTCAAGTCTTGTTGATAGGAGATGGCTTCCTTCTTATTTTCTTTCTTTCTATCAGAGAGCTGTCTAGAAGTTGTTCTTATTTGCTCCTTCTTTTCCAGCAATTCGGTTTCAGTTTCGGCAACTCGTTGAACAAAACTCAAATTTTGGTTCTTCAAAACTTCATATTCATCCCTGAGAGCATTGTATTGAGATTGAAGTTTTGTAAAATGAGTCAATTGAACCTTGAGAGCAGCAACTTCTTGATGATATTCTCCAATTTGAGATACTGTAGTTTCGTGCTCCTCTTTGACGAGGTAATATTTGGTTACAATCTCATTATGCTCTTCCTTCTTTTTTGCCATATCAGCTTCCAACTCTTTTGTGAGAAGTCCATAGTGTTCAATCTCATCCTGTTTCTTTTTAAGCTGAGATTTGTAATAACCCAGCTCTTCCTCCAATGTTCCAATTGCCTTTTGAAAATTGGAATTGTTTTGAGCCCTTTCGGATTGAAGATCATCAATGTATTTCCTAGCTTCTTGTAATTGTTGAGTGAGCTCGGTATTTTGTTGTTTTGTCTTTTCCAAATGTAATTTGTATGAACCTAGTTTTTCCTCAACTAATGGAAGCTTACGTGCTTCAAATCCTAGTACTTCCAATTTTTTGCTCTGCTCCGAAGTTTGGGCTAAAAGTCTCTGAGTATTGAATTGTTCCTGTTTCAAATTTTCGAGGGTTTTCTGTCCTTCTTCTACCATCTTTTTGTATCTATTGACTTCTGCTTGAAGCAATGCTTTTTCTTCATTTTCGCATTCCTTTCTCTTTAACTCTAACACTAATTTACCCTGAATGTAGGCCACTTGGGTTTGCAATTCAGAAACCTTTTGTTTGTGTTGTGACAATTCAAGGGAAGTTTGGTCTGGTTGGTTCTTTGCTCTTTCAAACTCGTTAATCTTTTCCTTCAATTCCTTATTCTCGTTCCTATAGTTTTTGAGGCTGGATTTCATTTGTTTTCTCTCCTTTAGCAGGGCCTCCTTATGTTGTGTTTCGAGTTCTAGTTTCTTAAGTGTCAGCTTGAATTCTTCGGGAAGGGAACTACTCAGCAGCCCTCGGTCTCTATCTTCCACTATTCGCTTTGTTTCAAGTAATCGATATTGTACTTCAGAAGCTAATTTATTGCTCTCATTCAATTCCTTCTCCAAATCTCTTATCCTAGAATCCTTATCATGTATCAAATCCATCAATTGAGTAATTTCCTCCTTTCTATTAAACAAGATAGCAAATTATTAATTAAATTTATACTTGTAAACACATACGTTAAGGCTGGAGATGCATTAATATGATAATGATGATGATCAAACCCCATTACTTCGGGTTGCTGTTGTTGTTGTTGATTTTGTTGCTGATGACCTCCTCCTGATGACAGAGGTGATGAGGAGGATGATGAGGACATCGTTTTGAGATTTTCTTTTTGAAAAATGTATGAAAAATTGGCGGGAAGATTTTGGCGCTCACTGAAAATTAAATATTAAGATGGAATTCATCATGACTACCAGATATCCTCCATTTTGCAATTCAAAGAATAACATTTAATGAAAGTTAGCCAATTCAACTAAAGAATTGTGTTTTTTATTAGTGGAGCGTCACAAACAGAAAGGAAACTATTGTATGTTCTTTGTATTCTTACTTTGCATGTTCTTGCAATGAGAACAATCACACTTTTCGCATGTACAAACTCCTTTCTCTTCACAAGGACATTGTTGATTGTGAGCAACTTTGGAGCAATGAGGACAAGGCATGGTTTAAAAGAGATGTTTATAAGAGTTTTGATTGAGTTTTTTTGGTTTAGTTTAAAAACCAATCTTTAAGATTTTAAACTATTGCATTTTTTTAATTTGAACCAATTCTTCTCATGGGGCACATATTTAATTGTACAATTTTCAAAATGGTCAATTTACTAATTCAAACTTCAATTTGTTTGTAAACGCCTTTCTTCAATTGTTTTAAACTTCATTCAATTATTTTCAACGATTCTCCTAATAAGCTTCATCCAATTACTTCAATCATTAGAGAGGACTTAATAACTCAGAGTCCAAGTTGTGTGAATCCATTTGTTATTGTTTTTTCTATTTCCACAAATGGACCCGATAAGGCACTGAAAATTCATCACTCACACCAAGGAGAATTGGCGCTCACAAAATATTTAAAAAAAATGTCTCTCACACTCTCTGAACAAACTCTCGAACAATACAAGAAGAGCAACAGCTTTCAAGATTTGATTGCTCTGAATATTGATTTTATTCGTGGAGAAACAAAAACAACACCATACACAAACGGATTACAATTAGAAACATCTCCTCTTATTGGATCACTTGTTTCAATTAATGGAAATGGTTTATTGACAACAAACTCGGCCCCTGGTATTAATGGAGGAAAGGCCTACTTGATCGGTTTGGTTGAAGGACAATCTTTTGCTGAAAAGCTTGAAGTTTTGTTGAATCAATCAGATTTAATTGCCTTCAAGCTTCCTTGCAATTTGCCAGGATACAAGCCAGGAGAAGAAGATCACTCTGCTCAAGTAGATCTTGTTAAAATTCCTGTATCTTTCAAGAAGGATTCCGAGACTGGACGTACTGTTGTTAATCGTTGCGTCACTTGTTTTAACTGGGTCACACTTTTGCAACCTTGTGTTTCCACTACTTTATATGAACATACTGCCACTCACTGTTTTAATTTTTATATTATTGACCCAGTTTCTAATCGTTCGGCTCTCGCAGAAGATGGTATTCTGAACAAGGTTAATCAACTTTTGGAAAAGGCGAAATCTCACTAATTTTTGATCTAGTAATATTTTGTAAATTATTATTTATTTAAACATCAATTTTCAAATCTCTTCAGTTTGGATTTATTTGTCTTTTTATTATTATTTAATTGAATATCTATTGGTGTCAATTAATTATTTCTTTAATATCAGATATATATATTAAAGAAATAATTAATTGACAAATTGACATTAATTTTACAAAGATTAAAACACGTATTTCAAGCCAAACAATACAGTAAATAACTGTAGAGAGTACGATCAAATATTAATTAATCAAAACATAAAAAAATGAATAAGCGTTTTATTACTTTTGCCGCTGTCGCCATCGTCTTGATGATGGTCGCTTTGGTCAAGGCTGACGACAAGGAAATTACTGATAAAGTCTACTTTGATATCACCATTGGTGGTATTCCAGCTGGTAGAATTGTTTTCGGTTTGTATGGTAAGACCGTCCCAAAGGTTTGTATTTTCAACATTTTACATTTATACAAATATGATGAATCATCATCTTTTGATTAGACCGCTGAAAACTTCAAGCAATTGACTGCTGGTACTCCAGGATTCGGTTACAAGGGATCTACTTTCCACAGAGTTATTACTAACTTTGTCATTCAAGGTGGTGGTATGTTTTTAATATCTTTAACATCTTTGTTGATCCGAATTAATCATATGCTTTTCAATTATTGTTGAATATTGACTTGGATTAATATCATGATAGACTTCACTATGGGTAATGGTATGGGTGGAAAGTCAATTTATGGTGATAGATTTGTTGATGAAAACTTCAAGGTTAAGCACTTCATTGGATGTCTCTCCATGGCTAATGCTGGTCCAGACACTAATGGTTCTCAATTCTTTGTTACTTTGGGACCAACTCCATGGTTGGATGGTAAGCACGTTGTTTTCGGACAAGTCGTCTCTGGTTTGGATGTTGTTAGAAAGATTGAAAATGTTAGAACTGGTTATGGTGATAAGCCAGCTGAAGAAGTCAAGGTTATTGACAGTGGTATCGTTGTTGAAGAACAATAAATTGTACAATTTTCTCTTGTAACTTGCAAGTTTATTAGCTTTTCATGCATGGCGCTTTAACACAGTATTTAATCATGGTGGTGAATAATAATTGAACAACAACAAATACCATGAAGAACAATTCAATAAAAAAAATGAAAAAGCAAGTGTCCTTTGCAACAACAACATCAAAAGAGGATGAACCAGCTAAAAAGTCAACAACAACCTCTACATTATCAACAACATCTCAAGGATCTAAAGGTTTAAATTTAAAATCTCTTGCCAGTAAAAAGAAGAGAAAACTCATCGGAAGTGAAGATGATGAAACTAAAAAACCAAAATATGAATCCATCTCTATTATGGACAAGTTGAGAAACAAAATTCTTTCAAACATTGACACAACACCAAAAGGAAACAAATTCATTATGGATCCATTTGCTACCCAATTAAAAGTGGATATTTCATCAAAAGTCACACAACAACTCAATATTGACGATTACAAATTGAATTTACCAAAATATCACTTTAAAACAAGCAATCCAGTATTTATTGAATATCGTACCAATGATTTGAGTGATAATTCCTATCAAAAACTTTGTGTATGCATTGATTTTGATAAGAAAGTTAAGGATGTTTGGTATCATCATTTCTATAGACCTTGGGAATCAAAAGAATTGAAGGAATTTATTGAAACATCAACGGAAACAAAGGTTGTTGAGACCATTATTGATGATACACCAAATGGTGACAAAGCTTTGGTTTTGGGAGATGTCATTCAATTTATTGGAACAAAAACAGAAGATGAACTCAATCAACTCTACAAGAGTTTCACAAAGGAAGAACATGTCAAGAAGGTAATCACCACAGCAGACATTAAGGAAAATGATAAATTGGATGATATACTCCTCACGGAAACTGAGACTGTCAAATTCCAATTCAAAGATGAAGATACACCACTTTCTCTTGGATCCACTTCAATAATGGAAAAACTCAAGAGAGACAAATCCTATACATTGAATGAGCTCTTGGTTGAAGATGATTTGATTAGAAAATGGAAAGATTACCTTCAAGAAGTTCAAGGTGAAGATGATGCTTCACGTTTCTATACTCCAAAGACTTCCCTTCGTTCAAAGATTAAATCTGGTTCTACCTATTCGAATCCAAAAAGTACTACTCCATTGACTCATTTCAGAGATGATTTCCAAGGTAGATTATTTACCATCATGAATGATTATAGAGATTTGTACTTCCCTAATTGCACCCTCGATAATCATAGAGTTTGTGTTGAAACTTATACTCTTCATATTGTGAATCACTTGTTAAAGTAGGTTTTTCAATATTTATTATTAACAATATATTTCAATAATTCTAAAGAACAAAGAGATATGAATGGTACAATGATACAAAGAGAGAATTCTACAGTAAGGAGCAGTATACAGTGAAGGATGATTCTTATAACACTTCAAAGATTTTGGTTCTCGTTCCAAATCGTTTTGTTGCCTTCTTGATTGTTGAATTGATTTCAGAACTCATTCCAAAACTTCTCTCCACAAGAAGAAAGGAAGCTTTCGAATTGACTTTTGATGCTGATGAAGAGGATGAAGAACTGAAAAAGTCTAAACCACTTTGGTGGCAAAAGATTTTCGAAGGTAACACCAATGAAGAATTCAGTTTGGGTGTTAAATTGAAGGATCATCATGGTCAATTGGAAATTATGGCTCCAGTTTCAGAGGCTGACATTATCATTGCCACACCAATTGGTATTCAACAGGAAAATATTTCAGACAGATAGTAAGTAGTACCATTAATAATCATGTTCTTTTAACAAGATTTAGTGAAAGATTTTTATCTTCCATTGAAGTTTGTATTATTGATCAATGTGACAAACTCCTCATGCAAAATTGGGAACACGTTACCAAGACAATGGATTTGGTGAATGTTGAAGAACAGCAAAAGTTTACCTTTGATCTCGATTTTGACATTTTGAAAGAATATCACATTCAAGGATTGTAAGTAATTTGAAAATCAAATTCTAGATTTCTAAATATTGAAAAATAGATCCAAATACTTTAGACAAACACTTATTTTCAGCAGTCAAATGAGTCCAGACATTAATGGTCTCGTTTCAAAGTATTGTAAAAATTTCAGAGGAGTTGTTAAGGTTAGATCACTCTATGATGGCGTGATTGGATCTATTTTCGGACAAATCCCACAAATCTTTGAGAGAATTTCAACTCAAGATCCAGCTCAAGTTGATGAGGATCGTTACAATCACTTTGTGAATACAGTTTTCCCAAGATTTAAGAATAGTGTTGATGGAAGATTTTTAATTGTAGTTTCTTCATATTTGGATTTTGTTCGTTTGAGAAATTTCTTTGATATGTGTAATATTCCATTCCACGGTATTTCAGAATATACTGAAAAGACAAAGAATGTCCTCACCAAATTTAGACAAGATTGTGCCAACTTTTTAGTTTATACTGAACGTCACTTTTATTATCATGCTCCAAAATTGTCAGATTTCAAGATTAATCAAATTGTTTACTATTCACTTCCAGAAAATGCTTTTATTTATGAAATATTTGCCAAGAAGGCCATCAATATTCGTACTCAATATCCATCTTGCAGAATTTTATCACTCTTTAGTACTTTTGACGCTTTGAAATTGGAAAGAATTGTTGGAACCAAACGTTGTAAACATTTACTCTCCACAGACACTGATATTAACTTGATTGACAAATAAATTACATAAAACTTTAATTGAGAAGTGGAGCAAGTTGTTTTTTCTCTTAATTCTCTTCTAGGAAAAAATTTTTATTTAAGCTGAGGTAAAAAGGCATGGGTGGAGTTACGCCACCAACACTTCAGATAAATGAGCTGATCGTGATGTTAGAATTACACTACATGCCTCAAATATTAACCTCCTTTACACCAGACTTAGCTTCAGTTTTGTTGAAATACGCTTAATATTATGGTTTTCTATTTATAAAACACAGTCAACTAATGGAACAGTTAAGGACAAACTAAACTCTGTTAAATATTAAGGCTAATTAAGAGATCATTGATGTAATCGGGCGTGGTATAGTGGTAGCATTCCAGACTGTCACTCTGGCGACCCGGGTTCAATTCCCGGCGTTCGAGTTAAATTTTTTCTCTAATTTCTTTCATTCATTTCAACTTCTCATAGTGTTCTACGACGAGAAGGAAATCAATAAAGTTTAGAGCTCATTTTATGATCTATTTATTAATGTTTGTTTTAAAGAAATAAAATTTTGATTGAAACTCAATCTTATTCCAATCAAGAACATAAATTCAATCAATTTTTTCCCTTAAATTTCTCTTCAGTTTATTAATCCAACAAGTGCTCCTTAAAATATTGAAATATTCAAAATGCTTATAAGAAATACCATCATCAAGAGAATATACAAATCCTCCACACTTATTCTCAAAACAACCACAATCCTTCCTATTGTAACACTTTCACCAACAGGAGAACGAAACATTCACACCTTGAAGAATAAACTTGAGCAACAAGAAAGTCACCATCCATTGCTGTACTTAATATTTGCTCACAAATTGGGCAACACAGAAATTCTTATAATTATGCGTTTAATAGCTCAAAAGAGAATAAGTTAATGTTACCTCCAGCCAAGGATCCATCCAAAAAGACTCTTGTCTTGGATTTGGATGAAGTTCTTGTTAAATGTGTGGAACCTGAGGAACAACACTTGGTTGAAACTTATGTGGTATCCTTACTATATGAAAGTCAATCCAGATAATCAAATTCTCATGCACTGCTTTAATATCAATGAGCCGTATGAACTCTTGAAGAAACTCACTGAGAACCAAGTTTGTGTCCAGAAACAAAAATCAGTTCATACAAGATATTCTTAATCAAGAACAACTTTCTAAAAATACACTTCTCAAAACAAGCTTAAAAAGCAAAGAAGCTTTGGATTCAAGAAAAACAATAAGCAAAAACAAAGACAACAAACATAATGCAATTATTTGTCAAGACACTCACTGGAAGAACTATCACTTTGGAGGTTGAATCCAATGATTCAATTGAAAATGTGAAAAGAAAGGTACAAGATAAGGAAGGAATTTCACCAGATCAACAAAGACTCATCTTTGCAGGTAAACAATTGGAAGATGGCAGAACTATTAATGACTACAACATTCAAAAAGATTCAACACTTCATTTGGTGTTGAGATTAAGAGGAGGAATGCAACTCTTTGTAAAAACCTTAACTGGAAAGACAATTACTATCGAAATGGAATCAAACGACACTGTTGAGAATATGAAACAAAAGATATTTGATAAGGAAGGAATTCCTTCAGATCAACAACGATTGATTTATGCCGGTAAGCAATTGGAAGATGGAAGAACCATTGGTGATTACAATCTTCAAAAGGATTCAACTGTGCATTTAGTATTGAGATTGAGAGGAGGCTAAATAGCATAATATCGTAAACTCTCTCAATTATTGTAAATAAATTAAACTGTGAATAGTGAATTATTGAAATTTGATTACTTGTTTCAGAGTAATAATCAAACTGATATTTAATATTAAAAAGTAATAATCAACGAATCCTTTTTAATTCAACAGCTAAGGATAAATAAAAAGACTACAGCACCACAGGTTCCCAAGTTGTCTCCAACCTCAGTACTGATGTGGCTCTACGGTGCTTAACTTCTCAAATCGGACGGGATGAGGTGCATTCATCGTGATATGGCCGTAGCCATTCAATACCTTAATTTGCGAAATATAAAACGATTTGACCCTCAATCACCCTGTCAACTCTAGATCAGGTGGTTACAAGTACTCAGAGTATGAGCTTCCTTCCATTCTTGGTCTTCTTCAAGGTGAAAAATTGTACATGTCTGTATGCTTCCATGAAGAACGTGCCAACATGTTGAAGAATAGTGCTGAATTCAATGTTTTCCTTATCTTCTCAGGTGAACATGGACGAGAGGAATTTGCAGGAAGTCCAATTCAGATTGCCATGATTAAGAATGACACCAAATATCAATTCATGATATTATATTCTTATTTGTAAATGTGCATTTGCCGTAAGTCTATAAAGAAACGATTGTGAATATTTGAATTGTTTTTTGAATTAGCTTTGTAAATATGGAGTGTAAAGATACATCGATGTTTTAAGGTCAGAAGATATGATACTTTTACAATAGTTGGTAAATATTGGGTGCTATCTATTCTGAAAAATTATATTTTAATAATGCTTCAAGTATTGAAATTACAGTAAACTCCTAAGTAGCTTGAATTGGTCTAGCTAAAAATTAGGAACACAAAAACAATTTTATTGGCCAACAAGAACATACACGATGCAAATATTTCAAAGGAAGGTTTAAATTATATGAGGTTTACTATTAGTCTCAATGGATACCAATATGAATATAAGGACGGAATGAAAAATTTGAAACAATTCCATCCAGTAAATATAAGGAGTCTTTTTCCCTCTATCTTTAACTCATAACATTCTTCAATCTAAATTGCGATTAGGATCCTATCAATGGTTGTTGTTCCACCTCCTCTTTCACTAATGATCATAATTCTGCTCGTTTAAATATGAGCACAAATCAACTTGAATCATGCGCGCAGAATTAAAAGTATAAATTTTAGGTTTAAATTTCATGGCTTTGAAACAAAACTCTAATTCCAAACACAAAAAAACAAATTCACAACTAGTTTTTGAATTTAATTCTATCTGCACTAACAGTTTTCAATCGCAATCAATACAATATGAAATACGTCAATTTGGGTGAAAGTGGTTTAAAGGTTTCTCAACTTTGCTTGGGTTGCATGAGTTTTGGATCTTCCAAGTGGATTCCTTGGGTTTTGGAAGAAGAGGAATCATTGAGAATATTGAAGAAGGCATGGGATTTGGGTATTAACTTTTTCGATACTGCCAATATTTACAGCAATGGAGAAAGTGAAAGAATTTTAGGCAAGTTCATTAAGGAATTCAACATTTCAAGAGAGGAAATTGTGGTTGCTACCAAAGTTTGTGGACCATTGGATCATTCTGGTGAACAAAAACTCATTATGAATAGTAATCAAGGTAAACCAAATACTATGGGTCTCTCCAGAAAGCACATTATGCATGCAGTTGAGGATTCATTACAAAGATTAGGTCTTGATTGTAAGTTTTACTTTCTTCTTGTGATTTGAAATGAAAAATTTAAATAGACATTGATTTGTACATTATCCATCGTTGGGATGAACAAACACCAATTGAAGAAACCATGGAAGCTCTCCATGATTTGGTTAAATCTGGAAAGGTCAGATACATTGGTGCCTCTACTATGTTTGCTTGGCAATTTGCCAAAGCTCAACATTATGCTGAGAAGAAGGGATTGACTAAATTTATTTCCATGCAAAATCTGTATAATCTCATCTATAGAGAAGAGGAGAGAGAAATGAATCCATTGTGTGTTGATCAAGGTGTTTCACTCACACCTTGGGGACCTCTTTCTAATGGAATGTTAGCTCGTGCTCATGAATTTGTCAATGCTGAGGAGAAGGCAATTGAAACTAATGAAAATAATTCCAAGAGACAAAATACTGACATTGTTCAAACCATATTTAAGGGCAATTTGACTGAAGGTGATAAGGAAACTTTGAGAAAAGTTTCTGAAATTGCCAAGAAGAGAAACGTTTCTCCAGCTCAAATTGCACTTGCTTGGTTACTTTCCAAACCTGGAGTTGTAAGTCCAGTAATTGGTGCAACAAAGGCCATTAATGTTGAGCTCAATGTTCAAGCATTGGAAATTAAATTGACTGAAGAGGAGAAGAAGATATTAGAAGGAGCTTACTCTGCAAAGGAAATTCAAGGAATGTTCAAATTAAATTAATTTGACTTTCTCAACAATCTGTTAAATATTCCTTTGGCAACAAAATAAAAACAACGATTATTAATTTGTGAATATTCTTTTTAGTTTAATAGACGGGAAGCCTGTCAGGAATATGACGACAATCCCGCTACAGTCTTTGACTGTATGAACAGTGAAGGCAACGAAGACAGAATCTTGTTGGTTCAGGTTTTGTTTGAAGAAATTGAAAAGGTTGATTAACCTCATATTTATTGAACATTTGTCATGTTGAATTGCAGGATACAAATTTTGGTTTCTCATATTCTGATCAATTCTAAATTGAAACTTCATCTATATTTCAAAGTTGTTTTATTTACAATTATTTACAATTTACTGAATTATTTACAAGTTGCAATTTTACATCTTTTTCGATTTGGTAATCTTCTTATTTGTGGTGGTTGATTGTTTAGCTCTCTTTTCAATTGAATTTTTCGAAGATCTTTTCACTGAAATTTGTTTACCATTTAAATTTGCATGATGATAATCAATATTATTACGATGTCTTGTTCCACTTATAATATTTGAAGTATCAATATCAAATAATGGTAATCTTTTAGATAAATCAATTGGTTTAGATCTTGTCCATTCTGTTTTTGTTGGAATTCTATCTTCGGAAGATGAAGTATTTGATGAAGTATTTCTAGCTGGCATTTTGCTCTTATTTAGTTATTTTGTTTTGTTGTGGATAGTTGATCTATTTATTTCCATGATGATTTCCACTAATTTTGTGATTCCGATTTTTGGTGGATTTTCCACTCATCACAAGAAGTTGAATTTTTCTATCAATATTTTGATGAAAGGAAATTTAATGAAAATCAACAACAAAAGAAAATAACAAAACAACAATTAGAAAATGGTCTCAACAAGAAGAAATATGTATAATTCCTCCAATAATACTTCACAATTTAATTCCGAAATTTCTCTGGATAATATTATTGGTGGAACAAGAAGAAGAAATTTAATTGATTACAAAACATTGAATTCTGTTGGAAATGAAACAAGTAAAACTTCTAAATCTCAATCACATAACACTTTAGAAATGAGAAACAAACTATTCAAAAAGTGGTAATCTCCATAAAACTCAAAATTTTGAAAACCTAGGCAATCATTGTAAATAAAACCAAAATGTAAATATTCAATAATGTAAAATAATTATCCTACATAAATTTCAAAGTAATTATATCAATTCTGTGTTTGCTTCATGTTCAACTATTTCAAAGAATTCAAATCATAAAAAAACAAACAATGACCATAATTCAGGTTTCAAAAAATCATACATCTTGAAAAGTTTTTAAGATTTGTTTGAATTTACACTCTTTTCTTTCTTTATACTTACCTTGAAGGACATTTCAGAGATCATGCAGACTGAAATGTGAATCTGGAAACTCTCCTCCTTTCACTCAAGAGGATGAGTAGCCAGAATTTGGTCAATAATCAAAGTGGTTGTTGCCCTCCTTCTCAATTTTTTCCTGTGAGGATTCATCTGGTATGATTTCTCGCTCTGTTAAATAATAGAACAACGAAGAATCTCCAACAAGTCAATTCAAAGATGACCTTGTTGGATTGGGCATCATTTTTCTGCTCAAATCGGACGGGATGAGGTGCATGAATCGTGATATGGCCGTAGCCATGCAAATTCTTAATTTGCGAAATATAAAACGATTTAAACCTCTTTTTCCTCTTTCACTATAAACCAGTTTGATCCTTTTTCGTTTCCAAATCATTTATGAGAAACAATATTGCAAGTATTCGCATGTCCCAAATTATAAACAAGTTACTTCTCCTTTACACCTTTTTGATTTAGGAACATCCAACAATCTCAACAAAGAGCATAATATTTGAAAATATTTCGAATGCTTAATACACATCATGATGTATACCACCAGAAACCCAACCGTATGTAAAATTCTTCGCAACACATTGACTTTTCTTAAGAAGGACAAGTCTTGAAAGAATTTATTTCATCTCTCCCCGATCGTAATTTTTTTAAAGTAAAATTACGCTTCAAAACTTCTCTCAACAATGCATCCTTAGACTATGTTCTCTCTATTGAACAAACTCAAAAAAAACTAGTCGTTTATCAAGAGGCGAACGAACGCAGAGTTTCTTTGATTTTTACCTTATTGTTCCGAGATTTTTAAGGGAGTAAGAGAATCAGTATCTAAAGAGATTGAATATGAATTCTTCAACACCGAGTAGAGCAACCTCGGCTTCATCGACTCTTTCTAATAGGATGATGAATTTATCGATATCATCCATTTCAGTGAAGGAGAGTATTAATTCAGGTTTGTATCATCATTAATATAGCATTCTATATATCGGATCCGATCACCTTTTCTCTACTTATTATTAATCATCAATTTTCCTTCTCAATTTAATAGAAACAAATAGTATGACAATACTGCCCATCTCGCCCAGCAACAGTAGCACAAAGCGAGAGAGCAATACCAACTTTTCTAATAGCCCCAAAAAGATGGGAGGAGATCTGAAGGATGCAATTTGTCTAATTGAGGATCGTTTATATTGGGTTTCTCTGAGGAGGACTCCATCGGCCTATGACAATCCTCAATCAACTTTTGTCATGCTTGACGAGAGATATGTTTATGAACCATTCTGTCATGATTTTGGTCCTGTAAATTTAGGATATACTGTAGAAATATGTAGACATATTGATAACTTGTTAAGGGTATGTTTGCTTGCGTTCTGAGTTAATTTACATTGATTCAATACATTATGTTACAGACAACAAATAAGAGAATAGTATTAGTGACAAGTTTTGATGGTCAAAAGAGAGCAAATGCTGCATTCTTGGCAGCTGCCTACATGGTCATTTCTCAGGATAAGACAGCAGAAGATGCATGTAAACCTTTCAATTTTGTTTATCCTCCTCTCATTCCTTTCAGGGATGCCTCTCAAAATTTATCAACATTCAGCTTGTCAATTTTGGATTGTTGTAAAGGTCTTGTTAAAGGAATATCCCTTGGATTTTTCAAATACAATTCATTTGACGCTGAGGAATACCTTAGACTTGAAAAGGTCGAAAATGGAGACATTAACTGGGTAGTGCCCGGTAAATTTTTGGCCTTTTCATCACCATCTAGTAGAAGAATTTCAAGTGATGGATATGTACATTTAACTCCAGAGGATTATATTTCTCCTTTCAAACAGTGGAGAGTGTCAGCAATTGTTAGATTGAACAGAGCTCTCTATGATCGAAAGAAATTCATCAGTAATGGAATTAATCATTTCGATTTATACTTCCCAGATGGAAGTACACCAAGTGAGGATCATATCAGGAAATTCCTTCAAATAGCTGAAGAGGAGTCTATCATTGCAGTCCATTGTAAGGCAGGTCTTGGAAGAACTGGAACAATGATTGCCCTCTACATGATGAAACATTACCAATTCACAGCAACTGAAGTCATTGGATGGCTCAGAGTATGTAGACCTGGTATGGTTATTGGAATTCAACAGCAATTTTTAAAGGAAAAACAAGCCAAAATGTGGAGAGAAGGAGAGGATAGAACTCAAATATTACCACTCTCTGTAGCAAGTACTGCAACAGAGAGACTATTCCCATTACAGGTAGTTTCTATCAGTCAATCTTGTGAAAAAACAATTCCTAGATCGGCAGACATGTTTAAAACACCACCCAAAACAAGGAATCAACTCAGTTTAGAAATTAGTAAAAAGCTTAATGAGGATCGAGTATTCTATCAGTCAACAACCACACCAACAAACCTCACTCCAAAGAGACTACATTCAGGAACTTCATCAGCAAGATCTTTCAAGAGTGTTGAATCCACGCCACCAAGATCAGAAAATGAGGAAAATAGAAGAGAATTTGATTCTCCCATTACACCTATTAAGGTTAAGTGTAAGTTAAATTTTGACAATATCACCTTGATTGACCGAATATTAAAGATGACAGAAAACCAAAGGATTTAACCTCTCCTGCCTCGGTAGGAAGAGTCTACAAACCCTTGTCAACGAGAGGATTAGGAAGAATTATGGGTGTCAAAGAACAACGAGCATTTACACCTCCAAAGAGTTTCTTTAAATCTAGTCAATTGGGAGATGTGACTCAATCTTTGAATTTTTCTGGATCTGGAGCTAGTGCAGGTCAACATTTAAGCATGCCTCACACTCCACAAAAGAAAACTCACCACATTAATGAATTCAATCACAAGTTTGAGAGAAAGACTCGTGATAATTTCCTCCTTGTTGGTAGTCCAAATCTGTAATTATATTCCAATTCCAAAAAGTAAATTAATTATTTTTAAGATTTTTCATTTATACTATTCAGGAGAGTTCACATTCAGTTTAGAACAAGCTTGAGACAGATTCTTCATTGTGAACACGTCTAATAGCTTCACCAACCAATTTGCTGACACAGACTTGAATAATCTTTTCGTGTTGCTTTTCAGCTGGGAGTGGGACAGTGTTTGTGACAATAACCTTTTCAATGACACTTTCTTCCATCTTCTTGACACCAGCTCCATTGAATAAACCATGGGTGGCACAAGCAAAGACTCTCTTAGCACCATTGTCCTTCAAAATTTGAGCACACATAGCCAAAGTACCAGCAGTGTCAATCATGTCGTCAACAATGACACAGTGTTTACCTTCAACATTACCGACCAATTCCATTGTGGAAACCTTATTGGCTTCAACTCTCTTCTTATTCATAACAGCCATAGAAGCTTGGAGAGATGGATCTTGTTCATTCAATGCAGTTCTAAAGTTATCAGCACGTTCTGCACCACCAGCATCTGGTGAAACGACAACAAGTCCTTGATAATCGGAAACAGTCTTCAATGATTCACCTAAAACGATTCTTTGATAGAATTGATCGACCAAAACTGGTTTGGCATGGAGATTGTCAACTGGAATGTTGAAGAAACCTTGAATTTGACCACAATGCAAGTCAACAGACAAGACACGATCAACACCTGATGATTCTAACAATCTAGAGACGAGGGCAGCAGAAATTGGGACTCTTGGCTTGGTCTTTCTGTCTTGTCTAGCATATCCGTAATATGGAACAACAGCAGTAATTCTATTACAACTGGCTCTCTTCAAAGCATCGACAATAAGACACAATTCCATAAAGTTATCATTGACAGGAGTACATGTTGATTGAATAACATAAACATCTTTACATTCCGATAAATAATTCATTGAATTTTAGTCAATACATACCACTCTAATCCATTCCAATAATAATAACAATTAATACAATCCTCATACATCTTCAATACTTACACCTCTGACATTTTCCATAATTTGAACACCAATTTCACTATCAGCAAACTTGTAAACCTTGGTTTCAGTAAGATCGATTTGTAAGAATTGAGCAACCTTCTTACTATTCACCATCACAAATATTCATCAACAAAAGGATGACGAAAAATAAATTTTGTATATCATCGACACCAATATCACAAAAATCAACCCGAACAACAAATTATTATCATCACTCTTTCAACATTAAAAACTACATACGCCAATTCCAAATTACTGGTACCACCAACAATCTTCAAGTTAAAGCCCATTTTCGGTTTATTCTATATACTAATTCAAATGAGAGAAACAGCTTCGAGCTATTTTTTTTCGTAGTTTTTTGAGGTTTTTAAATTTGGTCCTTTTTCAATCGTTGCAAAGATATCAGCATAACATCGAGGTCGGACCTCAGAAGTGAGGTGAACAGCATTTTGTTTGTTGTGATGAACCATTAAAATTCATTGAATACGTTTTATTGATGAACATCATTTATTAAACATTGTTGAGGATCAAAATTATTAATATTTAATTTAAGGTGTTGGAATACAGAGAATTGAGTTGGCTAAGAGGTACCAAGCCATAGAGAAAGGCAATTGGTCTTCAGGATACATGTACCCACCTCGAATATTGTAAGCCGATTGGTTGGTCAACTTGAAAATATTACAATGGTTGAACCTTACTTCAAATAGTTGCAGACAAGACCAGTTTTACAAAATCAATTTTTTACATGATTTATTTACAAAACAATTCAAAAATGAAATAATACTATCACCCTGTTGTCATCTACATGCCATTCATCGACAAAATGTTGACTTTCACTGTGGATGCAAAACTTTTCCAAAAAGATTCGATAATGTAATCCTGAAACCAAACCCAGTTTATGCACAGTGGAGATACGTCAATACTTTACAAAAGAAATCCATTTGGATTACGAAACCAGTAAGCTTTCTTGGGAAGTTGGATTGCAACGCAATCTTTTGAACAAACGGTAAGGCCAATAAAACAGACGGTTTCGTTTGCTTTCAACTAACAATTCGAAAAAAAACTAATTGAAAGACTAACAGAAAATGATGATTAACACTATTATTGATGATGAACGCTCAATGACTTCTTCACCATCCATTCTTTCCAAATCATGTTCAAGTGAAAACTTTTTGCATAATCACAATAGTGTATCAACCATCAACAATAATAGAAACATTGAACAACAATCTGTTAGAAATCCAAGTAATTCAACCTGGTCATTCTCCAATTTCCTAACTCAATTCAATATGACTAATGCATCTGGTCAATCAAAGCAACAAGCACACTCAACTGTTCAATTCGTCCAAAGACCAACGACTTCGGTCACAACTTTGGAAGATGTTGTCCTCGTTGACTTCAATCATTTGCCTGAAGAAATTCTTCAACACATTCTCTACTATTTTACAAGAGAAGAACTCTTGTTGTGTACTTGTAGAATCAACTCTACCTTCTACAGATTGTCAACCAATAGAGAATTGTGGTGGCATCACACTTTTGTGAATAATCCAAACTATATTCACAAATCTAAATCTGATTCTGATTTTTGCAGTCAATATGTAGAACCATCCAGTACTGTCATGTATAGCAGCTCTTACATGAAGAGAATTCAACACATTTTCAAAGTTTCAACCGGCTGTCAACAATCTCCAAAGCAAGTTTACAAACTCATGTCTATCAATCCACATTGTGAAAAAGATTCCATGATGATTGATGAATTCAGTGGTGTGAAGAAGATTCTATCACCTGAACTTCAACTCAATCTTCACTCAAGCACTCCAAAGATTACAACCATTGATTGTATCAATTATTTCCTCGAAGAAAAGCTCACCACTCAAAAGCCAAGAGTTTCCAAATCTTCCAAAAATTCCAACTCGAATCAAATCGTATCTGAAGATGCCTCATTGACCAATTCATTGAATGGAATCATCACTGGTGATACTCAATCAGATATTGCTGCATCCATCACTGATTATTTCTTTGGTAGTTTGGGAGGTGAATGGGCCCCTGTGCCTCCACATAAAATCTTCCCTCGTTACAGACATACCATGACTGTAATTCCATCCAATAGTGCCACTCCAAATGTAATGATCATTGGTGGTATTTTGAATCCAAGGCAAATGCATGCAGACTCACCAGAGAAACAAGGAATCTACACCATGAATGCCATGTTTGTTCCTGGAAAGTGGAATTTCGAAGTGCCAAAGAATCATGAAGTTGGTTGTCAGAGAATTTCAGCTGAAGAACTCGTAGCTAAAGAAGAAATTCCAGTTTCCAATTGCAATCTTCCTCAAATGTTTGGTAAGCATTCTGCTGTTTATGCTCCATCCATCAGATCGGTTGTTGTTTTTGGTGGTGCATACGAAGATTCGAATGTGTCCAACGACTTGTACGTGGTCAAACTCACTGACGAATATTTCAATTCCAGATTCTGCTCTTCACACTCCTCATTCAAACAAAGACCAACAACATCCACTACCACAACAAGTAATAGCAGCACGAGATATCACAACCAAAGAAGAATGTCCACCTCAAGAAGTGTTCCATCCCAATTGAATGAATTGCAACAAGTTGAGCCACCTTCCAATAATAAGGTCTTGTTCGATTGGAAAAAGATTGTTTGCCCAAATACCAAGTCAACCAAAATTGAATGGCCAGCTCCAAGAACTAATCACTGCTCAGTCATGATCAATGATCGTACCATGATTGTTATTGGTGGTGGTATTGGACCTAACATGATTCCAACCAATGAAGTTTGGTGTTTGGATGTTGTTACAATGAAATGGACAAACTTGACCTCAATCTTGGAAAAGAATAAGGAATCTGACACATTCACTCCAAGACTTGGTTTTGCAGCAACTCTTGTCAACCAACACTCCATTGTTTGTTATGGTGGAGGATATTGGGTTCAAAATAATGCAAACGACAAGTATTGGAGAGAATCTTACAATGATGTCTTTGTCTTGGATTTGCAATTGATGAAATGGACAAAGATGCAAACTTCTGGTGACGGTCCAACAGCTGGCACATTCCCATCCTTCTCACCTTCATTGATTGGTACTCATTGGTATATTATTGGTGGTGGAATGCTTTGGGATGTCTCTTCGAGCATTTATCAACTCAATACTGTGAATTGGACTTGGTCGAAAGTTGGCGAAAGTTTTGGAGCTGACAGCAGTTGTCTTGTCAACTTGACAATGTATCAAGGCAAGAATAAGGCACAAACCAAACTAATTCATTGTGGCGGTTACAGATACGAACCACTCCTAGATGCCAAAGTCTTCTCAGTCAACTGGAAAGACGAAATGGACAAATTAAGAATGGATTCCATTAAGATTGAACACAACCCAACCAGAAATCGTAGAAACTCTACACTCTTCCTCAAATAATTTTAAATCAAATTACTATCATTGCATTGTAAATACTGTGTAAATAAAAAACTGAAAATCTCAAACTCTTAAAACCTTAATCCTTTGATGACGGTCTTTTTGCACAAAAACGAACTTTAAAAAGTCCATCACTTCTTCTAATATTGCAATCCATTTTCATTCTTTGCAACAAGGCGCCTTTTTTAATGTATTTCTGCTATTGCAAATGTCTTACCAGAACTGTCCTCTCAACTCTAAAAACGTATTGGAACCATCATCGGGCATTTGCTGCCTCATCAGTGTGTCATTGTTTTCTTATCATCACTGTTAGAGAGCAAAGAAAAGCTTTAAAAAAATTGCAACAACACGTCATCTATTTGTTGTCTATTGCACCATTTCTGATTGTTCGATCATCACCTAGAGAGTTTTGAAGAGTGTTGTTTGGTTGAACAGAAGCAAAGACACAACACGATCCATACACACACGGATAAACAATTTTTGTTGCTTTGTTTTTTTATAAGAAAAGATATACAATTAGAATGGCCGGAGAAGAACAAGGCATTTCGAGAAGGAAGAAGTGGTTTTACTTTTTCCAATACTTTTTCCTGTTTATACTTTTTGCACATGGTATTCGATCAGGCTTTTTTACACTTTTGAATAGAAGTCAATATAAATCTGGAGCAACAAATACAATGTGCTCTCAAGCAACTCCAGAATCTGTCAGGGAAAAGTTAATTAGGACTGGACACAAGTCATCGGAAACAGATGCATTAATATCAACAAAGAGTCTTAATGTTTTTACTAGTAGTGAATTTAGTAATTTGAAAAAAGAACATCATTTGTGTGATTATCCATCAGAATTACAATTTACCAAGGTTATTTGGTTATTTACTGATGGTCTTCCGGTCAAGTATAGTAAAAAGACATTTGACCATTTCAAGGATCATATGGTCCTGTACACAATTGATGTTCCAGGTCCAAAATATTCCCATGCCATTTATACCAGTTATATGACTGGTCAACTGCCAACAAATTATCAAGGAAATCCAATTGAAGGAGACAGTCTTGTCAAATCTATTCAAAGAAGTCCAGATATGGGACCATTAACATATGTTGGACCTGAATGGAGTTTCCTTGCTATTCACGGAAACAAGCATTATGATAAATTATTCAAGAGAATTGAATTAAAGGAAGAACCTTTGGATCAACCTCATGACCAAGGATATAGATTCTTCTTTGCCAATGAAGATGCTAGAAAATTCTATAGAGAAACTTTGGACACAATCAAGGGAGAGGGAGGTTCACTTTTTGCTCACTCTGCAATTTTTGACCATATCAATCATGGTGTCTTTAGACACGATCCAACAAATTTGGACTATTTGACCTATTTATCTGACAGAATAGCCTCTGACATTAACCCTCTTAAGGATTGGATTGATGCAAACCCAGATTATTTATTGATTTTATCTTCTGACCACGGTACAGACGATGTTTCCAATGGTTACGTATTGCATGGTTATTCTAGAGATGGAAATGAAGGTTATGTCATGCTCTACAATCCAAGATTAAAACCATACGATGAAAGATTGGACATTGTTGATGTTTGTCCAACTGTTGCCAAGTATTTGAAGGGAGTAGATATACCTGCTGATAACATTGGTGTATCAAGAGCTTATTTTGGCGATGACGAAGAATCACTCAAGTACAAATCATATGTTTTGAAGGAAAGTTTGGTTCAATTGACTGATACTACTACCAGAAGAGGAACTGACTTGCTTAGATCTGCTTCTTCTATTTTGAACTTGTTAAAGATGGAGGCTAGCGACATGTCATTCTCTGAAAAGTTCAAGTCAATTAGAGATTTTAACACGGAGCTTTCAAAACTTAATGTTGAAATGAAGCAAAAGCTCTATCAATTGATGGATACTCCAGTATTTTGGGTTGCTTTCTATGTAGCATGTACACTGGTTATGGTTGTGATTGGCTTGTACCGTTTCAATTTCCATGCTATTCACTTGTTAGCTGAAAAGTATGTCTCTAAGGCACTCTATCTCCTCTGCATTTTGATTCCACTCTATTTTGGTTCATTTGTCAATGTCTTATTCTGTTGGGACACTTGGAAGGGAGTTGTAAGAAGTGGTGGACCATTCTTCATTTGGCAAGGTTTTTTGACAATTGTTCTATTCTTTGTTATTTATCAATGCACAATTTATTTCATGAAGACCAGAACTGAAAAGGATAAGGGAGAAGCTGATGGTTTCTCACTCATTGGCTGGAAATTATTCATTTTCTGTACTATTGATATGACCTTCTTTGCTCTCTTCCACTTGTTCAGAAAACAATGGAAGTGGGGAATGGAACATGTCTTGCCATTGCAATACTTGTTGTTGATTTATGTTGTTTTTGATTTTTGTGGATACAACTTGTTCAGCTCCATTGTTTCTGTTGCATTGTTCATTGTAAGAAAGATACGTAGAACACCAGTGCCAGCAACTAAGAATATGAACAAGAATACCTTCCACTTTATTTATTGTACAGCCATGATGCTCCTACTCTTCCTCTTTGAATTTACCAGCGTTAGAGAAACAGCTCCACAAGAACAAAAGGCCCTTTATGTTCAATACTATACCATTGCAGGATTCCACATTTATTATTTAGGATTTATCATTATGGCCTTCCTCTACTTTGTATTTGTCTTACTTTTCAATCCAAAGAGATTGGATAGATTGATCATTCCATCCTTGTTGTATGCTTTTGCCTTGATGAGAGATACACCTTTTGGAAGAGTTGTCACTTTGCTTCAAAATGTACAATATTTTTACCTCCTCGTTCCTGCTTATATCTTGATTAACAAATACTGCTGCCAAGTTAAGAAGAAAGACAAGGGCTTCAACTCATCTGGTTCATCACCACAATTCGAAGATGATGAAACCAAGCATCACTTCTTTGATATTCTTCAATTAACAATTAGTCTTTTCTTTATGAATCACTTTATGTATGGTTTCCACATTGGAAAAGAAGAAAGATTGGATGTTGATGCTCACCCAATGGCTGGCGCTGTAGGTATGAAATCTCACCAACAACACCCTAATTTCAATGCATTCCAAATGGGTTATGAACGTTGGCATATGATTTTATTGTCTGCTATTTACTTTTGGTCTGTTCTTCACAGAGAAAAAGATGATGGTTTGACAAAGACTGAAAAGGATATTAAGGACGCTGACAGATACTACATCACAGATATTATTCTTAATACCTTTACTTTGCTCATGTTCAATGCTCATGTTTTCGTCAATCTTATGCTTTGTTATATTACTATGGACCATGCCTTCCAAGAAACAATTGTCTATTTGGTTGTAATTTCAATTTCAGCTACTGCATTTACATTCTTCAATATGGTTACTAGGTACTCAGTTTTCGTGATTGAATTTGTTTTGAGTAAGGTGCCAAATGGAAAATTCAAAACTTTCGTTCAACAAGTTTTACTCAGTCAAAATGAACCAGAAAGTGATGACATTTTACCTATCACTACCTCTGATAAACCAATTAAAGATGTATAAATGTTGTTTCAATAATATTTGAAAACTCTATTCCGATATTTTCTCCTTACATCGAATTGTGGAACTTCTAAAAATACAAAAAAATAATCACACAACAAACGCTGAAGCCACACCAGTAGTAATGCAGCAAAATTCTTTTGTTTTTCCTAATGATATCTTGTATGGGAGAGATAAAAAGTGGATCAATGATGAAATGAAAAAGTGTGAAAATAGTGATGGAAACGAATACTCCTCCTTGTTGATGCTAGCCTACGATTTTTATTATTCTCTAACTTTAATAAGTGGAAGGGTTATCGGAGCAAATTGGAAACGAGTAGTGCTGGTCTACATTTTATCGGCTGTTTATTTGGGCTGGATTTATGGAGTGGACTATAATTATAAACCACTTGCAGAAAAAGACCAAGGATTTAATGTTTTGTACTCTGTGCACTTGAAGCCTTTTGTTTCCAATATATGGAATAGTGCAGGAAATGATACAAAGAGTGTTTATCCTGATGCATTCTCAGTGATGGATTGTGCCAATTTGAGTGTATTTGGATATTTTACTTACATGTTTAATGGATGGTTTGGATCTTATTTCACCTTTCCACTTTTGTTATTTTTGGATATTCCAATTCAGAGTTTTATTTTATTTGACATTATTGCTTCAGGAAGGAAATATAATTTTCAAGGATTTTTCCCAACAATATCATACTATTTGATTATTGCCATTCTTCTTTTAGGAACTTACAGAGCTCTCACAGATACATCTGAAATGAAACCAATTGTTTGTACACACTGCAGACAAGCAGTATTTTACAATATTCTCGATACTGTACTCATTGGATTTGATAATTTAATATTACACGAGTTCTTGGAGGATGTTGTACGATACATAGCAAGAATGGATATAACCAAAGAAACAAAAGAAACAAAAGAAACCAAACCATCAACTCAAAATACATCAAAAGAGAGAAAGAATACAGAAGGCTTTGCTTTTAAATTCACATCTCCTGAACGTTTCGATACATCAGGTTTACCAGCCAGCAAACCAAAGAAGAATTCTAGCTCATCAAAAGTTTTCAATCCAGTTACCACGACAGAATTACATGATGACGATGAGAGTATTGACGATTTACCATCTCTTATAGATGTGCCACCAACCACTGACAAGTCATTCATTGTAAACGATAAGATTTTCGGTTCATTCATGCGTGGTATTAAAAAGAGAAAGAAATAATTCAAATTTATTAAAACTGCAAATCCTTCCTTTTTCCATAATTATGAATCTAGAATGTGAGCTTGGGATAATTTTTATTTATTATCATTCGAAAATATTTGAATCTGAAATCCCAATTTTTCAAACATTACAACAAGTGTATTTTCAAGGTTGAACCATTTCATTGTGTGAGTAAATATTCTGGTCAACCAAAGAAAAAAAAATGAATCCATCACCTTCTCTCTCAACAGATACTTTATTTTTAATTGCGGAATATTTACCATATCGTGATGCTCTATCTTGTCGCCTAGTTTGCAAAGATTGGTACTCTCTCGATACATACGAAATATTCTGGAAGACAATTTATCATCAATACATCATTTCGAATATTATTGAAAAATATCAAAAGATGAAAGACTACTCTGCTACGACCAGTGCAACTAACAATATTCCACTGAGTGAAATACTCAATGATTCGAAACATTACAATAGAGAGAAGAAGAAACAAACTGTGAAACTAATCCAAGGAATTAACTCAAATTCTGGACAGAAAAAACTAGTTCCCTTTGTTGTGCATAGGGCAGTGATGCAATCGCTTTTGAATGCCTATGAGAAACATATATTGGAGGATGGTACTGCTGAGAGAGGTTCTATAAAGGAAAAACTATTTAGTTTACAACAAAATGGGGATAGAAGATTCAAGTATTTGATGGAAAAACAAATTAATTCAGAAATGACTATTGCTCTAAATGTATTCTTTGGAGGTTTGAAGACTAATTTTCAGTACCATTCAAAGGAGATTGTGCTGAATTTTCTGATGCATGTCTTGGGAGAGGAATATATCAGAAATATTAGTGTAATGAAATTTATTCCGAATGTTGATTTTAAATTGGTTCTAAAGAAATTATTCAGAGGAATTTCACAATCGGAAGAGTATCCTAAATATTGGGAAATAATGATAGGATTATCATTGCAGAACTTACCAGATTTAATTCCAAAGAAAGAATGTTCTAATGTTTTAAAGGGCTTATTCGAATCTAGCAAATTCAAAGCTCAAATATCTTGGATATCAATTATGTTTTCCAACTGTTATTATTATGAGGATGTAAATGAGCTAATGTACGAACTTTTGAATAGAAATGGAATTGATACTTCTGACACATTGTCAATAAGTGAATATTTTACAGGATCCATTTCAAAAACATTTTCTTTATTATCAGAATACACTTTTTTCATCAAATATTTACAATTTTTGGGAAAATTCCTAGAAGGAGAGAAAATTTATGTGCAAGTTACTGAAAGTAGTTACTTTTATTCGTTAATTGGACGATTATCCAATGAAGAGAGTACTAGTTTGAATGATTTTCTTGATAATTTGCCAATTCCATTATTAGAGATGATTAAATTGAGAGGAATTAACCAATTCAATGTCAATGAACTTAGATTATTGGAATATGTTAAAGGGAAAGGAATTTTATATTCTCAATCGGCCATAGAGAATTATTTGGCAAGATTTTACATCTATTCAACACAATATGGTCAAGTAATCAAATTCTTAATTGATAATTATCATGCAGATATTTATGAAATAGAAAAGAAGGTGAAATTCTTCCCAAAACTTGTACAATATCTATCGAACATCTATAACAATGTGGGTGTATATGTTACAGAGTTTGCAACTTTATTTTCGGATAAGCCAATTGATTTGGACAAGCTTACCGAGTGCAGTATTGGAGATCTTATTTTAAAAAACTGGAAAAATCCAACAGAATTTGTACAATTTTGCAAGAAACGTTTCATTCAGAATATTTTCTATTTGCCAACAGTTTGCCGTATTCTGTCACAAGCAATACTCGAATATTACGATAATAAGTTAGAGCTTAAGAGGGCTATCTATGAAGCAGCCATGTTTAATGAAAATCTAACGCTCTCTAATTACGTTTCCCAATTACTTGAGGAAGAACCTGAATTATTGCAAGAAACCACACTTCAATTCAATAATTATCCTCAAACAGATCCAAAGTTTGCCATTTCAGTCTATCTATTTTGTAATGAGAAATAATTCCTTATTTGTTATTTTTGTAAGCAATCCTGAGATGGTATAAACCCATTTTTGGAAGTTTTAATCATGACTTTTCGGAAATAAATAATAGAATATGTACAAGTTAAATGTTATATTAATTTACAAACGAGAATTTTCCATTTCTTCATCCTCATCTCTTAAGAGACCTCTATTCATTGTTTCTTCCTCTGGATCTGCTACAGGTTGAGCATTGTTTCTATTATTGTTAGTAAAGTACTTTTTCTTAAAGTCTGCAAACTTTTTCTTTGCAAGGTCACTTAATTGATCAAAAGTTGAAGTTTCTGTTGTGGTATTCGAACCAATTCCTCTTGTTGAATATCCACTGTCAACATTTCTTCTGACAGTTGCTGTTGAGTTGGTGTGATATTGAGGTGAGCTATTATCAACTCCGTATTCATAGGCAGGTGGTTGATGAGTTTGTGGAGGAGCATTCGATAAACCTTGTTCGAATAAAGCTTGTTGTAAACGTTGTGCATAATATTCATCTTGACTATATTGATTTTCTTCCTCTTGAGTTGTAGCACCAGTTGCTGGATCTAAATTTGAATATCTCAAGAAATCCTCATCCAATGTATGTCTAACTATATTTCCTGATGATGGTGGAGGACCTGATTGATTATTAACAGTATTTGTATTGGTAGTAGAAACCATTGGAGGTTGATTTGTGGTGGCACCAGTATCCCCTTCATCAACCATTGTCAATAAAACCTCTATGGTTCTTTCCATATGACCATTGGTTTGATAGAGTACTCCCTTGATAGTTTCTTCATCAAAGGAAGGAAACATGGTTGTGAGTGTAACCATAGCCTCTCGTAATGTAAGTTTTGGTGTAACCATTTTCTAATAATATTTAAAGTATTTATACAATTGTAATCTATAATAATATTCTATGTAAATCCACCACTATTGTTGTATTAAAATTTTAATCCAAAATGATGATCAAAGATTCCGCAAAGATGATCTATTGTTGTTGTTCTTGTTTAGTATTGATTGTGTATAACAATAAATCAAATTCTATTAAATTCTACGGCTGATGATGCTGTTGATGTTATAGATAATCAAATAGACAGAGAGAATGTGAGAGATTAAAATCAATTTTTTTCTTATTGTTCCTTCTGGTGATGTTTAGTAAATTGGAGATTAAAAATAGAATTCGTAAATAATTCTAAAGCGAATTTGTTTAAAAGTTTAAAAACAAAAAGGAAAGAATTCAAGCAAAGTAAACAGAGATCAATCTTGTTTTTTTAATGATGTATATAATTTCACGATATGAAATGATGGATGAGATGTTTATGGAAAGTAACTTGCAATAAAGTAGTGTCCTCATCTGGTGGAATCTGGATGCAAGTTGAGAGTCAAGTGAGTGGAATCATTTCACAATGATATGAGTGTGAATAGAACCTTAAAAGAGTGTTAAATTGTATTGGTTGAGTGACTATTTTAGATTATATTGTTCGAGAAAATCGTAAAAAATTAATTAGTAAAGTGGATTTTCCTTATTGTTATTGTATTCAATTGTTTACATTGTGGTGGTAAATGTTCAAGAATAAGGTTGGAAAAAACGCAAGTTACCAGTGAATGCCACAAGAAAATAGATCTATATTTCAGTCTGAAACAACAAAATTGTTAAATCAATTGTAGGGCATCTTTTCTAACTATCAACAGGAAACAAAATGAACTATTCAAGTGTTTGTTTCGGAGTGAAATATTTCATTCATTTGCAACTGTCTACTGGCAATGCAGATGGTTGAGGATTATAAACTGAAAATAATCCTTCCACAAAAGTCCCATGCCTCCAATGCAATTAAGCACTTGACTGCTGTAGTCAACATGTTAAGGGACAGAACATAATAAATTCAGAATATTTTATTAGTAATAACAACATCACAAAGAAACACAGCCTTCCACACGTGACGTGAATTGGAGAGTTTACAGCCTCAGGCTGTGTTTCTTTGTGTATCATAGCCAATATCCAACTTGATAAATTTGGAAATGAATTCTGAGAAAGGTGTTGAAAGTCCTCTTCTTCAGCAATTCAAAATTAACCTATGTAATAATATTCTTCTCATTTGATATAACAATATTAATAATCACATAATCTCCCTGTTACTTTACACGTTCTTGAGGTGGAAAATCGAGTTTTTTCCTCAAAGAGGTTTTTTTATCTTACTAACGAGATTGTTGCGCATGCCAACCAACATCAGATCACGAACGTTGTTGTGTGGAGAATACCCGCATTCCACAGTTGTGTGGTGGTGTGTGCTTGTTGCTGTACTGCACTGCAAATCTCTTGTTGAGATTGTTGTGCATGGTTTCTAAAACAAACCCCTTATTAAAAACATTAAAGAAAATAGTTGTCTCCGTAGGCTCGGTTGGTTTTGAAACAAACTAGTGTGTGCGTGCTCAATAAGCTAATAGTATCGAAGTCTGACTTAGTATTTCTGGATATTAACGAGGACAATCTTGTGGAGTTTCAATATAATTAACTAACAGTTCAAATTAGTAGTGATTGTTTGCCGATTATCATCATCTCTTGTTTTCATAGATATCTCTTGTAATTTGTCTATCAGCATTGCTACAAGAGGTTTTATCTATTCCCTATTTAAAACAAGAGACATTGTCCGTTCTCTCTCAACAGCAGAACAACATTATTGAAGTGAGATTATTGACAACAGTAAGTAATGAACCTTGTTCAAATCTTAAACATGTGTTGCAATTTATCATCGTGATAACCTTTATCATCAACTAACTGTATTCCGGCATCTTTCCATATGTATTTACCTCCCTCCACAAAATAACCATATCCATGCTATAACCTGATCATCAATAACAACACTTCCTATAAAACTGTTGGACTATTATGTGATCCACATCCACAACAAAAAACCCTTCACATGTGGCAATGAAATCTCTTCCAAACGACATTCGATACGATAATTTATTTGTACAAAAAACACAAAAACATTTCCACTTGCTTGCTTAGGTCATCCGTTCTTGCACCACCTAACATTCCAAAACAACAGCACCAACAATACATCTGAAGGCTTGCAACAGCTGGGCTTCAACGAAGGAAGAGAAAAAAAGAGACACAAATAGATCACTTTGCTCAACAAAACATCTGAGAAAGTAGAAAACACCTGAAAAATCACCTATGATCATAGGAAACTATCATTATTTTCATCTCGTAATCTTCAGATCATCATCATCAATTTTACCACAATATCTTCCACATTCCTCCACCTACTATTAACAACTATAATTTTCGTCCTCATCATCAATATTAGGCAAGATGGATAATAATTATTATTACAATAACAATTATAACATTTCAATGCAGCAACAGGCATCATCAAATAATTTCACGGCACTGATGAATGGTTCTTTACCAACTGCTGCTACTGTTGCTACCTCCACAAACAATCTAATGAATCATCTCTATTCTAGTCTTGATATGGGAGCATTATCAACCTCTTCCGTAGCCTCCTCCACTCACATAAAGTCTGAACCACTTGAGCCATCGACAACATCCTCTCTCCATAGCCTCACTCAAAATACTATTCAAAATTCGTATACTTCCTCGCTTTATAGTAATAATAATTCAACATTTGGACATTCTTTTATGAATCAACTAAATTCACCTGCCGATTTATTAGATGCCAACCAAGTAGTTATGCCATTGATGCAATCTACAAATCACCAAAACTTTTTGAACCAAACTGCAGCTGCTAACCAACTGATAGTAGCTTCCAATACATGTGGATCCACATCGCCTCCCTCTACTCTTGATAATCAAAATCCACAATCTTTCTATCCACAGCAACAACAAGCGGCATCTTCAAGCCATAGTGTCTCTTCACAAAATAGTATGAACTTTGTCCCTCCACAAATTGAACAGACATTTTCGGCCAACAGTACTGTTAACACCTCTTCCCAACAACTGCAATCTCCTCCAACAACTACAGCAACTTCGTCATCCTTTGATGATGAAGACATGGACGAAGATGAAGAACCAGAAGCCAACTCAAAAAAGAAGAAAAAGAAGAGTGGCAAATCCAGGTCATCATCTCATGGACTCTCAGTTAGAAAACACAGAAAGAATATTGCTTTCAATGATATTGCTTCTTGTTTTGAAATGCCAATTAGAGATGCCAGTCAATTACTGGGAGTAAGCTTGACCCAATTGAAGAGGTTGTGCAGAGAATTTCAAATTCCAAGATGGCCATTCAGAAGGTTAAATTCTATTCAGAGAAGAATTGAAGTTTTACAAATTATGCAACAACGTTCTGAATCAAAGAATGATCAAAAGTCTGTGGCACAAACTCAACAGGAAATTGACAAATTGCAGAGAGAAGTTGTTGAGCTCAAGACTAATCCATCTCCAAATGTTTCATCAATATTATTGCAAGATGGAACTGTGATTATGAATACAGAATCTCCAACGAATACTAACTCTTTTCAGGATCAAAACTATGCAAACCTAGATGCCAGAAGTACCACTTTTAGTAATCCTTATACTGGAATGTTGCAAATATCTAATAGCCCTCAACAATCCTTTTCAAACATGTTACAAATGCCAACAACTAATCAATATGCAGATGTAGACAGTCAAAAAATAGTATTGAAATATCCTGCTAAAAACAATCAACAACAGCAACAGCAGCAACAAGAAGATATTTATCAATCAAATCAAACTTCCAATTTTCCATTCCAAGCCTATGGACAACCCACCAATTTTGCTACCTCTGACACCTTAAGTATGAATAGAGCTGGCCAAATTCAAAATTTTGTGCCATCACCAACACCTCAAATGATCCAACCAAATTTTGCCAATAATAACCAACCATATCCAACAAGTCCTAGATATCATGGTTTTCAAACAGAATTTCATGACTATTCCAATCACTTTAACAAGTCAGAACCAAATCCAAAGATATACAACTTCCACAATATTACCTTTCCATCTGCTGTAAATACCAACCTTCAACAAATGAATAACTTAAATGGTTTACCTTTAACTATTGGGCCTGGAAATACCCTTCCACCAAATATGACAAACATTTCAATGGATCCATTGATGAACGTGAACTCGATTAATAGTTCAGTTCAACACGATAACATTCAAAATATGAATGCTTCAACAAATCAAGATAATGGCAGACTATACTCTAGAAGAAATGCAGCTTCTTTGGACGTTCTCACCGATTATGAAAAGATGCAATTACTCAATATTATCGCACAATACAATAGTAGTATGAGCCAAAGTAATGAACAATGCAATCCTAACTCCCCTAATCGTGAAGAAAAGAAAAATTCACTCATTGATGTTTTAAATTCACGAAAAGTTTCACTTCCTGCAGATTTTAATGCTCAAGGTGTAATCAGAAAACTTTCTCAATCCTATGGAGATGATATATTCAACATTGAGAATGGAACTATGAATTTTGGAAATACAGACCTTGACAATTTGACTACTGAGGATATTCTGAAACTTCTCGGTGATTTTTTCCCTCAACAACACACTCCTGTGTCACAAACCTCAAATAAATAAATCTCAGTCTCTCTTTATTCAAAAATAATTTATTTTAAATTAATTAAGGAATATAATTGTTATGCAAGTATTCTCAGAATCATTCAAAAATCCTTGCAACCCAAACAATCACAATCACATTTCTTTCGGATATTTCAATGTTTTAATGTCTTCCATAATTGTCTCTATCTTTGCATCCATTTCGATAACTTTGTGCAGCACACAGGACGTATTCTACATCCATTTTTTTAAGCATTGAACTTATTATTAAATAAGGGTTAAGAGAGAAGGAAAAAAATATGTTTCCACTAATGATGAATTTCATTAACAGGAATACTGGTTTGGAGAGACATCATTGGAGATGTGTCTTGAGTTTTATCATCCATTGTTACAATAACAAGAAAATTCGAGTCCAATTGTACAGAGAGTTAACGAACAGCAGGAAGTTCATGATAATCAGGATTATATGTCTTTCCAATTTTAACATGTTTTTTTTCAGTTAGAATGACACAATGTCCTTGTTCGGTGTGATACTTCAAATCGGTTTGATTGTGAACTTTGTAAATATTCTCCTTACAGACATTGCAAAATACCTTTTCCTCGGAAATGTAAGTCATTGAGGTGATTTTGAGTGGACATTCGTATTCCCATTCGCAACCTTCAACGAATTCCCTTTTGTATTTATCACTACTGTCAATTATTTGAATTTGGTTTTGGTTTTTGGATCTTGGCATGTGTATCTGAAGGTGTGTGAATCTTCTCCTTAATACGTGCATCCAATTTTTCACATTCAGAGATTTCGAATAACTTGGAAAATAATGTAGAACAAGTGGTTTCCAAATTATTGTTTGAGTTGTTGAGAATAATTCATCATTCTCTTGGTACACATCCTTGATTGAAACAATTCTTGAATCCATGTTCATACTTGAGAATTTTTTTTTCCTCTTTGCTATTAAATTGACCTTGTCAATTGTCAAATTAAAGAATAATTCCAGTAATTGTTGATTACATGAAGCAAGATTTGCTAGCTCGGAAGTATTTAGAAAACATCCAACAATTAATAATTCGTCCCTATTTAATTTGTCTACTATTTTGAGAGAATGTTTCGTATTTTTTAATGGTGAAACTGTATCGGAAACTACCCCCACTGTAACGTTAGATTCTTCTTTGTGTTGTTCTGAAACAGTTGAAAGGTCATCATTAGCATCAACTGTTCTAATCTTTGAGAAGAGACGAAACACCATTTTTTTAACTTGATTTACAGATCTTTCCTTTCAAAAATTTTGGATATTCAAAAATGTTCTGCCAAGTTCAAAGGAAGTAGTTCACTCACTTGCATCAAACCTTGTACCATTGAGCAAATGGCACTGGATAAAGTGTTCAATTTCTATTGGAATTGCTTTGAAAATATCAGAACTAAACTTTTATCAAAACTTTCAGAACACTTAATGTTGTTTTGTTTTCATCTGATGACCATTTTCGACCTGTTTACAAAGATCAAGTGATTCGTAACCAAACAACATTTCCATTACAATAGTAGTAGTCATTCAACGTTGATGGCAAGCTCTTTTGTGTGACCTGATTTGCTTTTGCCGCAAGACATGCAACAACTGTCTGTCAATTATCACAATTTTATATATTGCAAAAAAACGAGTTCATTGTGTTAACCAAAATCAACAACAGCTAAACTGCTGCGCATTTCACAATATTGCTCCCTCACTTCTTCCTCGACCAGCAACAACACAAGTAACATTATAACCAAATCACCCAACACAAAAAAACAGAGAAAATGATGGACGTACGTATTTTTACTAGTCAATAATAGTAGTATAATAACACAGAGACAATTGTTTGATAATATATATATTGTTGCGACATTCATGTGATTCTTTTGATAATGATATGATGATATACCGTAATTGCTTGTTATCCTGCTTGCTGTATAAAACTTGCCGCGCTCTTTTTTAAATTTTACTTTGAACAAAAAACACACCAACTGTAATACTGAATGTTTTCTTCTCTCTCCCCTATGATGATGATAATCACACCCAATTCTTGTTTCTTGCTATTATTTGATAATACGGTTCGGTTTTTGTGATTTGATCGGTTGACTTTACTATTTGAATAATAATTATGAACAATAATATTATTATAATAATAATTAATGTAATACCATTGATGAATTTATCCTACTAATGGTGAATGATTGCTACATACATCAAATTAATAATAACAAAATAACTATCATATAGTCATTTGAACAACCAGATTTTTCAGGTTATATGAGAAAGAGAGGTGGATTTAATACTCTTGCTCACCGTCGTAGATGGTTTGAATTGAGAGGTAAACACTTGTACTATTACAAAAAGAATACAGATAAGCGTCCAACAGGTGTCATTGTCCTGACAAATGCCAAAGTTGAAAAGGATGGAAACAAGTCACTCGGATTGAAATTGAGTGGTCCAAATCTTTCACGTGTCTATGAATTGATTTGTGAATCTGAACTTGATTATAAAAAGTGGATGGATGAATTACAAAGAGCTATTGACTATAAGCCAAAGAATGATAAAAAGGGTTTAGAACAAACCAAGATGGAAATGAAAAATGATACTTCGAGTAGTACATTGTTGGTTTCAAGTGGAAATAGTGCTGAAGCAAAGAAGGTCACTTTGGATGATTTTGAATTGATTGCCGTCGTTGGTAGAGGCAGTTTCGGAAAAGTTATGAAAGTTAGAAGAAAGAATACTACAGAAATTTTCGCCATGAAGGTTTTGCGTAAGGATATGATTGTTAAAGAAAACATGGTTTCTCACACGTACGTATTTTAATATTTCCAAATATTTACAATTTTCTAATTGACCTTACACCTCTTTTACACCATATATAGAAAGGCTGAAAAGCAAATTCTCCAAGAAATTAACCATCCATTCATTGTCAAATTGTACTATGCATTCCAAACAGATGAAAAACTCTATCTAGTTCTTCAATTCTTGCCAGGTGGTGAATTGTTCTTCCACTTGAAAGAAGAAACCAAATTTGACGTTGAACGTGCCAAGTTCTATGCTGCTCAAATTGTTTTGGCCATTGAACACTTGCACAAGAATGATATTATTTACAGAGATTTGAAACCAGAAAATGTTGTTTTGGATTCAGATGGTTATGTTGTCTTGACAGATTTTGGTTTGGCCAAGACATCCATTTCTAATGCTACTCCAACTTATACATTCTGTGGGTATGTAATCAATCTTTTAAATTTTTTCTAATTATAAATGTTTAGTACTCCTGAATATTTGGCTCCAGAAATCCTCAAGGGACAAGGTCACGCTAAGGCAGTCGATTGGTGGAGTTTAGGTATCTTATTATACGAAATGATGGTTGGTTTGCCACCATTCTACTCTGAAAACATCAATGAAATGTACGAATTAATTTTGAAGGCTCCACTCAAATTCCCACAATTCATTCCACCTGATGCACAATCCTTACTGAGAGGTCTCTTGGAAAGAGAAGAATTCAAACGTTTGGGAGGTGGTCCAACTGATGCTCAAGAAATCAAATCACATCCATTCTTCTCAAATATTGATTGGGAACAATTATATCAACGACAATTGGAACCTCCATTCAGACCACAACTCAGAGATGGAGATGATATCAAATACTTTGATGAAGAATTCACATCTGAACGTGCTGTTGATTCATTTGCCGAAGTTATTGATAAGGAAGAAAATCAAAACTTTGACGATTTTGACTATTCCAGAAATTAATTATTGTACTATTCCCTAAACAATTATTTAATGAACAATACTTGTATTTTTATAAAAACAAAGAATTATTAAGATGTTGCAACTGAAGTGCAAAGAATTTGATTACAAATATTTGATTGAGGATCAAACCGGTTTGTATTTCGAAAATTAAGAAAGTGAATGGCTACGGCCATATCACGATGAATGCACCTCATCCCGTCCGATTTGAGAAGTTAAGCATCGTCGAGCCACATCAGTACTGAGGTTGGAGACAACTTGGGAACCTGTGGTGCTGTAGTCTTTTTATCTTTTTGGTATTTTGTCTTTACTTGACTTAAACAAGTGGGCAAAGGAATTTTAGAAATGAGAAAATGGATGTGAAGATGTCAATCCTGAGATGGAGTTTTAAATATCAATTATCTCTCAACCACAACCATATCAGACATTTTCAAACCATCTAGAGTTTGCAGACAATTCATTGTCATTGGCAGAACCAATTGAGGGATTACACTGCAACCAAACCGTGTTCGTTGAAGGTGTAGCATAGGTGAGAGCCAACAGGCATACTTGAAATACCACTACTTCAAATGATCGGGGCTGTGAGCAAGTCTGTGGGCCGATTTCTGACGGTTCTGCCACCACAGATCTGACACACCCTTTTTTTCTTACAGAACTAATCACCAATTTCTTTATTACATTTTATGAGTATGTTGGATTAATTAATGGACACAAAGTGAAACATCCGAAAAGGTTTGTTGTTTTTGAGAAAAAGGAGTTGTTCTATTATTTAACAGAGCTAGAAATCATACCAGATGATCCCTCACAGGAAAAAATTGAGAAGGAGGGCAAACACAGAATTGATATAATTACTTTGAAATTTATGCAGGATGCGAATTGAATCAGCAGTTCAGAAGAAAATAAAGAAAATAGGTCAAAACAATTCAACTGTGTACTTTACTGAATATTTACATTTTGGTTTTATTTACAATGATTGCTTAGGTTTACAAAATTTTGAGTTTTATGGAGATTACCACATTTTGAATTGTTTGTTTCTCATTTCTAAAGAATTCTGTGATTGATTTAGAAGTTTTGCTTGTTATTTTCTTTTGTTTGTTGATTTTCATTAAATTTCCTTTCATCAAAATATTAATAGAAAAATTCTTGTGATGAGTGGAAGATCCACTAAAAATCGGAATCACAAAATTAGTGGAAATCATCATGGAAATAAATAGATAACTGTTAGCTCGGATGATGAAATTTCCACAACAAAACAAAATAACTAAATAACAAAAACTAAGAGCAAAATGCCAGCTAGAAATACTTCATCAAATACTTCATCTTCCGAAGATAGAATTCCAACAAAAACAGAATGGACAAGATCTAAACCAATTGATTTATCTAAAAGATTACCATTATTTGATATTGATACATCTAATATTATAAGTGGAACAAGACATCGTAATAATATTGATTATCATCATGCAAATTTAAATGGTAAACAAATTTCAGTTAAAAGATCTTCGAAAAATTCAATTGAAAAGAGAGCTAAACAATCAAACACCACAACTAAGAAGATTACCAAATCGAAAAAGATGTAAAATTGCAACTTGTAAATAATTCAGTAAATTGTAAATATATGAAGTTTCAATTTCGAATTGATCAGAATATGAGAAACCAAAATTTGTATCCTGCAATTCAACATGGCAAAAGTTTAATAAATATGAGGTTTTATCAACCTTAACAATTTCTTCAAACAAAACCTGAACCAACAAGATTCTGTCTTCGTTGCCTTCACTGTTCATACAGTCAAAGACTGTAGCGGGATTGTCGTTATATTCCTGACAGGCTTCCCGTCCATTAAACTAAAAAGAATAGCCACAAATTAATAATCTAAATGTGTTAAATCCAATAACTTTGTTGAAAATTTATTGATGACACTAAGAAACATGTCTTAAAAAATTCTTTTAAGCAAGAATTGGTGTCACATTAATTTAATTTGAACATTCCTTGAATTTCCTTTGCAGAGTAGGCTCCTTCTAAAATCTTCTTCTCCTCTTCAGTCAATTCAATTTCCAGTGCTTGAACATTGAGCTCAACATTAATGGCCTTTGTTGCACCAATTACTGGACTTACAACTCCAGGTTTGGAAAGTAACCAAGCAAGTGCAATTTGAGCTGGAGAAACGTTTCTCTTCTTGGCAATTTCAGAAACTTTTCTCAAAGTTTCCTTATCACCTTCAGTCAAATTGCCCTTAAATATGGTTTGAACAATATCAGTATTTTGTCTCTTGGAATTATTTTCAGTAGTTTCAATTGCCTTCTCCTCAGCATTGACAAATTCATGAGCACGAGCTAACATTCCATTAGAAAGAGGTCCCCAAGGTGTGAGTGAAACACCTTGATCAACACACAATGGATTCATTTCTCTCTCCTCTTCTCTATAGATGAGATTGTACAGATTTTGCATGGAAATGAATTTAGTCAATCCCTTCTTCTCAGCATAATGTTGAGCTTTGGAAAATTGCCAAGCAAACATAGTAGAGGCACCAATGTATCTGACCTTTCCAGATTTAACCAAATCATGGAGAGCTTCCATAGTTTCTTCAATTGGTGTTTGTTCATCCCAACGATGGATAATGTACAAATCAATGTCTATTTAAATTTTTCATTTAAAATCACAAGAAGAAAGTAAAACTTACAATCAAGACCCAATCTTTGCAATGAATCCTCAACTGCATGCATAATGTGCTTTCTGGAAAGACCCATAGTATTTGGTTTACCTTGATTACTATTCATAATGAGTTTTTGTTCACCAGAATGATCCAATGGTCCACAAACTTTGGTAGCAACCACAATTTCCTCTCTTGAAATGTTGAATTCCTTAATGAACTTGCCTAAAATTCTTTCACTTTCTCCATTGCTGTAAATATTGGCAGTGTCGAAAAAGTTGATGCCCAAATCCCATGCCTTCTTCAATATTCTCAATGATTCCTCTTCTTCCAAAACCCAAGGAATCCACTTGGAAGATCCAAAACTCATGCAACCCAAGCAAAGTTGAGAAACTTTTAAACCACTTTCACCCAAATTGACGTATTTCATATTGTACTGTATTACGATTGTAAACTGTTAGTGCAGATAGAATTAAATTCAAAAACTAGTTGTGAATTTGTTTTTTTGTGTTTGGAATTAGAGTTGTGTTTCAAATCCATAAAATTTAAACCTAAAATTTATACTTTTAATTCTGCGCGCATGATTCTAGTTGATTTGTGCTCATATTTAAACGAGCAGAATTATGATCATTATTGAAAGAGGAGTTGGAACAACAACCATTGACAGGATCCTAATCGCAATTCAGATTGAAGAATTTTATGTATTCAATTATCCCTCAGTTCAGGATAGCGATATGGAACCCTATAGTTTCAGACTCGTTAATTCAAGCTAAATTTTGTAACACCCAGGAATCAACTGTAATTTCAATACTTGAAGAGTTATTTAAATAGAACTTGTCAGAATAGATTATGTCCAATATTTACCAACTATTGTAAAAGTATCATGTCTTCTGACCTTAAAACATCGATGTATCTTTACACTTCCTCTGTTACTCTATTTTTCCACCAATTCTTTCCTCCACCAAATAATTTAAAAACATTGCAGACCCACTCAAATCTTTCACAATTGTTCCATTAATATAATATCAATTATCAATCCAATTCAACAAATTATTTATTAAAATGTTTACAATAAAACAATCAAACAAATAATCATTACAATAACCATGAATGATTGCATAATATTACAATTTGCCAAACTTGCAACTCTCCACTTTTCTTCCAAAATCCATTGATTCATTCCATTCATTGAACTTCTCATTGCAATTGTCAAATTTCCAAAGGCCCAAGACTTCCAATTGTCATCTTGAGGATAGAAATATTCACCAACTTTGGAATTCACAAATGGACAAAAGTTTGGATTTCTATCAGTTATATTTTGATAGAATCTACAATTCAATTGAAATAAAAAGTAATTTTGATAGGCATCTTGTGGGAATGTACCAATTTCCCAAGCAGTTGGAACAATAGTTAAATTGGCCTTGCTTCCACTCATTAGGGCCAACTCCTTAATGAAATGTCCAAAATATTTACCATTCGGAAATGGAAATAAATTGTCGTGAATGTATTCATTCTTGAGGAGGTATTGTTTAGCGAATGGAATCCATTCAGGATCGAACATGGCATACACATTTCCATACTCACCAACAGCAGTGTGCAAGTCAATATATAAAACCTTTCTACTCTTGGTATATTCGGAGGAGTAGCCTTTCAAGAGTTGATTCAAAATGATTTTAACTTGCTTGGCTGTCCATTCTTCTGTAGTTCCTGCGTAGGCAATTCCAATTTTTCTGTGAATTTGTCCAAGGACTGATGATTGTGTGAATGCTGGAAGACCAACTTTTGCCAATAGGGTGTTAAAGTAGTTGACTGCTTGTGCTTGAACAGATTCCAAGTGAATATATGAAATATTCATATTATCAATGAATTGTTCCAATAAAACATTCTTTGAAATTTCCCAACCAGGTACATCAATGTAATGTTCATTCAAATTCTTCAACATGTCGACATTGTTTTCATTTTCCTTTGTTGCATAACTGGCTCCATATGGATTTAACATGTGAATGTGAATAGGATAGGTATTTTCAGGGAGATTGAATTGATACTTGGTGTCATTCTTTATCATGGCAATCTGAATTGGACTTCCTGCAAATCCCTCTTGTCCATGTACACCTGAGAAGGTAAGGAAAACATTGGATTCAGCACTATTCTTCAACATGTTGGCACGTTCTTCATGGAAGCATGCAGACATGTACAATTTTTCACCTTGAAGACCAAGAATGGAAGGAAGCTCATACTCTGAGTACTTGTAACCACCTGTTGCTTCACAAACTTGTTTAAACTTTTGATAAGCTTCAACATAATTCGATGAAAAGTAGTCCATATCCTTATTGAATGAATAGGTTTGCGAATTGGCTGTTGTTACTGATGATAACATGATCAAAGCCATGAGAATGGCCATGCATGTTGCAGAAAAAGTTGTAGCTGAAACTAACAACTTGTTGGTGATACATCTGGAGAAGTACATGTTTTTTTCTTCAATGAAAAGGTTGCGTGTAATCCATGTCAATTTAAAGAAATTCATGGATCTTGAACAATCTTTAAACTTTAGAATTTGGCATGGTTGACCTTTTAAATGTTTTTGAACATGTCAATGCAAGGAATTATTTTCCAAGTGAAAAGGGATTCGTTCCAAGACCTTCCAATTAAGAGGAGGAATAGCAAACAATGTTGATTTTCTTCGGATTTTCATGTAACATTTTTCAACAGTTTCTACAGTAATCTTACAGAAAAGGAATCTGAATTAGAAACAATTGGTCAATATTACAACCATAACTTTGAGTAGATATTCACGTATAATGAAGAGAACCATCCAAAAAAATCTTTCGATATTTACGAAATTGAACTATCAGTAATTCTTCAGAGAATTGCAAGTGGTTCCAATCACTACGAAGTGGAGAATGAAGCTCTAAACTTTCTTCTCTAATGTAATGAATCAGATCCAGTGATGATATAGAGTTGACAGATTGACTTTGAATTGAGATTAGAAGCATTAAAATCCTATTGAAAAGGAGGGTCAAATCGTTTTATATTTCACAAAATAAGGTATTGATTGGCTACGGCCATATCACGATTCATGCACCTCATCCCGTCCGATTTGAGAAGTTAAGCATCGTCGAGCCACATCAGTACTGAGGTTGGAGACAACTTGGGAACCTGTGGTGCTGTAGTCTTTTTTATTTCACCCCAAAACTCCTTGCTTCCTTGTGGATTCTTTAGAACACTTCTCACAATCATTCAAATTTAATTACAAGATTCTTCTGTAAACATTTGTCCTTGTAATTTCACAATACTTAAATTTTAGTAACATCACAATTTTCTTGCAATACCTATCATTACAGTATCTTCTTTTGATTACGTCCAAACACCAAAAACTTTGAAAGAAAAAAAGCCTCTTTACTTTATTCCTTTCACGCACTATTGTGTTAATATTATTGTTCTAGTTTAACTACTACAAAACCAACCACCAACCACTACTATTATTATTATTAAAATGTCCATCAAGAAGAGTACTCTATCTGCACAAACTCTCTCCACCAGAGGAGGCGGATCAACCACTTCCAAGAAGAAGAATGTAAAAATTAATTCCAATGATGAGATGAAGTTTTTGATGGAAATGAGCAAGAAGAATGAAAAGGAAAGCTCAAAGTCTGTTCAACCAACTAAAAATCATCCAAACAAACAAAAAGTATGGCCAACTGAACAAACTCAACCTGAACCAACTGTACCAATCAAGTATTTGTATAAGGACGGAAAGTTTCCAGAGGGAGAAATCTGTGAATTGGGACAATACGATTACAAGACCAAGAGATTTCATCCTTCTGAGTTGAAGCCTGGTGCTGAAGAAAGAGATGAAAAGTTGCAAGAACGTCTCAAGGAAGCAAGACATGCAGCTGAGGTTCACAGAACTGCCAGAAAATGGTTCAAGGATTCAGTTGTTAAACCTGGAATGAAGGTTATTGATGCAGCTGAAATGTATGAAGCAAAGGCTAGAGAATTGTTGGAAGCTGACAAGAAGAAGAGTGGACTTGCTTTTCCATTGGGTTGTTCCATCAATCATGTTGCTGCTCATTATTCACCAAATGGTGGAGATGAAACCGTTATTGGAAAGGATGATGTTATCAAGTTTGATTTGGGAACTCATGTAAATGGAACCATTATTGATTCTGCATTTACCATGTGTTGGAATGATCAATATCAACCATTATTGGATGCTGTCAAGGAAGCAACAAACATGGGTGTCAGAACAGCTGGCATTGATGTTAGATTGGGAGATGTTGGAGCTGCCATTCAAGAAGTAATGGAATCTTATGAAGTTGTATGTATTTTTTCTTATTCATTTATATTTACAATGTTAATTGCTTGTTGAACTAATACTAATAGACTATTAATGGAAAGACTCACAGAGTTAAAAGTATTGAAAACTTGTGTGGACACTCAATCGAAAGATATCGTGTCCATTCAACTAAATCAGTTCCAATCGTTGCTTCTCCAGACAATACCAAAATGGAAGAGAATGAATTCTTTGCAATTGAAACTTTCGGTACTACTGGTAAGGGATATGTTGTTGAAGAAGGTGTATCCTCTCATTATGGAAGAGAATTCACCTACCATGGTGATGGCTCTGAGTTGAGAAATAAGGAATCCAGAGAGTTGCTCAAGGTTATCAATGATCATTTTGGATCCATTCCATTCTGTCGTAGATATTTGGACAGAACCGGTCAAAAGAAATATCTTGTTGCTCTTCGTGATTTGGTTAATAATGGAATTGTTCATGAATATCCACCATTTGTAGATGTTAAGGGATGTCATACTGCTCAATTTGAACATACCATCTTCTTGAGACCAACCTGCAAGGAAGTATTGAGTAGAGGTTCTGATTATTAAGATTTCATTTTCCTCTATGCATTCCAAATATTTGTAACAGTTAGCTATAGTAATAAAGTTAGTTTGGATGAAAAATAATTGTTTCTTATTCATAAATGGGTTTAAACTTAGCCATACTGGATATGAAAAAATATTAAACATTCAATTGAATTACCTAATAAGAGAGTTACTATATATTTAACTTGAAACTACAGTTATTTTGAAATTTGCCTTCCAAGTTCCAAGTTTTACAATTCTTTAAATTGCAAAAACAACACTAACTACCAATAGCAATAAGAAATCAATATTAAACTCTCATATTTCGTGGCAGTTTACAATGATAGGAACTATAATGATTGGATGAAATTATTGTTTTGAACCACATTCAGAATTGTATGAATAAAAAAATACAAAAGGGACAGCACTTATTAAGGAAGCAGTTCATTATGATGAAAAACGTGACTTGTTCTTGTAAAAGAATAGTTGTGAAATCAGTCAAGTGCATTTTAATTCTGGTGATTATTGAAAGGAATTAATAAGAAAAGGGGGTTTAAATCGGTTTATATTTCACAAATTAAGGTATTGAATGGCTACGGCCATATCACGATTCATGCACCTCATCCCGTCCGATTTGAGAAGTTAAGCATCGTCGAGCCACATCAGTGCTGAGGTTGGAGACAACTTGGGAACCTGTGGTGCTGTAGTCTTTTACTTCACATAACTTCTTTTTACTCTTTATCACTGTTGAACTTTTTATGGATATTTTTGAAAAAAGATAATTTTACTCAATTTCCCACCAACATCAAACAATTAATTTTTCATTTAAATGTCAATCAAACAATAATCTAGAGGATAGAAATAACAATTAATTTTGATATGCGAATGTATTGTTTCTTTTATGCAATGTTTCGTTATTCACCAGAATATTAGTGGTATGATTTGGTAAAACTCAAATGCAATTTTGAACAATGATCAAAAAGAGATTGTTTCGAATAGTTCTCTTGGTAAACTTGAATGTACTTCTCTGCTTCCGAAATACCGAAACACGTGTTGCCAAGTAGGTTATTCCTTCAAAAACAATGAGATGGTAAATATTGAAGGGGCACAAACGCACTTTGGTGAATTTTATTTATTGTAAACTATTCGACAAGTTTCTCATTGTGAGATCGTACAAAAAGACTTTTAAGCGACCTGTGGCCAAACCTTGACGGAAATCCACATTTCAAAAAAACAAAACCATGAGAAACAAGTTATTGTTTTGTCTATTCTTGTTCTTGCTTGTTGCTGGTCAATCCATGCAACAAGAAGCAACCACCTTGCCAGACAATGTTGTTTATCCAACTTTTTACAATACTTCTGTCTATGCAGGTGGTAATGACGATGGTTCTGGCTACCCAGCTCTGAACACTCTTGTTAGTTATGCTCATTATACCATTACATCAGCTGGTGATATTTTCACATACAATAACTATCAACCAATTCGTAAAATTTCCAAACAAACTGGCACAGTTGAAAAGTTTTATTCACACTCTACCTCTGTCAGCTGTTTGTTATATGATAAGAGTTCTGAGAATCTGTACATTGTCAGTGTTGTTTTTCCACAAATTGCCATCTACAAACTCGACAATGTAACAGCCACAACAACACTACTCTTTTCTAAAACAGATTCATCCTATGGCAATGAAGGTGGTTGTTCTATCAATGGTAATGGAGATATTGCCATCAGAACAACAACTTATCAACAACAACACAAAATATTCATATTTAACATGACAACTCTTGCTTTAACTCAAGTGTTTGGTAGTAGCAGTGGTTTGTTTTATACAAATCCATGTTATGATGGTAGCAATGCTCTCTCATGTCAACTTCTGTTGACAGCTTTTAGTTTGGCAAATGATGGAAGAATTGTTCTTTATGGAACTGGAACAATGTCTGGTTTGTGGTTGATTTCTGATTCTACCATTTACATGAAAAAGAATGATTATTATTATGCTAAAGATTTCTTGCAAGTTTCCAATAATGAGTTCTACATGTTATCTGACAGTTTTCTTTACAAGTATAATTTGGAAACTAATGAGGTTACAGGCATGTCTGGTTCTATTTCAGGTAGTGATGGAGTTTTGGTATCTGATTTTCAAGTTAGTGGTGGTACTGCCATTGTAATGGATTACAGCGACAATTCCATTACATTCAGTTTGAGTTACTCCATTAAGAAAATCAGTCCACAAACTAACACAATTCAAACCATTGCTGGAAGTGGAAAAAATGTACCAATTCCAATTGATGGTCTGGATCCTAAACAATTGAGTGTCGTTGATACAGTTGCAACTCTTTCAAAGAGCGATGAAATGTACTTTGGAAGTCTTGATGCCAACTTTATGTACAAGATCAATAGTCTAGAGAAGAGTGTTTTCTTACCTGGAGCTATCGAACGTATTAAAACTATTGCAATTGACAAGTCATTGAGCAATGATGTGTTTTATGGTGGAATTGAGGGATCCACTGAATTTAGAAGAAGTTCCATTGCAAAGTTTAATGAAATTTCCAAGTTAAACGCAAAAATTAGTACAAGCACTAATACATTATTGAACAATACTCTGAATCCAATATTTGGTGGTAGATATGTTGGTTTATCTGTCTATCAAGATGAAATTTACATTGCTGATTACAAACATCACACTATTAGAAAGATTTCTAAAGATAGTAATATGGTTGTAATTATTGCAGGAAATGGCACTGTTGGATTTACAGGAGATGGTGGTTTAGCAACTGAAGCAACATTGAACAATCCTTCACATGCTATTGTTGATTCAAATGGTGATCTTTGGATTGCCGATTTAGGTAATAATAGAGTTAGAAAGGTTTTTGGAATTAATGGCACAATCACCACAGTTTCAGGAAATGGGATTCCATCATCCGAGGTTCCACCTAATATTGATGTTGTTTCACCTATATTCTTGACAGAATCACCTTCTGGAGATGCCATCTATGTGACCGATTGGAATTTGATCAAGAAGATTGACAAGCTCACTAATCAAGTTTCTATTATTGCTGGTACTGGACAAATTTATGAGCAAAACATTGATATGGAAATACCTGCCCTTGAAGCAAATATCAATCCATTGGCTCTTGTTGTACGTTCAGAAAATTCATTGGATGCCATTTATTTTGCTGATCCCTACAATCAAAGAATTAGAAAGCTTTACAATAATACAGTTTCTTCTGTTCCTGGATCAGCAACTGATAACGTAGGGGGATTGGAATTTGATACATTGACTGGAGATTTTTATGTTTCCACTGGGAATTACCAAGTTAGAAAGATTACTCCACAAGGTCAAAATGTGTTATTTGCTGGTAATGGAACTAATGGTTTCTTTGGAGATGGAATGAGAGCTGTTGATGCTGCTATTTTCCCAACCTTGATGTTAATGAAGGGAAGAAACTTGTATTTCTCCAATGTGGATGATCCAACCAATATTAACAATATCAAATATGTTTCAGTTGATCAAGAGAATGCAACCATTTCAACATTAATAGGTGGATTTGGAGATGGCTTAAAGGCTGAAAATGCCTATTTTGGAGAAGTGGTTTATATGGACACAGATGAGAAGGGAAATCTCTATATTTTGGAAGGTTCTTCAAGAATTAGAAAAATCACCAAGTCAACTGGAATTGTTACAACCATTGCAGGTCTTGGAAATAGAATTGAAAGCGGTATTCCTGCAAATCAAGCACTATTCACTGCCCAATCTTTCAGTGTTGTGTCAGAAGATGTCTTGTTGGTTCCTGATATTGGCAACAATAGAATTTTCAAAATTTCCAATGGAATTATTACGAATATTGTTGGTAATTACACAAGAGGTTATCCTGAATATAATTTACCAGCCAATGAAACATCAGTTCGTGATGTTCAAACTATTCTTCAAACACCAGAGGGTGAAATTATTATCACTCTTTATGGCCTTTCAGCATTGCTCAAACTAAACAAGTATACAGGAAAATTAGAAGAATTGAAATTGGATTCAGTACCAGATTTATACTACTCCTATGTCATGAGAAATAGAAAAGGAGAATTTTTCTACACAACACCCAAATTTGTTAACAAGTTAACACCTTATTGCGTTAAAGGCAAACTGAATAGTTTCAAGAGTTATTGTGTGAATGAATGTTTTGGTATTGCTGATGAAACTAAGGGATGTTCTGGTCATGGTTATTGCCTAGGACTGGATCAATGTTCATGTTTTGCTGGTTATAATGGAAGCAAGTGTGAAGATTTCACTTGTAATTCAATTCTCAAATCTCAAGCCAATGTTTGTTCTGGTCATGGCATCTGTTCTTCATATAATAACTGTACATGCTCTCTTGGTTATTATGGAGCTAATTGTGAAGAATTCGATTGTTTTGGAACTTTGAAGAATTCACAAAGTGTCTGCTCAGGAAATGGTCAATGTTTGGATTTCAATAATTGTACTTGCAAGGAAGGATATTATGGAGCTGCATGTGATAAGTTTGATTGTTTTGGTGTGAACAGTGCCAATTCATCTGTTTGTTCTTCACATGGTTCCTGTCCAAAACCAAATAATTGCTCATGTGATAATGGATATTATGGAGCTTCATGTGGCAAGTTTGATTGTAACGGTATTGGAAGTGACCAATCCTCAGTATGTTCATCCCACGGTACTTGTTCCAAACCAAATAATTGTTCCTGTGACAATGGATATTATGGAAACAATTGTCAATTGTTCAATTGTTTTGGTCAATTATATTCAGATAATTCAGTTTGTTCTGGAAATGGTACATGTTCCAAACCAAATAATTGTACTTGCAAGAATGGATACTATGGATCAAATTGTGAATCATTCAATTGTAAGGGAGTTAAGAGTACTGATGCAAGTGTTTGTTCATCAAGAGGTCAATGTATTGCTCCTGAAACTTGTCAATGTACTTTGAAGAATGCATTTGGATCAAATTGTGAATTTGTTACAACTCCTTCAACATCAAAGAATATTAATGGACATGTTAGTGGAGTAGCCGCTCGTTCAGTCAGATTGAATGTCACAACTGGTATGAAAAGTCATTCATCACAACTATTATTGATGCTTGTTGTGTTCTTGAGTGCCTTCATTGTGATGTAATAAAGTCTTTTCTAAATCAATATTGGATATGCTAATATGATATTAATAATTCCTATATATATACTGCCACTAATAACAAGTCCTATTTATTGGAAGAGTATTGAATCAATGAAAATTGAGTGAGGTCTCTTCCTTGTTATGGAAGGTGGAGAGTTTCATTCATTTTCTTTTGAATTTTCTCTTGAGATAATCAAAATATAGCCTACTCAATTCATATCTTGAATCGGAGTCCAAATTTAAGATATCTTCTCTTGAATTGTCAAAGTTAGTGCAAATGTAATATCTACATCTTGAAATCAAGTCATCTACTGCATGACAGGTGTCCCTAAAGTAATCAATAATGTGAACTGCTACTTGTGGAGTCAAATTTTGAATGATTCTACTGAGATTATTTTCGCAATAGTGAACTAGTTCTTGGCAATGTAAATATTGTTTGGAAATAATGAACAATTCCAATAGGGCACTGTCGGAAATGTTACTGATTTGACCAATATACATGAATTCGATTAGTTTCTCACAACATTCTGATGAAATTTCAAGAGTGATGACTCCAGTTTCGGCTTCACTCATTCCTGAATCGAGAATGTTTCTAAAGAAATCAATTCTTCTCATGAATGTCTTATCTACAAAGAAGCAATCTGTTTTGGTGTTTTCTTCCATTAATTGAATGCAAATCAGGGAGGAATTATTGATTGCCTTCTTGGATTGATTCTTGGATTGAATTGCCAAGTTATAGAGCTTTCGAATGTCATCATCAATGGATCTTGTTATGAGATAAATATCTGTAATGTAAACAGCTTCTCCTGTAATGTAGTTTCTTAATGAGTTATTTTGGTCAACTTGTAAAATTTGAATTAATTTGGAATCTATTGGCTTTGGTAAGATTGAAATCTGTGGATAACCAGTGTAAAGGAAATTAATATAGAATTGAAGCGTGTCATCTTGTAATCCCTCTAAAGGATAAGTATTTTGATGAGTTTCGAATAATTTCTCAAAAAACTTTGACCTTGAAGCAAGGAACGATCTGTGAGCTGTAATTTGGTTTCCTGATTTCAACTGGAAAGTAACATCATGTCCAGATTTTTCTGTCATGATTTGACTGATCCAGCTGTCAACTTCCGTTTTCTTTCCTTCTCCCAAAATCTTGACAACCGAATCATTTCCAAATGAAATCATATCTGATGTATTAGAAACTGAAACATCGAGAGTATAAGGTAATCATTCCAATGCACTGTGAACTTTCACATCACCAGTTTCAGGATAAATTGAAATAATCAAAGAATTTACAGAGCCATCACTGAAATTTCCACCAATTAGTTGAAGTATGCGATCAAGTTTGTATCCATTCATTGTTAATTTGCAATTTTTGAGAGGAGGAAGTTTGAAATTTGTCTTAATCTCTCGCCATGTCTTGTTTTCCATATCGAAACATTGTAAATCATTTAAAAGGTTGCCATTCTTGTCAACTCCACCAAAAATGAAAATTCTTTCCTTTTTGGAATCATAGTACATGCAGTGATCTTGTCTTGGAGCTGGAATCTTGGAGGATTTTGGAATAATCTTTTCAATCTTGATGTGTTTCTTGTCAATAGTTGAAAAAACTTCCAATTCATTAGTCAATTCGTTTGTTTTCTTATTTCTTCCACCGAATCTCCAAATTTCTGAATCTTTATATTTGGAGATCATTGTAAAGAACTCAGTAGCTTCATTAGTCTTGGTAAATTCACACTTTCTGAATGGTGATAACAAGTTTCCATTCGAGTCAACTTGTGCGTTATAGAATGTATCTTTCGAATAAATAAATAAGTAATAACTTTCCAAGTAGGTGTTAACAACCATCATGATTCTAGAATCAGATCCAAATGATGGAAGGACATCCTTTGGAAACTTTTCCAAGTGTTGCTTTTTCAAATTTGTGTTAGGATGACAAGATGGCTCTACAGTAAATGAAATTAAATGAGTAGAAACGTTTCGATTAGTTACAGAAGATCCAAATAGGAAAAATCTGCTTGTTTGCTTAATCTGGCAGCTTGATACATGTGTTAGATTGGATGGATAATTACTTGGAGTGATATAGATAGATTCGTATTCTCCAACGACATCGTGTGGAATGTATTCGAAAGTACAAGATTGAGGATGAAATGGACTTGATGGAGGAGTACTCTTTGTTGGAGAAACCAATCTTGGATTCTCTACAATAATACTTTTCAAATTCTTCAAAGGAGTAATTTTTTGCTTTCGTTTCTTCTTGACCTTTCGTTTTTCAAATGAAGACAATAAGGTTGCACTTCCTTTACTGACACTATTCGAAACTGAAGGAAATGCTGAATAATCGATCATTGTATTGATCGATTCCTGATTAATCTCTTCAATAAACTCTGCATTACATTCCTCCTCCATAAATTCACAAAACTCTTTCAATTCTTCTTCGTCAGTTTCGTCTGCATTCTCCATCCAAGTATTCGATTGTGGAGCCATGAAATTCTTGAATCCAGTTAATCCTTCAATCATGCGAGACATTTTTCTTTCGTTATTTTTCGTTTTTTGTTTTTTTCAATTTCAAATTAGAAAATTCATTGTTCCAATGTTTACTTTATGTTGAAAATAGAATTTCAATTTCAAGACGTAAAAATAGTCAACTTTCAAGTTCATAATTGAAATTACAACTTTACAACTCAAACCAAATCTAAAAAGATGCAAAACAAATCACAAGTTTGCATGAACCTTGATTGAGCTATTGTAATTGGCCATAGCAACATGTCCAAATATGTCGCCAATCAACACAATAAAACAACCTAAAAAAAATATCCGTAACAGATTTCAACAACACAAATGTTTGGCAAATTTTTCGGAAGCAAGAATAAAGCCGTTGATGATGAACTTTCACAACTCGAATCAACTCCAAGCAATGATAAAAAAGTTGTCGTGGATCCGAAAAATTCTGCCTCTCTGATTGGAAGCATTCCAAAGAGTTTGCACTTTCTGGATCTTGATCAATTTACCAGCGTGAAATTGGCAACAGGAGAATATTCTGATAAAGCATCAACGTTATTGCCATTAGTTTCACATCGGGTGCAATGTCATGTGACCTATCCGATTGTTCAGGTGGTTTCTACCATGACATTTTGTAATCAAAATCAGAAAACTATTGAAGGAGAATTGTTGTTACCAATGCCTGATGGTGCTACTTTGATAGGTTATGCAATGGAAGTTGATGGTCAATTGATTGATGCTGTCCCAGTTCCAAAAGAAAAGGCAAAGGAAGTTTTTGAAGCTGAAGTTAGAGCTGGAAATAAGGTGTCAATGGTTGAGAAGGTTTCTCAATCCAATTCATTCAAAACTCGTGTTTATCCATTGCCTTATAATAAGGATAAGACTATTCAAGTCAAATATCAAATGATGTTGAATGAAATTATTGAAAAGAGTAATGATTCACAAAAGGGAAAGATTAGAGGAAGTGCTTGGGTTCCAATGTCATACTTGAATTTTGGTGCATTGAGAGATGATACCAAGATTGAATTTACACTCAATCAAACTTCATTACAAGGATTTGAAACTGAAGTGTTGATGGGTGTTGCCAATGCTGAAACCCAATCAGTTGAAGATAAACTGTTGTGGACAAGTAAGAATGCCAGCTCAAGAACAGGATATTTCGAATTGAAAAAGTCAGAACTCAATGAAAATATGACCGGATTTAAATTGGCTGTTACAAAACAATCAGAAGATGTTAGGGATATTTTATTAGCTTCTGAAAATGGCTATTTCATGACATCTATTCCAGTTCCTCAATTATCTACAGAATTGAGAGAAATGAGTAGAATTGGAAGCAAAATTCAAATTGTTTGGGATTGTTCCAATAGTAACCAGTCACTACATGAAAAGAACTTGAAGACCTTGAAGGTGATCCTTGAAGGTATTGCTCCAACTTCAATTTCATTATCTGCTTTCAGTGCTGATGTTATTCAATCTGTGGATTTTACATCTGTTGCAGAAGTTTTGAAATTTGTCAAAGATGAACTATATTATGATGGTGGTTCCAACATGTTACTATTTGATAAGGATTTGCTTAACAAGTCAGTTGATTATTGTATTGCCTTTACTGATGGTGTTCATACATTTGGACATGAGATTAGTCCATTGGCAAACTTTGAGAAACCAATTTATTTTGTCACTTGCGGAAATATTGTCAATTCACCTCTTCTTAAACATATTGCTACAAAGAGCGGAGGTGTTTATTTGAATTCCAATGAATTAACTGAGGTTGACTTAGTCAAGTCAATTGGAAAACCAGTTCTCTCATTTGCTGTTGCTGATTTTGAAGATTCTGATCTGGAAGAGGTGTATCCAAATGAACCAGTTAGTCTCAAAGAAGGAGAAGTTTTCAAACTGTTTGGTAAATTCAAGAATAGTGGAAAGGAAAGTGTAAAGATAGCAGTTTCTTTCAGATTCGGTTCCTCTATTTATCACGTTCAAGAATTGGAATTGCCAGTCAATTTGGAACAATGTGAAGCTGCTGTTTTGCCATTACTATGGGCTCAACAAAAGATTGATTCTCTCTCAGCTTTCCCTCATCTTTTCAAGGATGAAATTAAAAAGATTGGACAAGATTTTAGAATTGTCACTGAAGATTCTACCTTACTCGTTTTGGAAACTTTGGATCAATACTTGAAACATGACATTGTACCTCCGCAAACTCTTGCAAATGTTTACAAGCAATATTCTGAAATGAAGAAGAATGAAAAAGAGTCTGAGGAAAAAAGAGAAAAGGATAAAATTGAAAGAATTCTTTCCATGTGGAAAGAAAGAGTTAATTGGCACAATCGTGATTTTACTCCAAGAAATGCATCACAAAAACAGGACTTGTGTAAAGATGAATGTGAGGAAGAGTTTGCTGGTAGTGCTCCTCAATTTGAACGCTTAGAATCCGATGACTTGTGTCTCAGAGAAGAAGCTGCTGAGTTTCGATCATGTGGTAAGAAATCCAAAAAGAAGGGTGGTATTTCATTAGGACTCAGCCTCAGCAAGCGAAGATCTGAGAGTTCAAGTGGAGGTGGTGGAGAAGACAGAAAGAAGGACAAGAAGGAAAAGAAGTCAGAGGCTAAGAGCACATCTGAAAGTGCCTCTGGATCAATCTCAATCAAGGCATGGAGTCCTGACGCCAGCTATTGTAAAGAAATTGCCAAATCCTCCAACCCATATAAGGAATATTTGAAACAAAGAAAGAGTTACAAAGACTCCCCAGCTTTCTATCTCGATGTTGCTGATTATTTCCTTTCAAGTGTCAAGGATTTCAAATTGGGTGTGAGAATTCTATCAAATATTTGTGAATTGGAATTGGAAAATATTCAATTGTATCGTATTGTTGCCTACAGATTGGATCAAGCCGATGCATTAGAATTATCTGAGTGGCTATTCGAAAAAGTGAAAAAGATTGCACCTCACGAACCTCAATCTTATAGAGATTTGGCTCTGGTGAAGGAAAGATTAGGAAAATATGAAGAGTCTATGCAATTATTCAATAAGGTCATTACTGGAAAATGGGACATGCGTTTTGATGAAATTGAAATGACAGCTGCCACTGAGATGAACCATCTCTTACTCAAACAACCTGATTTACCAATTATTGACCCACGTTTCATTCATCACTTTGATTTAGATATTAGAATAAGCATGGCATGGGACACTGACCAAGTAGATATTGTAAGTATTTTTTTACTGGCATTGGTCAATACTAAAATTTATTAATTTAAACATCATTAAGGACTTGCATGTTCAAGAACCTGCTGATAAAGGAGGAGAGCACGCATATTATGCCCACAATAGAACAGCTATCGGAGGTTATGGTAAGTATTATAATATTCATTGTACTAATAATCAATTACAGTCAGTAGAGATTTCAGAAATGGTTACGGACCTGAGGAATACATGATTAAGGTTGCACCAGCAGGAATTTACAAGGCAACCACAAACTACTTTTCAAATCATTCTCAAAACTTGACAGGTGGCACTAGTGTACTGTGTACCTTTTTCTTGAACTACATGAGACCAAATGAGCAACGTCAAATGTCTACCATCAGATTATCTTCACATAAACAAGATATTGTAGTTTGTGAAATTAAAATGGAGTAAATAATCATTTCCCAACCTGTGTACAATAATAATATGGATAACTAAATTATGAAAATGTTTTTGTAAAATAAATACATTTTGATTTAATAAATTCGAAAGTTCACAACTAAAAAATGGCCAGACGAAAAGAAAGACAAAAAGATAAACAAATCTCGGAACAGCTAATCATACACGATGAATTTTCCAAAAATCAAATCAGCAAGAGATTTCTCATTCTTGGAGGAACAAATTCTGGAAAATCAACTTTTTGCAATTTTCTGCGTGTCAATAATGATATTGAATGGTTGCTGTCGATAGGAGTGAAATTGGATAGGTGGGTGATGGAATTTGTGTTTAGATGTATTTTGGTTTGTTATGAATTGTTAAAGAATCGGTTACCAAATCAATTCGAAAAGCTGAAAGAAACTATACGAAAAGATATTCGATTGAGGACAATTTCTAATGATCTGATTAAATTTATAAGATATGTCAGAGAAGGAGAGAATGAATTTTTATTGGAAGCATCTTTTCATATGAGATATTTGAATAATATTAAGTATTTCTTCAGTGAGGAGTTTATTGCAAAATTGGAAAATAATTCTCAGATGAAATTTGAATTAAACGACATGTATCGAGTGAAAATTCCAAGAACCTCCTCATCCATCAAAGAGATTGATATCAAGGGAGGTTTTAATTTCAGATTTATTGACCCCAGTGATATGAGAGGAGAGCCAAGAAAATGGATTACTCAATTTGAAAATGTGGACGTGGTCTATTATTTCATTTCATTGGCTGATTATGTGTTACATGATACGGTACACAATACAAATTGTCTCCAGTTGGCCATTGATACATTTGAAAACCTAAAAAAGTCTGAACTATTTTCCAGCTTTGTAATTTTCCTTACAAAAACTGATGAACTGGCTCAATTACTGGAACACCATCCATTTAGTGATTATTTCAAGGAATACACTGGTCAAAACACTAAAGAAGAGGTCATTCGATACATCCAATACCAATGTGTATCAACACACACCAGAACATGTACAATGTATGTTCATGCTGTCAACTTGACCGATACTTCCAAATTCACATACATTCTCGCTGAAACCTATCAAATCCACAACAACCTAGTTGTTTTCTAATCACCTCCCCAACCACCAACCAATTTTCCATTCAGTTTTCACTCAATCAAACATGAACACAAACCATGGACTCCATAATTTCGCCTCCATTCTTCAAGAATTTTACAATGAAAAAAAATGCTTAAAAGAATCTGTACTACCCGCTCAGCAGCAGCAACTGTTGGTTCTGTGTTATTGGGAAGGAGACAACATGTAGTATCATCATTGAATGGTTTTGGATTATTGATAAATCATCAACAACAAGTCCGATTGGTTTCATCATGCTGCGGAGGAAAACACAAATTAAAATCGGAATCAACAAGTGATCATTCTGATCATTGCAATACAATGAATACATCATCAAGCGAGACTCATAATCAAAATATTAATACTCCGCCAATGAAAAATAACGCACCTTTGGAAAAGAGTAAATTATCAGTTTGGGATTTGAAATTTTGGAAATGTAAACATTCATGGAAGAGAGCCTCTCTTAATACACTGAACTGTTTAATTGGATGCTCAATTGGTGATTTTTCAATGATGTGGTTTCTGACAAGTCAATATCCAGAGCTAGGCATGGCCATGATTATGCCAATATGTATGGCTTCTGGTATAGCCACAAGTTTAGCATTGGAAACTGCTCTCCTGAGATATAGAGAGAAATTCGATACCACTGTAGAAGCTTTCAGAATGGCTTGCAAGATGAGTTTCTTCTCCATGTTAACAATGGAATTGAGTGAAAATATAACAGATTATGGAATGATGACCTATTGGGGGTTATTGAATAATGATAATGACACTGGATGTACTTCCATGCTTCAAGTGAATGAACCTGCATTTTGGGTTTCACTTGCTGCTAGTCTTTCGATGGGTTATTTGGTTCCTCTCCCTTACAATTATTATCAATTGAAAAAACATGGAAAGAGTTGTCATTAGAGATGGATATGGACAAGATATGGATACATTGGATTTTTCTGATAATTTGTGTGAACTTTTGAATCTAGAGTTTCTGTTTTTGCAAATTATACCACAAGACGAATAAATTACAAAAGAAATAGTACAAAAAAATACCTCGATTATTGGAATTTTCATCCACAACAGAAGAATATGGAAGAAACACTTTACGAAAAACCATCAAAAATTAGAAAAATTGCAAATAATTGTGTAAAATTAATTTTACATGATTTCATTATTATTAATCAGTCATCGGAAGATGTTTCCTCTAATCCTGCCATGATGATGATTCATGAAAAATTGAAGTGTCCACGTAAAACCACTACATTTCAGCCATGTCTTGTTGATGATTCAATCAAATACAAAACTTGCCTCAATTGCAATTTCACCTTTCCTTGTGATGTGAAAATTTCATATCGAACTCAATTAATTATCGTCACCGATGCTGAGAATAGGAGAATTGTGTTTTTTAATTTGGATACACTGGAATATATCAATGCTTTGGTTACACCTGGTTTGAATCCATTCTATTTATTGGTGGAGGAAGAGGAGAATTCAGATAATCTCTTTGTGAGTGGGAGTATGGATGCAATTATGAAAATGAAATTGAATCATGTCAATTCCAATTTGCCCCTAGCTCAGCTTTTGTGGTTTTCACAGAAAATGTTTAAAGATCCACAGGGATTGGCCATTCGATATGGAAAGGAAGGGAATTTTATATACGTGTGCGATCGGTTCAATGATCGTATTGTAATTATGAAAGCTTCTGATGGAACTCTTGTGAAAACCATATCCTCCATCAAGGTTTTCCATCCACTCACTCTAGAAATTGAAATTAACTCAATGCTTGAACCATTTGCAATTACAATGGATGAGAATCGTGGTACAATCTTGATAGGTTTCAAAAAATCTCTACTACTTGTCTCGGAAGATGAAAGTGACAGTTTTACACTCTTGAAAACTCTGAATGCTGATGTAAATAATCACTCTCATCTTTTACTTGATAAGGAGAGTAGAAATGTATTGATTGGAGATGAAGGAAATCATAGAATTTCAGTTTTAAATATTGATAGTGGACTTGTGGTGAAATCATTTGGAAAATTTGGTAAGGATGATCCTTTCTCGTTTGATTGTATCACTGGATTTTGCTCTGATAGGAGAAATGGTTCTGTATTTATTTCAGATTGTGAAAATCATCAAATTAAGGTGTTTGTTAGGGATGAATTAAAATAATAACAATGCCTAAAATGTTGCCTCCCTTGGGAATCGAACCCAAGACCTCTGTCTTACTAGGACAGCGCTACTGCCAACTGAGCTAGGAAGGCTTACGGTGACCGAGAAATCCTTAATAGAAACAAGCAGTGCCTTACAATCTCCTAAAATACGTATTCCTTGTTAAAGGAATTATTCCAATACAAGAATTCAAAATAATTCCTACAAACAATTGGAGATTTTCATCCTTTGATTAAGTACAGTACTCCTTACTGTGATCTGTTGAATTGAAAATTCTCCAATCAACATCTCTATTATCACCACAGCATTAAGGTTCAATCTTTCGGAAAATAAGCTGACTAACCATCTCTCACCTATTTTCCTAATAACCTATCGCCATTCATAAACAGTAACAAAAGCTATGTATCCATCTCATACTAATCTTAGTCCTCCTGATAGCACAACATTAAAACTCTGGATAACAAATACATGTAACATTTCCATTGGAATTGAAAAATGAATTAAGGACAGAATCCAAAAATCAAATCTTCCTCTTTCCTAATAACAAAATGCTGTCGCGTTCATCAAAATCTTCCTCCATTCCATTTCCTTGATTCCAAATCTTCCGCATGCTCTCTGTAATAGCACCTCAAATACCGTAGTATTTCCCGCCAAAATTTTTGTGTTTTATGCCTAGAAACAATGGTCTTCAAAATTAAACATGTTAATTACAACTTTTCAATTTAGTCGTGGTCCTCACTTTGGAATAAATGAGGAAGAATAGGAGAATAGATTGACACCTCCACATAGGAATTTTTTTAGCTGATATCTATGGACCTTCAGGAGATGCTGTAGGGAACACTTGAGAAAGTATTGAAATTCAATACGGAATCTGCCATCTTTCAAAAATATTCAATTTTTTCAAACGCCATTCGATTATTTCTCCATAATTTTCCACAAGAACTGTTTTTAGCTTTTTTTCCAATCTCCTTAAAAGTAAATACACCAAACTGCTATAAAATTGCAAAAGATAAGATATCATACCACATGAACAACAATTTGATTTTGTAAAAAATGCAATGCAACCATTCGTCAAGTATTCAGAGATGTGATATTGTTCCATTCACGGTATCGCCCTTAATGTCTACTGCGCTTAGTTATTTTTACACTATTTGAACATTCACCATTTAAAATTCCTTGATGCGAGAGGAAAAACTAAATGCTCAAGCACACAAAACGCGAAATTTATTGATGTGTTTTATGGAGAAATTTCTATCAACCTTTTTGACAGAATCGGTCGTTGAATACGATATTATAATCCCCTTTCATCTGCTATGCACCTTCACGCAATGTTTCCAAATTGCCTTGGTGATTCTTCAATTATTGATGAATTTAATAATTTCTAGTTTGAAAAGAATAGGAACATTGGACGTCCAACACAAACTCACTCAACAACGACAACAATTCAAACTCTCTCATTGGTTGGCTTGAGGTAATAAAACAACACACATCTAATCGGAAAATAATAGTAGAAGAAGAATATACTGATTCACTTTGATAGTATTTCTATAGAAAAACATTCATACCAATAGGAAGAATAAGAAGAAACATTACTCTATATATTATGAGTTCATTCCTACTCTTGATCAACTATTAACTGATACTAATACCTTCTATATCGAAGCCTTTCAATACTACT